TTTTTTTTTTTTTGTCGACATTTGATAATTTCCATTTCGTACATTGCAGTGGTTGGTAGATGTTTCAAGAAAGGTCTTAAGGATTTTTTTATTGTTTAATTTTTATTTTCCTGTGTTTGTTGGTATTTTCCCTTGTTTTTCAGTATTTTCAAGTGTTTTCTGGTATATAGCATTTTTCAATGAGAAGGCTTTGTTTCATGTTTTTCCGGTGTGTCGGGTGATTTTCATTGGTTTTGGTGTTTTCTGGTGTTTAGGCTGTTTTCTGGTGTTTTCCAGTATTTTTGGGTAGTTTTCCAGTGTTTTCCTGTGTTTTTTAATATTTTCCAGTATTTTTCGATGTTTTCAGGTATATAGTATATAAATGTCCACCCCGCTTCCACGAAGTGGGTGGACGTCGGACCCCACAGTTCCGGGGATAACGCATTGTGATGGTCATCATCACTGATGTCAGTATATGAAGGAGGCCTAAGCTACCAGAGTATGCACATGATGCTAGCATGCATGATGACGTAGGCCTAACGTTATACATCATGATGACTTGTTATGCTTGTGTTTGGTATTAATATCTGTTTGCACGTTGGTGCAAATCTTTAATTGTAGGCCTATAGAAATTAATGCAAATTTTTCTTGTATTCAGAGACCTGTTTGAGTCCACAGCAGCTGTGAGACAGAGAATGCCGGCTTTTGAGGATCCTCAGGTAATCTTTAAGTAGAGGCAAAGGCCAGTGCACTCATCACAGAATTTGGTGTGATTTCTAATCTGTGGGATACTCTTGATGTAGAAGCCAGTGTTGATTTGCCCGAGGCTTACAAATGCCAGGAATATTGCAATTTTACTCCAGTAGCAATTTTGCAGTGCTAGCAGGCTGTGTTACCAAACATTTATTCTACATAACATACCTCATATACTTGACCGAAATTTTTCTTGTCCAGAATTTCAGTGATTGAAACTAATGTAGAATAGCTTTCTAACTGTGTTGGATTAAAAAGCATTCCCCCCTCCCTGGGTGGCAGGTCATGGACATGCTAATGAAGAAGAATGAGGAAATTGAAGCCACTCTGAAGAGGACTGAAGAGCAGAGGGAGAAGCGGCGGGAGATGGAATGCCTCCAGGAGGAAGTGGACAAGAGAGATGAGGACATTAAGCAGCTGCAGCGACAACTCAAGGAGGCAGAGCACATTCTGGTGAGGAGAGAGAGACATCGGCAACAGAATTGGGGAGGGGGGAGGGAGTGCGTTACACTTCTTCGACCAGGAGAGGAAGGCTCCCCTCCTCTTGGCAGGTCCTATAACGGATCGGGGCTTAATGGTTCAATCTATCAATAGCTGGTGTCTGATAGTCTCACAACTGGCCCCTCCAACTTTGAAAATCATTCTGCCACTGTTGGAAAGAAAGAGAGCTTTTTCCTTCAAGGAATAACGTTGTTAATACCAACTTTCTGAACATTCTTGCTGTGAGCTCTCAGCTAAGCGCCTTTCCGAATTTCCCAATTTTTCACAGTGGAACAAACTAGCAGCACTTTTTTCTCTATCTCTCAAGGGGTATCAAGCCTCATCTAAGTTTAAAGTGTCCGGGTTCTGTCTCCTTAATCCTCCAAACAGTTCCTGGTAGATTGTGAAGGATGCGTGTTCGAGGAATGGGGCTAACCGTCTGCCCTCTCTTCTCCGTGAGATGTATACAAGTTGTAGGCATTTTATTGCCCTAAAAATCAAAAACGAAAGATGGATGTATGCACATTTCAAACTGCAAGATGTATAGACCTTTACCTTTTACATTGAACTGTTGCTGTCCGTGACATTTATCATATTTTTAGTCTCCTTATGGTTGATCCATACTTGGACATTTCAGGCAACGGCGATCTACCAGGCCAAGGAGAAGTTGAAAGCCATTGACAGAGCCAACAAAGGAGCCATATCAGCAGAGGAGCTCATTAAGTATGCACACCGCATCAGTGCAACTAATGCAGTGTCGGCCCCGCTCACCTGGGCTCAAGGTACAAAGAAACATTACTGTTGAATGGTAAAGAGAACTATTAAATAATAACATTTTGTGTATAGCAATAACTGATATCAAAAAGAGAGAACAGGTGGTCACATGCTGGTGTCGCTAGAATTTGTTTATTCCTCAAGATGGCTGCCGAATGAGGAATGAAAGTGTCTGCACTAATCACTCAGCATTCCTTTTTGTTGTGACAGGTGATGCACGTAGGCCCTACCCAACTGACCTGGAGATGCGCATGGGCATTCTCGGTAGGCTGAGCAATCTTCCCGTTGCCCAGGCAACCAACGGTGTTTCTGATGGGACATCAGGAGGAGGTTAGGAAAGAGATAATTCTCTTTGTTCACTTGTACAGTTACCATATTGCTCATTTATGCTAGCTTAATTTGTCCACAGTTCACCATTTCTTTGGTTTTTTTTTTAAGTTTCACTCATGGAAAGTTTCAACAAATCAAATTAAGCTCATTTTCAACCACTAGTTGATTTTGGCTGGTACCCACTATGTATTTTATGCATAGGCCACCAGTCAAAATCAACCAGCAGTTGTTCATCAGTTCTCATATTTAATCTGTTTCAATCAGACGGTGCCTCCTCAGCAGGAGGCGGTCTGACTTGGCAACCTTCCAGCGAACTAACGGCCAGTCTGAGCATGCCCTCTGGTATCAGCCACCACACGACAGAACTGAACCTCGACCTTGGCGCTCCAGGCCAAAACAAAGAGAACGAAGACGACGTGGAGGTCATGTCATCGGATTCGTCCAGTAGCAGCTCAAGTGAGAGCTTGTGAAAAGGGTAACTGGATGCAAACTGTGAACCCTGACACCTCTGAGTCAACTCTGGCAAAAGATGGTCTCAAGCCAGCTGTGTATCAAGAAAGAACCCAAAGTTGAAATAGGGTAAGGCATTTCAGAATTCATCGGGGTTTTTCCCAAGCAATGTAGGCTTTGAATGTATCCTATCAGAGCACTGCCGCTTGGCCTCAGTTCATAAAGTCATCACAGACTTTTGTTTTGAGATACTCTGTGGTTGCACGGTCAAAATGCCCAGTCATCCGTCAATTTGACGAGGTGTTTTTCAACAACTCAAAGAGTCAGTCAGGAACAAACCCAATGTTTGTTGCAAGTTGCCACTGTTAGACATTTCAATTAGCAGTTTAACAAAAATAGGGGTTATGGTTCACAGTGTCATTAATTATGAGTGTGTCACTCTTCAAAGTCTCAATAGAAAGTGAGTTGTACATATTTTGTAAATAGTTTTAGTGGTAGATTTCATGCTTGCCTGTTAATCAGAAGGCACTGGGCTCTGATCGACATAAAGTGAAAAAATAAGAACATTGATGCTTGTGAAGGTACTGTGTATTTTTTCTCTATTATCAGCATTTCTTTTATGCACATACTAAAAGTGACAAACTCAGCATATTTAATGAGCACAGCAGCGAATCCAGCAAATGCCTATCAATTCCAATACCACTCAGAAATTAAAATAAAAATGACTATACATACGCACGGACCACTTTTTAAAATTACGTATAACAGGTGCACATTTGCAATGATGTTTTATTACAGCATCAAGTAAGGGAATTCTAATACATAATTCAAGCCCAGTTGAACCAGATTTAACATTTATATCAATACAATTTTTCCTACAACTTTTTAAGTTGCACAACACACATCAGTAGAAACAAACACTTATTTCCTTTATATTTGTGTCAAAAATCTTTAAGAATTTAAAGATATAATTTGAAATTTAAAGATAAGTTTCAGACAAGGTAGACATGTCGAGTAACAAAGGGCAGTTCTTCAAAGAAAAAAATCAGTTGTATGTGATGACAGGTACTCTTAATCACCCATTTCCTACCAATGTATCTCACAAAACCAGCCAATTACACAAACACTTTTGGCAGCTGGATTGCAAGTACATTTCCTTAGTACAATGTAAGTAGGCAAAAAGTATTTACAGAGCACAACAGATCGATTTGTGACATTCTTGAAACCAAATATTTCATGTTCGGTTGTAATTCAATGATTTCTTCATTGTTACAAAAACCAAAGTACAAATCAGTACACAGGAAGCCTTCCTATACACTTGCTGTACTGGATCTCTCTTCCTACTGGACCCATTCTTCAACTGCTTTGAAGATGGTATCCCTGGCTTGTCGGAGCTGTGGTGGGTCGCTTGGAAGTTCGGGATACATATTGGCACAGTGGGCAGTGCCTGGAGAGAAATGAAAGAATCAAAAGTGTGTTTTGTTTCTGAAGAATGCATTGACACCCAAAGAGTGTCACGTTAAGAGGACAACTTCAGGGTGGTTACTGAATTTGTTTCGCATCATGTCAAGCAGCCAAAGCTTAAAGAGAGTTGTAAAGACTGTTGGAACAACAACATTAATCAGAAATACCAGTACAAGTCATTAATCAACTAAAACCAAAACATGAGGAAATTTGTTTCTGATCAATTCTTTTTCAGTGACAGAAAACTGAGAGGAAATGGATAACACAATCCTAAGCATTCTTTCCAAAAGGCAAAATTTTAATTGCAAGAAATAATTAGTTTCATCAGAAAATGATCACTTGCCTTGGATATAGACTGCTCTCTCAGTCGGGGAGATGTCCTTGGTGATTCCCAGATAGTGCCAGGGATCTATGGAACCGTTGGGGAAGATCACTTTGGTGGCACGGATGCCCTTGGCCCCGTAGTTGGTATTGGTGTGGGCGATGCCCTGGTCAAGTGTGGTCTTGTTGAACTGCTTGCCGTAGATGTCTGAGCACTGCTGCAGAGAAAAGCTGCATCGGAAAAGACAAAAAAAAGGCTGCAGATTGGAATTCTTCTACCTTTGTAAGAGCTCGTCTTTGCATATAAGCCACTGACCAAACTTTTGCATGCCTTCCTATAAATAAAGGCTAAGCCGTGGCTTACCTGACAGGGAAATGATGGCCAAATGGCTGGTCCTTGCCATCAGATGTCTGGAAGAAACCAAACTCAGTGCATGTCTGGTAAACCCACTGCCGACCTTTTGGACAAAAAGACAACAATGCCAGTCAACACTTTTGAAAATGTTTTGGTACTGAAGCCACTGAATTGATTATGGTGTCCAATGAGACAACCACTGCTAAAAGTCTAAGTGTCCAAAAAGCTGAATTGTGTGGTATCCACAGGAAAAAAAATCATAGAAAAATCAGTAAATTTTGGCTCTTTAATCTTTACAGTAATTATAATCCCTCACCAGTAAAAGGATTGAGGGATGTTAGGATTTAACAAGCAATCCTTGAGCACAGAACGAATGGTGATCACAAGCAATGTTTAATCTAACCTTGGGCGGTTTGCAGTAAAAACAAAGTTGAATAGAAATTGCTGCTGCAGCCAGTGTTTATCAAGCACTGTTCTCATTCAATTCAGCTGCTAAGAATAGATAACTGGTCAGAAAATTTAAGTCCACCTTTAAAGCCTATCACCACTTGCGAGCAATGTTCATCATACCAGTTTACGGGCTAGCTGAGCCCTTATTTCTGATCATGGCTAAACAACCTTCAATACTCACCTCCTTCTGATGCCGAGCTTTCCCAAGATGTCTCTCTCATCTCACTGATCATGTCGTCGTATGATATGTCCAGACAATTCTCACCATAGGTCTCCAGCAATAGGGAGTTGACCGCAGCATAGCGGTCAAGCGGCTGACCGATGGATGTATTACACATGATACCACAAAGGGTGTCAATAGTGATGTTAGTTCCTACTGCTCCCTAGATAGTCAAGGAGAGAGTAATTTTATATTAAGAGAAACATCTTTATGTAGCTTTCTTTCAAATTAATAAAGCATGTACAAGCTGCAAAATGTGCAAGTCAATGTAGTCTTGTAAACACTGCATGCTTTTTGGAAACTTGTGCAGAAAAAAGTTCACTGACTATCCAGAATACAGCCCGCTGCCCTAGGGTAAGGCGTTAACCATAAATTCATTGCTCTATGGTACAACACCCACATGGTGTGTCACAACTTTGCAGTATCACAAGTCTAATTGAGTTCTCAACTCCCCAGATTTTGCAGGTACTTTCACTGTGCTAGTGTACTTGAACCAGGAGGACAATTTGATTAAACCCGTCCTATTCAGTCTTACCTCAAATGCGCGATTGTCTTTGTTGTACTGCACAACACCGAAGAAGTTGCCAGCAATGGACTCAAAGAAATTGGAAACATCATTGGTGTTGGAAGCATTCAGTGGCTTACAGATCCTGTACGGAAAGAAACAAGTGAAATGTTGGTGACAGTGGGTTCAAAAATGTGTCTCATTTATACCAATAGTCAAATTGGAAATGTCACCAAAATGGTTTGGAACAGGCAATGACTCGACTCTCATCCCTGTTGACCAATGATGCAGTCTCAAGATTTTGGCAATTCCTTGAAAATTAAATGAGGCAGTTTGAATGGAATTCATAGTTTGAATTACAATTTGTTTTGAAATCTAGAGTATTGGCACACTTCTGACAATTTCTGGCAAAAATAGTTCTTTTAATAAACCTGTAGATTCAGTAGATTCAGTGAATTCAGAATAATTATCCCTGAGAAGAACCAGGCTTCTGTTAAAGTAGGCCATCGGTGCTGAAAAAAACCAGGCAGTGAACCAGCTTACTTGAACAGTTTGGTGAGGTCTTCCCATCCTACGCGATGCTGCAAGAGGCTCTCCACCTGTTGAGTGGCCTCCATGATGTTGGTGTTGCAAGCTCCTCCCTGTGGGCTAGTGGCCAGAGAATCTCGCACCACAGACACGTAACCTGGTCCAGCAACCAATTAGACATCAAAACCATAAACAGCCTGCTTTGGATAATATATCATTTCACTGATTTCAGCTCCGCTGGTCAGAAAATTGGAGAAATAATGCACAGGAATTATAACTAATGCTGGAGGACCGCGTCCCTCATCACGTCATATTTCATTCAAAAGTCTGTCTCGGTCCAAAATTTGCAACAAGCGGGTACCTCATTCAGATCCACAGCTTCTTCTAGACATCTACACTAACTGACCTGTGAAGTCCACCTGTGCTAGGAGTGGTCCGCTGGTCGCCACAGCACCATCCACTAGATGAGGGTACTTCAGACGGAACCAGGCTGAGAGACTTCCTGAATAAAAGACATTGTTTATCAGCAGGGGATGGTGATTTCACATGAAAGTTCTTCAAATCATCCACTTTCACGGTTAAGCTGACACCCATCATTTTGTTCATGTATTTTTATTTTAGTCGTGCCTTAAAATGTAGCCACAGGTTCAAAGCAAGCCAGTTCCTTCTAAGAAGGTCATCTAAATGTACTTGCATATTCTGTGATAGTTTACACGACCAGAGGCTTTTTTTGTACTGCTATTCACCACTCAAAGGACTGGAGGATATCTCCCTCAACAGCCCTCTTTTTGATGTTTTGACGACAATCAGGGTTACCTGGATAGGATCCACCAAATGAGATCCACTTGCTGTACGTCAGGTTCATTTTCATGGCCATGGACTGTCTGAAATAGGCTAAGTCTGCCAGGGCCTGCTCACTGCTCAGGAATCGCAGACTATCCACTGATATATCCCTGGAAAGCGGCAAAGCAACTTTAGCAGAAGTGGTACATGTATACATTTGTCCTGGAACATGCTCTACGAGGCAGGGGCATGTGGCTCAGAGATACAGAAGAAGTTGCAGAAATCAATCAACTTGACGTTGGGTTGTGAAGCCTATTTAATTCCACTTTAGTACATGTAGTTATAGCAGTACTTGATTTGGGAGAGAGAATGCTGGATGGATGAAAATTGGACGGCTGAGGTTAGAAAAACTTATGATTATTTAGTAAATCTTTTTCTTTGGATTATTTATATTTTAGATTGCTGGTAACAAGGAAACTCTGAGAACAAGCTACTAAATATAAAGAAGCTTTCTAGAAAAGATAGGCAAAATCGACTTTCTTGCTCTGCAAGTCTCTGCTGTAAACTCATTAATTTAATCTCTGAAAAGTGACTGCTTACGGTGTCGGATGGCTCTTCCCGTAAAACCGGTGCTCGAGCATCAAACACAGGGCCCCTAATCGTTTGGCCATGACCACCCAGGTCCCTTCCACCATCCAGATAGGATTGGCCGTACCTTCCCCACCAATCATGAGAAAAACGGGTCCGCCAGTCTTGAAGAAAGTAGCATTGACAAAGTAGCGCTGCAAAATAAGATGTTACCAGCTTGTAAAGAACTGGATTTCAGACACTGTGGTTGTAGCCACCAATAACACTTATCAACATAACTAGTTTACGGCTATAACAAATATAACCAATTCACAGCACTTCAATATTGACTACGCCAGTGTACCTACTCAATTTGCTGTGACTTCTAATTCTATGTCAGCAAACAATCGACACTGCCTTTACATTCTAATTTTTTAAAGTATTATCCACACAAAGTATCTTGGATTATGCAAGTTTTGTAGGATTAATGAGGTAATACCCCCTTAAATGCAATACATTAACCATTTTGAGTAGACTGGGATTATGAGTAGGCTTACTAATAAACTGAAGGACTGCTCAGGCATTGAACTTTTAGTTTTACTTTGCATGCATACCTGTTTCCAAGTTCGAAGATCGGCATCGTTAAAGTGATCTAATTTCTGCTCCAGCCACTGATCAGGAGGCAACGGGCCGTCTGATTGTCTTGCCGGGGCACCCAGCATTCCACCACGGGGTCTTCCGTGGAGAAATCGCGGTAAAGACCACGCAAAACTGACAAAAAATGAAAGAAGGACCAACGCCAATAACCGAAGACGAGGAGCCATGGCTGATTGCATGTGTTTCTTCTACCGGAGGTCAGGTGATCAAAGTTGCGTCATGTGACACATAAACGTGCGCGGTGTCTACGACTGTTTCATGAAGCCAATAATAAAATAGTTCTCTCGTCACAAGCGCTCTACGTAAAACTATTTCTATGTTCGAAGCAGACAAAAGAAAAACCGTCTTCTTTTCAGCAAGGATGTCGAGGGTTATTTTCACATTTATTCGCGAACGAAACGACCTTGCCAAGGCCAAAATAAAAACTCTCCGGTTTCTGGTCAGCGCGCGCGTCGGCCGTAGACCTGTGCGTCGGCAAAATATAAAGAAGTTTGTTTTTTATTTGGTATAAAACAATGTCCAGAAGCTACCAAACTTGGCTGATCGACTGGAAACCATGCTACTTAGTGCGCAATTTTAATGCTGTTTGATGTGGTACGGTTGAGTAATATGTACAGTAAAGGAGTCCCTCTACTTCCCCATACATTTAGGAGGACACTGTTTCAGATGATGTCATTTCTGTATTTCACATAAAAGAGATGGTCTCACTTCCTGTGTAAGTACAAACTTAAAATGCTTTTAAATAGAACGTGCGGGGCCCACCAGCGTAACGTGAGCATGCAGTCGCGATGGAGATATGCGTACATGTACATCATTTCCATTAAAAAAAGTGAGGGTGAAAAAAGGCGCGTCGCTGCACCACTTTTGGATCAAGCTCCTGACCAGAAACCGGAGACTTTTTTTTTTGCCTAAACCACATGCTTCACGGTGTCCTCGAATGAATTGTGAACTCATAAAAGCGATAAGTGTCTCCAAGAATGACGGGGATTTTCGCCTTGACATCTCAAACTTTATCTTCAATAGATTGCTGAAAAGGTTTTCACACAAGAACACGTGTTTAGAAGTGGTGAAACGGAACGGCACTTTTGCCTTCCTATAAGCTTTCACCACCCCGACTCGTTAACGACAATGCCATGACAGGAAATCTATTCGTTTCCCCTCAAGGTCAGATTAGCCATATACAAGGTGAAAGAGATGTTTAGGTTGAGTTTCAATGGCCTTTTTTCAATGACCCGCATTGTGTGAAAGTCAGCGATTTGCACAGCCATAGTGTTAATGGTACATTTAGTAGGCCTAAAGAAAACAGCCTTGGTTAGTTTCAGTATTCAGATAGGAAGAAAGCTTGAATTTCTGCATGTGCACTATATTGTAAACTAACAGGTTTGCAGATAAAACAGTAGTTTGATTAGCAAAGGTTTTAGGCCACCAAAGAGGGAAACAAGTATGGCTCTTGTATCCGAGGACAAAACAATCGTTCTGATCACCGGCTGCTCCTCTGGTATTGGTTTTGCAACCGCTGTTCTCCTAGCGAAAGATCCGGAGCGTAAGTTTTGCGTGTACGCCACAATGCGAAACCCCACCGCGGACAGAAGGGGGCCGCTCGAGGCTGCAGTCGGGGGAGAGAGCGGTGGGTTCCTCGGTGAGACGCTGTTCGTCCGAGGACTCGACGTCGGCCAGGACGGGGACCAACAGGGCGTGGTGGACTGGATCGTGGAAAAGGAAGGCCGCATCGATGTTCTGGGTAATTCTTTTTTCTCTGCTCTGAGCGAGCATCGCTCTCTGTGTCACACAAGGATCCTTAAAACAGCCGAGGTGGAATCAACTATACTTAGGTACATTTTCTCCAGATGGTTACATTGAATGAAGCATAAGCTCTGATGTTTTGTGGTCATTTTGGCAGCAATGTTATAAAAAATGGACACACTGTTCTCGCAAAATATTTATTTTTTACAAAAACTGCAATTATCCATCAGGCCGCGGATTTTAACTTTCCCGTTGACCCGTGCTATATATCCATGTACATGGCCAATGTGTAAATTTTAATGACTGATACAGTGTTAGCAATACCGTCTGTTGGGTTGATTTGGAAATTTAATAAAATTTACTCAAGATGCCAGGTTTTTTACACTCGAGTCAAACAGATCTTTGAACGACCGAGATCTGTGGGGAGGCGGAACCGCCTACCGACCTAGAGAAGGTCCGCAAAATACCCGGCCCGTATTAAGAGTAGACTTTGAGTGTTAAGTTAGAAAAAAACGCATAACAGGATCAGTCACATAGTCGACATGAACTTTATAGATTTTCTACTCTTCCATAACCCCATTGATTTACCAGGTTTCTCCAGCGCAACTTGGCAGGATTGTGTATGTCAATGGGGCATGCAGTCAGTTAATTGCGAAAGTACATGTAACGATTAAACGGTTCATACATGCAGATGTATACCGGAATGAAACCGGATGGATCACCTTACCATTCAAGTTCACACGTATACTCGTTCCGTTGTTGTTTGGACAATTTAAGTTATGTCTGCTATTTTTGTGGGAACCGAAATCGTTTTGGAGACATGTCCCCACAACTCGGTCCTAGAATTTGTCTAAAGTTGCCCAACAAAAAAAAACAGTCCCCTTACAAAAACGCTTTGAAGACTTGCCTATAGTTTCAGGGATGATATAAGTTTTCGAGGATCACTTCATAGAGTGATCGAGAACAAAATAAGGAAAGGGACTCGTGTCATCATTTCCCTCCGCATTATTTTTCGTTTTTGTTTTGTTTTGTGTTTTGGTTTAATTAGTGAATAATGCTGGAGTAATGATTTGGGAAACCGTGGACTCGCTGCCGTCTCTTGACCAGGCCCAGGCTTTGTTTGACGTCAACTTCTGGGGGACAGTGCGGATGATTCGGGCCGTCCTTCCCTCTATGAAGTCTCGGAAAGCTGGAAGGATCGTCAACATCTCGAGTTTCTTCGGCATCGACAGTAAGGTTAAGCCCCGAATAGGCCAAAGTCTGCACAACTTGGAAACTATAGGCCTTTCGATTTGTTTCCGTTTTTTTATTCAAATTAACTCAGATGAAAAATGAACTCCCAACCATTATACACTTATATTTGCAAATCAATTCCAAAGAAGCAATTATATTATTCATCGGACAGATTAATATGTAATTCTCTTTGTTTTCTGTAGGTCCTCCGTTCCAGTCGTTCTATGCAGCCAGTAAATTTTCAGTCGAGGCTATTACTGAATCTCTCGCACCTGTTCTCAGACTTTATAATATCTGGTAAGCAAACACCTTCAAACAACAGCCAAATGGGGAATTAGCATTTTTTTAACGCCCTTTAGTGCAGGCTTAATTGAACTTAGTAATGAGCTGTTCTGTGTTCCAAAAGCGCATGCCCCAAATCGAGGTCATTTGGGCGCCCTGTCAGCATCGTCCATAGGCACAGTCGTACGCGACTCGTGCGCGTGCTGTGTTTGCTCCCGGTGACCTTGTTTTTTATACCGAAGTGAGTAACTGTTGTTCTAACTAAGATTAAAGATTAATTAATCAATTCAAATGATAACTAAGGTCCTGGAATCAGAGCTTCTCAAAACAGCAGCTAGATACGAGGCAACTGTACCGACTGAGGTATAAAATATGGAACAAAGTTACTGATTGACGCATTTTTTGTCGATTCATTGTAACAATCCACCGCCTATCTTCTTTTAGGGCAGTGCTTGTGGAGCCAGGGTTAGTGAAAACCAACATGACCAAATCCGTGGAGAATCCGATGCAGTTCTTAACAGACACGCCGAAAGCCGCCGGCTTTGACGACGTCACCAGTGCCGCCTTCCACTTTCGATGCACCTCGCCCGACGTCCAGCAGTTGATGGGTGCAATTGAGGCACCCGACGACGTAGCGGCGGTGGTACGGGAAGCGATGACGAGCGAGAAGCCGCATTTCCGGTACCAGACCAGCGAGTTTGCCAGGGCATTTGTTGCCGCGCGGCTGATTGACGTCGAATGTGACAGCCGCTTCGACTTACTGGTGAAAAAAGATTAATCGTTTTATGCGATGAGAACTGAATAAGAAATGCCTATATTGTATGGTTGATATGTTTCTGTCATTGTAATGTGGATTGTTGGGTTGTTCATCATTTGTTCCATTTTGTATGGTACGTGTAACTATGGAAATAGGGAATTATGTAAGAAAAGGGGCAACTCTAGTCCACCCACAATAATTTAACTTGGTACAGGAATTCACAAGAAATAGGTTTCTTTCACAGCAGTTCATGATGTATCCTTTTCAATATTTTGCTAATTTTGCTAGTTGATACCCTACGTGCATACATGTACAGTCATATTGCCAACATACGATCTGAATTAACATTAGAAAGAAGTCGAAAGTGAGCTACCACGATTGCAAATAAAATTGCAGAGTGTGGTTGTTTTGTGTTTGTAACGTAAGAAAGTTTAATATTTTGCGCCGAAGGTGTCTTGTATAAAAAAAAAGATACATTAAGAAATTTGGCTCTCTTAAGCTCATTTTACTTTTAAGAGTTTGCACTGGTTTCTAAGTTTTAAGACGATATTGGTGGTAGTGCAAGGTGGAAATAAATAAGTCACAAAGAACAAATTTTTGTTAACCAATTTATATGATTATGTCAAATGCTTGGCTTTTTGAACAAATCTTGCACTTCTTTATTGGCCATGTGAGATGGGAGCGGCCGCTTAATAAAAATGTAGCGATGATACGCCGCGCCTTTGCTTCATAATCACATGGTAACCAAGTGAGGGCGCTCTTTCATATGTTTTGCCTGGCAGCCCAGCCAGCGCGAGTTACGTATGTAAATGTACACCAGAAGTGGTTCAAAAAGCGTTACAAACTTGAACTTTGTTATTTGCTTTCTATGTCGATAAGTATTGACCAACGCTGATATAATGGAGCCTCACTTATGTAGAGGGTTTTGGTCGGCCCGACTGTTTATTTCCCTGGCGAAAACCTGATTGGAAATCCGAGCGAAGGTTGGCGGTAAGTTGTTCTTGTCAGCTTGTTCATGATGCGCACGAGGTCCCAACTCAAAATTGTAGACATTACGTAACACTCAGTTGCTTTGTTTACCTCAGACATGTCAAGAAATCGAGTCGATAACATATTAAAATTGTGGTACAGTAAACAGTTTGGAAGGTCCAAGCGACACCTACTTAATGGCAATGTCTGCTGTCATGATTGTCAGTGATTGTATCGTTGTCAGCTGTGCAACAGAATTCGGAAAGAGTTCCATATACTGCACATGTACGGACTAGTCTTGAAGACTTGATCCCTTGTGCAAAGACATGAGACTTTTCTGAAAAAAATTGTTTTCTAAGTAAATGCTTCAGAATTTTATCAGCTAAATTTCACTTGTTAGGACACGTTATCACTTTGTGATGGTGGTTATAACATTTAAAGTGAAATATTTAAGTGTTGTCTGCAGAACTCTTTCTCAGAATTGGAACCACATTGCACATTTGCAGTTAAGGTGGAAAGCTTGCGGTAGCACCATGCAAGTATACAACCTCTTTTGTGAGTCTGTATGGTTCTGAAAAGAAACGTGAGGAACTCAAGGTTTTGGACAGTATGCTCTGTCCGTTGTCAGGAAGCTTTCCACCTTAGTTGTCTGTCACCTCGAATAGCTTGAAATCCCACATTTGCAGTTGTTACTCAACACGCTCAACACTACTCAAGTGCTTGCTCCATCAGTCACGTTTTTGTTTTCATATACATGTATTCACCATGTAGGCCTACACATGGTGAAATGAGATCGATAATGACTTGTAGCTATGAGCACGTTGTGTGCATAGTATGAAATACACTTTGTACTAACATGACCATGGTAAAGGCATATTGTACGTGAACATAAACCTTAAAATAAACCGACAGTGCTTATTAACATTTGGAGATGCCTGCTGAATTTAGTGTATTAACAATAGTCGTGTACAGTAAGCCTGATCATTGTTTTGACTGTGTTTCAAAACTTGCACAGGTGCCATGGACATGTACTCGTTGTGTTCTAAATAAAGGGACGCCATGTCCCCATTACAACCAGTGTTTTTTTTCCTCGTGAAATTTCCATACAGGAATGCTTTGTTAGAAGGCCACAACGCCCTTGGTCAAAGTCCATCTGCTGGCCCAGGTGCAACTTTCTCATGTAATGCTCAGCCCTGATGTTCCACTGTCATGTAATATTAGCACATATCCAGCCACTGGTATTGGAACAGCTTGTTCTCTCCCCCCTGTTGGGAGAACCACAAAATTGGCACCGATTCACCATCAAGCATTAACCTCGCTGAGAAGCACCCGGCTGGAATTGGAATGGCCAGTGCACCTAAGAAATCAACCCCCAAATCAAAAATGGCAGACAAGGAGTCGGACAAGTCCAGCATGGACAAACTGACACGAATGGCATCATCAGTTGAGATTGGAACAGGTGTCTTAGGAAGCTTCAAATTCAAGGTAAGTACCAGGCAAGAAGGGAGAAAACTGATGAAGAAATGGGCCATGAGATATAACGTTATCCAGAACAAATTGGGTGAATTATTGTAGCATTCAAATAAAGTGTACCATTTGGTTGTCATGTTAGGGAAACTTTCCTGTTGTTTTAAGGAAAGCTTTTTTTGCCGGAATCAGTTTTCCAACGTTGCCTTGGGTGGTGCAGGATTGTAGATTGTCTACCATGAATACTGCCCTCATTTGACATGGAAAACGTTTGAGAAATTAATGCAAGTTAACATTGAAATAGATTTTATTAACTGTAATCTGATGTTGAATGATGGTGGTCCATATGACATTTTTAAATACTTAATTATAAATGTACAACAGTATGTACGCAGTAATTTGTGTGGCTCTTAAATCAGACGAAGTGAATGGGATACATGTATTTGTCAGTTGTATTATTTAAAAACAAACAGCTTTCCTGCACTCTAACATACAATACATCTGTACTGTCAATTTCATTGTGAAGTGTCTATAAAAGGTACCACTCTTAAAAGTATGTAAATGTTGACCAGTTTTCATTAGGTTGAATTTGCCTCTAATAGTTAAACATGGGTGAAAACTTGAAAGCCAATTAAAGGTACACATATGGAGCTTGATAGACAAAGCATTTAAAGTTGAATTGGTTGTCTTTCTGGAAAATAAGTCCCGACCAGCAGGTAGAGAAAGACATGGAAAGTTCTATTTCAAGAGTTTGTGGAAGAGTGTCCCTTTAAGTGAGATGTTGACACAGGTAACTGTATATAGGCACAGTCAGGTTTACGAGGCCAGAGAGACTGTATACAGGACGCTCTCTGCCTAGCAACCTTCCATAGCAGGTGCAGAAAAAGAAAGCCGATGACGGTGTTTTGTGAAAATGACAGGTTCTATTAGCATAGCACATTTTTATGTGTCGTGTCAAGTAATGATGTTAATCTTTGGTAATGTGTGTGTTCAATGTCTGTCAAAACAGATTAAGCGGGACAGAATGGAATTTGAAAATAATTTCTAAGCAACAGTCGATTAACAGCTATCCATCCCAGCAGGAGAGAGTATAACAACGGGTCTGAAAACACTGTGACTATCATTGAAACATCCTACTAAGGTGGCCTCTGTAAACATTTTAAAATAAATGACAGAATTGAACAAAAAATCTGTGTGATATACTGTAGAGTAATGTGTTTAAATGACTTACATTTAGGTGTATAAAAGTGTATTAGTGTGCTCTGAGTATACACAGTGGTTGTTTGCTCTTTAAGGGTAAGATTTATAGTAATAACTGAAAAATTTGAGACAACTCCTCATGCTTTGTAAGTCTTGCTTTGGCCGCCTTACATTGTTGATGTACATGTATACTGTCGCTGAGTTACCTTAGCATCAACGACCCAAAAAGCCTTTTGCGAGTTAAATTTGAATAAAATCTGATACACTGAGCTCTTTAAATTCACAGGAACATAGCAATTTGAATTCTCCATACTAAAGACACTGTTACTATGCCGCATGATTCAGGGCAAACTGTTTTCAGTGGATAAGTTTGGCACAAAGGAACCAGTCCATTCCAGAAAGGGTGGTCGCTATGCGAATCTCAAGGTATAGCAACAGTGTCTTAAGTCTGGGAAATTCAAAGTGTTATGTTTCTGTGCAATCAGATACATGTAACTCAGTGTCCCAGATTTCATTCAAATCTAACTTACAAATTTTATGGCTTATTTACACATCATCTCATTATAATTCACGCCGCACAGCCTGTGGTGTCTACACAGCTGTGCCTACATTAAGGTGTCACTTTCAAACTATTTACATTTTGGGAACGTGATTCCATTAATGCAAGCAATGTGAAAATTTCTCCCACAACCTGTTTGGTCATTGGGCAGGAGTGTGTACACTGAGTAGGATGCCTGGTTACATGCACATGTTCCATTGAAAGTTTGATATTAAAGGGGCTTTTCTTGAAGGCAGGTTTTATCGGGGGGGGGTTAAAGTAGGCTAAAAAATGTGAATTTAAATCTAATTTAATCACTTCAATTTGGTGATATGACATTGTTGGGAGTGCCATGTATGTACGGTACATGTGCATTTGAAGGTGGAACTTTAGGCAAGATAGAACCAGCCACCTCAGTTTATAGAACTGCCTGCAGACAGCCTGACAGGCAAACTGCCAATGCTCTGACTTGCAACTTGGTCCTCTTCCTGTTCATCTGGCAGCCCAGAGCCCAGCTGTTTTGTCTACGATCTCTTGGGTTCCATGGGCAGTGCTTCTTGTAAAGTTCCACTGGGAGAGTCCATAGCCTAAAGCTGTTGGCTTTCTGTGGAGCTTGGTGTTGGGCTGTGGTGTGAAGTAGAGAATATTCTCTGAATACATCTACAGCAAGCTATACCAGCTCAGGGACATCTATCCGTCAAATTTGTGGCTTGCAAGTTCAGTCCACTGTACTTTGTCAGCCCTCTGGTTAGGCAGAGACAGGCTATACCTCAAATCACCTGCGGCTCTGGGCAGGACCCTAAAAGGAAGGATGTTTTCGTGAGTGGAGGCGTCCTTTCAGGTTGAACTTCGACATGATCCAACCTTCCTGTCCAGTCACCTGTCACTCCTTCCCCCCCCCTTGCATTTCTCTGTCTCCCTCCCCCCCCAAGTTGCAGGTGTTAAAAATCGGACTAAAGGAGCTCACTCATTTCAGCCAACAGATGACAGTGCATACAGCCGTTGTGCATCATTTTATTAGGGCAGGTCGTGATTCTGACTCTCGAGTAATTCTGCCCCAGTCCGCATTCATCTTGTCTTCACATGTTTACGGGCATATTGGTACAAGGCAGGTCTCAGCATGTACACAGCAAGACAACTTACATGTAATCAACCCGTGTAAACATTTCAGGTTAAACATGTTTTTGATTCTCTTAATGTTCCTTGTACTTAGCTTTCACCATAGCTGCATGTGCAGGGACATGATTGTGCATTGCAAAGAGCTCATCTTGGCATCAGAGATCTTGTTGCTGCACTGACATGAATTGCATGTACAGGTGTATTGTACATGTACATGTACGTGTCATTACCAAGGCTATAGGGACATACCGGTATGGCAGTTACTTCAAATTACACTCTACTATCAGTTTCTCCCACGCTTTAGTTGGAACTATTCAACGTATGTTAATCCCTCACCAATCAATTACCTAACATTCCACCTGTCCTTGCCACTTCTATACAGGGCAGGGTTCCTTGTTATCACCTGCAGTTCCAGGCTTAGCGAGGCTGTTTGGCTTGTGATAATGCATTTAAATCACGTGTCATGTAGTTAATGTGAAGTTCCCTGAATTACAAGTAAAAATTGTAAAAACTGACTTCCCCTTCCAGAGCTGCTTTCTAGTTTGACTATAATGAAATGAAACATTTTTGTCAGAATTTCCAAAATTCTTCAGTCAGTGCTACATGTACCTGTCGTCCTATGCCATTGCTAAGTGCTTAGAATGCTCCTCTACAAGTGAACAATTTGTTAGAAGGCGTGGTTTAAAAGCCTGTGCCAATTTCAAAATATGCAATTCCTCCTTGGACCTGGTAATAAACAGTGCCCCTTTAGCCATAAATTCACATGTTGGCTTGTTCCACTTGCCAGGAGGGGAGGCAGCTTATCCCCATCTAATGGCTTTGAAGTTCAAGAGGGTTTCTGCATGTTCCACATGTACCTTAGCCAGGGTCAGACAGTGAGTGGATGGATGCCTCGGAATGAGCCAGTGAACACACCCCCTTCAAACTTGGGTCGCTTGCTTTCTGCCAGGGGTCAGGGCAGTTTCTCTATTTTATAAGTACCGAGGTTTGGCCTGCAGCCTGAGTGTCTGCATTCACTTTGTCTGGATCTTAATTCTTGTTCAGCTTGAAAAATTGATAGATTTGGACTAGCAGGTGTTGGGAAATTGCTGTTGTTACCTGTCCTGAGTCAGGATTGAATTGGTAAGTTTTTATGATGCTGTGATTCAGTGCTGTATGGACAACTTTTACTGAGTTTGAATAGCAGTTGAAGTGTTGACCTTGCTGTTGTGGTGTGTAAGCTGTTTCTGAATACTGTTCAAATAGTTATCAAAGTCAGTTTTTTTGTTATGATTCAAGGATATTTGAATGTTCACTTGGTGTTTAGGACTTACACCTAGTGTTTGTTTGTTTGTTTTTTGGTTATTTTTGTTTTGTTGTTGTTTTTGTAATGACCTTAACAGCGTGGTGCTAAACTGAAGTTCAATATTACATTTCACTAACTCTTTGGTTAGAATAAAAGGTTCATCACTTCAACTTATAACAAAAACCAAATCATGCATATTAGTCAATTTTTGATTTGATTTTAAATCTCTGAGAAAGAGAAAGAATAGCCTCTGTAGGGCTTTTACCAGAAACACAGTGAAAACAAAGGGGATTTTTTTTAAGTTGTTGAGCATTGCCATGGTAACCACTGACACACTTGCCTTGCAAGCATCAAGAATCAGGCTTCGGTAATGTATCCAGCCAGAAGCATGGATACAAATGATGACCAGATTCTTAATTTTATCCTGTAATTTCTCTGATGCTGGCATGTCACCCTGCCATTTTGATGTTGACAAGTAAATGATTAATGTCTGAACAAGCTGGGGTTGTATTTCCTGTTGTACGGTACACAGAGTCGCTGCTCAGGTATTTTGCATACAGTGAGCCACACAGTGTGCCACACCATACATCACTGGCAGTGACCAACGTAGTCAAGTTGTTTGCATTGCAATTCATTTTGTTTCATGAATAGTGGAATAAAAACAAAATCTCTGCTGGGTACATGTATATATCGTTCCTAACACATATTGTTTGATTTATTTTTGACCATTTTTTAAAAATGGGAAACAGGTAACAAGAATATGTTTTTGTATTGATGAATGCAGAAATAAGCTGGCCTATAGCACTTGTGTATTATCCAATGACAGTGGTGCCCGTCGTTGCTACCTTAAAAGAAAATTTTATCAAACACTTTCAGAGTTTTCACAGGTAACATGTACGAGAACCGTACTAGTACATGTGTCAGTCGCTGGTATTTTGGCAATCGTTTCCATTACAGATACATTTGAATTGTTACCAATTATTGTGCCTCTGCAAATTAATTTGGCACCCTGTTAAGAGTGCAATGTTCAAAGTGCAGTCGCAATTACGCTTCCGATTTGATAATCTACCCATACAGTAGATGTTCACATTGCCCCGTTCTATTTGTTAAGCACACAGTCATTTTGTATAATATCTTTTGCAGATGTCATTTATCCACCTTCTTGCTTCATATGTGCAAACAATGTGCGCAGTGTCGATACTGACAATTTATATTCCTTTGTAGTCAAGGTTGTGCACATCTTATTTGCCATTTATTTGCAGAGACACAAGTTACACATTGACAGTATTGGAAAGTGCACTGTAAGCTTGCTTGTTAACTGTTCATTTAATTGTCACTTGTTCTTTCTGCCTCCCCCTTTTGTAAGTTTAAAGATAATCGGTGAATTTACTTTTCATTTTTTTTTCAAATTGATGTTTTGTGGTTGCATGTTTCCACAGCCCTACTGGTACATACATTTGGGCTTATTCTCAGAACCGTCTGTGTAATGTGTCCACTTACTCATTTAGGCTGTAGGATAAATTGAGTCAGCCTTGTTTTGCAGCGTTCTTTTTTATTGGAAGATAAAAAGTATTTGCCAACTTGGCCTGTCAATCCAAGCTGCATAAACAAGTTTGTTTGGCCCATCCAGTGGGATGCATACAAAATGTCTGTGTTCATGCCAACTAGGTCATGAGGTTGTTTACAGAGAAAAGTGAATTTGATTCCCCCCTCTGGAATATCTCCAAACAATTTGGTTGGACCTTCCTGACCCTTCTGGAGCCCTGCACACTGACAGGCTTTCATCAAAGCAACCGGAATGATTTCTATTAGCCACTCAGTTACATGTACAATGGTCCAATGCTTCTTGATTCAAAGGAGGCCCATGATGGATGTGTTTCATTTTGTGGGAAAATCAGAGCAGGTTCTTTACAACCACAGATGCCAAACTACAGACTGCATGGTAGTAATAGTGAGACTGGTGAAGATTTTAGACTGTGGAAATTTGTTGAATACGGTGTACTGTGATCGCCCTCAGTTTGTGTCCACATGTCGTCGGCTTCCAGAAAGGAGTACCAAGTGCTAGTTACATCCCTGGTCATCTGAGTTTGGGCTGGCAAAAACTTGATTAAATCTTCCCAACTCATTGCCGATTTGGAGCTCTATTGTACTAGAAAACCCATGGCGTAAGCCCCATATTGTGTGTTGTCCTTTTGTTACAGAGGACTTTTCGAACACTTGAGCAACAAAACTGCACACCTATTATGTGTGTATCGCAGGTATTTTCCCTCCAAAAGCCCAGCTGTGTGAATGTCTCTGTTGACACAAAAAAAACCCGGTTCGTTGCTAAGATACGGCATAAATTGTCCAAGTCTGGTTTGCCTTTTATATTGTTCACATGGACAGGTCTTATCACAAATATAGAACACACCTTTTAAGGTGATTTCAATTTTCCACTGATGCCTACTACCTTTCTGTTCATGTTTCCAACTCCAGGGCCCCCTGCGCACTAGGGCATTCACCACATCGGTTTTAGAGACCAAGACAGACATGGCGGAGGTATTGGCTTCCAGCGCACCCAAACTCTCAGGCCAGCCCCTGGATTATCAAACGGCTGTGGTAAGCTCAATCATTATTTGACTCTTACACCAATTTTGAAATCCGATTTTAATTGACAGCCAGAGTTGTAAAAAGTAATCGTACTCTTATTCAATCACGGAAACAAAAATTCATATTGAAGAACACAGCTGGCAAACAATGGAATCAATTTATATTTAGTATGCCGTACCAAATATAAATAGACCAGTATCGACATCAGTTTAATGTATGAGTTGAAGCTATTGGAATTCCTAATGGTATTAAAAAAAAATCAATTTTTGAAATTAAAATATAGAAAGAAATGATACTTGTTTACGACAGCAGTATGTTTACTTTAATAAATTGTCCCTTTCCAAGTTTTCCTGAATAAGTTTATCTTATCCAAAGAACACGACCAACTTAAGGTACCGTATTTTAAATTTCATTACATGTATTTGTTTCAGATGTGACGTTGTATTGGTACGGAGTGGCTCACTCTATGTATTTACAAGACAGAAAGCCAACCAGTTTAATTTGATAAGCTGAATTCAACCACAAAATGAAGACCACATTGAGAATCGGCAGTGTTTGTCATTAGTGGGTCATGAAGCTCTTAGGTGGACTCTTTATTTTGTCTTTCTGTATCTCCGGGTTCGATTGACAGGAACTGAAGCAGGTGCTATTTGGCTCTCGTATGTTCTCCTTTGATGAGGAATGGAAAAGCAGCTGCTTCCAATGGCAGAGTCTAAAGGGGCCGTTTCCGTACGGCTTGTTCTGCCCAAGGGTAAGTTTGGCAGTCTTAAACCCTGATACTCCTCCATCCCTCACCTGGGCCCAATGTGTCACGGTGCTGCTAAGCAGACAATCTTATGCTAACAGAGGCTCTGCATATTTCATGGAGACTGTACGCAGGAAGGGCAGCTAACAGCACGCTTACCTCGGTGATGTACATGGAACAATGCACAACCATTAGCACAGCCATACCAAGCACTACCATGAAATTGTGCTTAAGGTTAATGGCAGAATTTCATGCTATAGAAAGCAGGATTTTTCAGTTGGAGGATGGAGGACTGCTCTGGCTAGGGAAACGGTGACAAGCACCCTCTGTCCCGTTGTACGTGTAAATTTCCTCGTTTCCAAACACTTCAAGTATTTACCGTATATGCTTGCACACATGTGACAGAAGGTACATTTGAATTTGTTGTACGGTGGCGCTCCTGCTCCTGCAAATCTTTCCTTTCCCAAAATGAATTTCATACAGTTCAGTTTAGGGAGTTTTTCCAAGCCAGTTGGTGTCGATGCTGTGAGTCTGATTTGGTATCTTCCTGGTTTTTGTGTGTGTGTGTGTTGTGCAGGACAAAGCGCGAGGGGTGATCATGGCAATACAGGTCCACATTGTTCGGCACCTCTTGTTTGAAAAAGAGGAGGGAGTCCATTACCTGCACGATGAGACCGACTCACTAGACGTCTCAAGGTTTGTGTCGCACTAAGCCAATCAGAACACACAGGAGAGACAACATTCTCAACACAAATAGCAACCAATGGGATTTCAGAGTCTTTGAGGACATCACATGACCTCAAATATTTATTCTGTGCGGTGAAGTTCCAGTCACTATTTGATTTCTTCGCAGCTGGTGTTTTTTTTAAGGTATCAGACCTAGATTAACACCCTTCTCTCCTTCACTTTTGAATGTCCAGATAGAACCCCTGTAGTGTTGACACGGGCTGTTATGTCTCCATTTTCTTATCTCTGTATATTCACTTGCTGGCAGGTTTTTTTTCCATGAGTCCAACCCGCAGAACACAAAAATGATATTTCATTACCAATCAATCATCATGGAGACCTGCTAGACAGCTACCAGTGCATAAATTGCACCTGCTATCTAGCTATATTTATTCGTTAATCGTTTTGCTCAGTATCCTCCCCAGAATCCATCATGCCCATTGTATGTATGTGTGACGACCTGTGGTTGTGGTGCAGGTGTCAATGATGTCTACGGGTGTGTCAAATTTATAGCGTATTCTTCCTGTGTGGCCCGACAAGAAAGTTCTCAGTGTGTGGTTTTTTTTTTCAGCAAAAAGGTGTTTCTATCCCTGTGATATCAATCTACAACTCCTCAGCTCATGTAAATGGATGATGTTAAGGGAAATTTTTAGAATAACACTGGCAAATTATATAAAGTATAAAGAAGTCTCTTATTGAGAAAAATGAAAACAAATTGACTCCCCCAAAATTTTAAAAAGACAGAGAAAAATGCAAAATGTTTCACATCCCCAATGTGGCCTCAAACAGACATTATAAATGATTTATATGACGTTCCAGTGCGTACCGTCTGCAGCCTTCTGACGAGGAAAGGAGACAAGCCTTTCTGATGGCCCTGGTCGATATCCTGTGGACGGCCGGTGATGACAAGAGGGCAACGGTGGTGCTGCAAGACAGGAAGAAACCCGGTTTGCTGCACTCGGAGGAGAAGAAACTGCAGTTCTTCGCTCAGTCGGTATGTGGCTCTGTGTACAATTTTGTTGCCCTGTTGTCCCTGTCTAAAACATAAGTGTTCAACATTTGCATGAAACAGTATTCTTCTATTTCAGAGTTAGTCTGCCATACATGCGGAAAGTTGTCTGTCGACGCTGTAGTTGGTCAGAGTTTTAAAGATGGTGTATCTCTCGAGGATAGGTTACACGTGACCATTCAGCTGTTGCTTTTGTTTGAACTTTTGTGCAATTCTTTTTCAGCTGCATGTGTCAGAGTTCACAGAGAAAGAGGCGCTGCGAATATTTCTAAGGAATCACCTAGAACTGGTAAGAAAGTAGGCTGGGTTTGATGTGTGCCCGTCAAGTCAGCAACTAAAAGTACATACGAAGATGGGTCCAAAAAACTTCAGTTGGTTCCTCCATTCAGTTCCTCTCATCACAATGAGATATTTTGTTCTGAATACTGTTATCTGTTATAGCCAAACGACAAGTGAGACTTAAGGTTATGAACATTGAAGGATTTCTGCTTCAAGTGCAAATATCCCTCCCCTTGTTTTTAGAAGCATCTAAGTTTGCTCGTAATCAGAGAAATATTTCAGTGTCTGTGCTTTTCTCCTCCCAATGCAGCTGATGTACCATGAAGGTGGTGGAGTCCTCATGATCCTGTTTAGCCTGATATTATCCAGAACGTTACCCAAGTGAGCCAGTGACGAATTCCTGTGTCTGTGTTTAACAATTGGGGTATAGTTTGTTATATTACTGGTAAAATTGTTGCCTTGAAAGTGGAGCAAGATCCAGTGACCACGTAGAATCTATTTTAAGCAGCAACTTGGTTTATTCGTTGTTTTGAAAAACTGCTTTGGTTGTAAGTTTTACAGGAGTACCATATCGGTAAAGGCATCAGTGAGGTGTGTGTAGTTGTGGGAAGAACCGGGTAGCATTTTGAAAAGTCTCCTTAGGCCTCAGTCAAATTATTTTGCCGTGGCAAGACAGCTTGAGACGGTTGGCATCCCTCAGTGTGACTGTCAAGTCCATGACAAGTCCCTGCAAGTCCATCTCAAGTCCATCCCAAGTCATTCAATCTTAGTGACAATGGATCCAAATGAACTGCAATTTAAGCATTCCTTTGCCATTGTTCAGCCTGCTTCTTATGAGTGGTCTTGTGAACGGATTCGTGACTGGTCTTGTGAAGGGACCCCGACTGGTCTTGTGAAGGGACCTGTGACTGGTCTTGTGAAGGAACCCGTGACTGGTCTTGTGAAGGGACCTGTGACTGCTCTTGGGAAGGGACCTGTGACTGCTCTTGGGAAGGGACCTGCGCATGGTCTTGTGAAGAGACCTGTAAAAAGACTTGTAATGGAATCCCACGGTTAATTCTTGCTCCCTGTTTCTCTCTCTCTGTCTGATCTCGTCTTCAGACTGCGTGAAGATCTTCAAGGAGAGCTGCTCTTCACTGATAGAAACCAGTGTTCCGTAGCACTCATCATGATGGTGCTGACAGGCCATGCAACCTCTCACCTCTTCAATGGGAAGAAGGTTTATGACAAGGATGGTGAAGCACTGGTAAGGAGGAATGTTAGGAAATATGAGGGACTTCCTTTAGTCATACAGAGTCTCACGTTCATGTGCATTTCCATTGCCTGTTCGGTGTTAACCATTTTGAAGGTCAGTACTTAGGGTGATTTTTTTAATACCAATGTTTGATCTTCTTGGAGTAGTCGTGGTTTTAATGCATTGTTTATTCTGCAAAGCCTGTTCATGCAAGTTTTCTATTTCTTCTCCGAACAACCAAAATGTGATGATTCTTTCAGCCTAAGCCCTTGATCGGGATGCTGCGTCGAGCCGAGTGTGGTTTCCTCGTGGTGGACAGAAGTAAAGTCAAGGAAGAGGAGAAAGTAGAGGTGAGGGGAGGTAGCCTGTCACATCTCGGACAGCCACAACTATCAGAGTATCAGAGTTTGCACTGACTTGGACAGGCCTCCCACTTCTGGCTTGTCTGATAGCTACACCCCCAAAATACTGGCACCTGTGCTCAGCTGTAAATCTGACCATATCTTTAGTAGAGAGTTGAGGGTTTAAGGTCCCGATGAAAGAGTGTGTCGTCATTGATTCAGAAGAGCCCAACATGAAGGGTAAACATCCAAGTCACTTTGCACAGCACCCAGTTCTGCATATACATGTATGTCATTTGAATGTGATCATTTGAAAGACTGCTGTTTGTAGGTGTTTCACAATAGTGCACCACCAAGAGTTTGCAATGCATTGGCCAATTACCATACACGAAATGTGTCAACCCTTTCCAAACGCGCATTGCCAGTCGACAAGTCCCGATGTGTAAACCCATTCCAATGCACATTGGGAAATGCTCATATTGATTGTTGAGTTAAACATCACTTTGATTTCTAAGTTTCTCAACTCTGATTCTTTCAAGAGATCACTTGTCATGGTTGCAAAGAGTTCAGGTGGTGAGGCAGGTACCCTGACACCAGCCTTGATCACCTCTGACCTGTCCATTGTCTGTAGGTTGGGAGCATGTTGAAGACACCCCGGGTACCAGTCTGGCTGACCTTCCTCAACGGTCGCTACTCCATGCTATTCTGCACCAACATCCGGCTCACCAGTGACTGGAGGGCAGAGCACCGGTTCCTGCTGCATTATTACAACGGCCAGCCAGACCAGACTGAGGAAGCCGTCCTGACCATCGGTACGTTGACCTCATCAACCATTAGACAGGTCTAGTTTCCTGACAAGATAAAACTTACTACTGTGTGGGGTGATCAATTCAACCGGTACCAGTCTAGTTTTGATGTCAGCTTCAGGCTCCAGTGGTATGACATTTCACTGGTCTCATCATTATCTCGGCAATCGCAGAAAGTCAAAGCCCTACATGTTTGAATCAGACCTGACTTTATGCGCCTCGTGAAATATTTGATGTTAAAATGCATCATTATAGCTTTGAACACTGCACCGTGTATTAAGCAATGCAGTCGCGTTACACACCTCATTATTGACTGGTTGGGTCCAATCTAACTAATAATGCTTCATCTATTTTGAAGCCTTGACACTATTTATTTTCCATGAATTCTGCAGATACCAAGACAAGTGCTCCTCAGCAAGGCTCCGAAAATTTTGAGGAGAGGCAGCCACCACTGCTGGAAGAATGCATCCACAGCAGGTGGGTACGCCATCAATTAAGAGAGGGTTAAAGAAGCAGGTTTGTAGGGCTTAGATGGCGTTATAACAAACATCTGGAGAAGTCAAGCTACTTGCATATTCAATGACTCATGTATACTATATGGGACATTGATCTGACAAACTTCATGTCATTTCACAGAGTTCAATGCTTACTCCATTTGTAACAACAGGTGGCCAGATGCTTACATTGATTGGAACAGAGCGTTGCCTTTCATCTGAAACCCTCCAAATTGGAGCAACAATGTAAGAGCAACGGCAAGCAGTACTCAGCCTAGTGACAGATCCCTGCAATAGTCAAGATTAACAGAAGCACAGATTTACTGACGTTGTTCAGGTCTTGCCCAGCCTTCCCCAACCCTTGCTTTAAGAGTTTAAATCAAACCACACGGACAGCAAAATGCCATGAACTGTGATGCATGATATATGTTCATTCCAGCTTAAAGGCGGTAACTGAATCTTTAGCTTAAACACTAATTTCTTTTAGTCTTTCGTTACCAGAGCCACCTTATTAGATTCCAAGTTTGTATTCAAGACGTGGGGATTACCATTCGGTACCTGCAAAGCGTGTCCAAGAGTGTTTACAATGAGACGTACGTAGTTTCCTGAGTAAGTTCTCAGATTCAAGAACTCTTAAATTGATTCAGTGGCAGCATTATGTTACTACCTAATAATGAGCTAGGAGTGTCCGAGACAAGCTAACAGTAGCAGTTTTCATCAGGGGAAGCCGAAGAGGATTCAGTGAGGTATAGAGATGTGTTTAGTTTATTTGACTGTCACCAAGGTTCATGCTGAACATGTGAGCAGAGTGAACATTGTAAGCATGATGCCTACTGTCAAACTCTTTAGAATAAGTGAGGAATGTTGTTTGCAGGGAAACATATATTTTAGGAATCCATGTTGAGAAGACAAAGTTTGCAAAATCTGCATTGCTGCCAGGCTGTAGTTGTAGATTTGGTTGCAAGAATGAGCCTGGTTGGTATTCTAATAATGCATGCCTCAGACTTAAGTACATTGAAGGCGATTTGAGAAAAGCAGCATGCGATAGTCTGTCCTATCAACGCAGCCATACGCCAACTCACACAGATCAAAGACTTTGCCTTTATGAAATACCGCACTGGTTCATTGTTCTTTTGTGTATCCCCAGGAATAGGTGGTTCTATTTTGAGATTCTTCCAAACTGAAAATCCATCCATTTACAAGTCTTGATTCAGACACGGATGATCTTGGCCTTTTTTATCTGTTTAGATTGAATCAAGTGTTGTTGATACTGGTAGGAGGACCTCTATTTACCAAAGTGGCCATTAGGAAGCTATTTTGTTTGAAACAGTTCAGAAAGTAGCACATGTATGTGATTATCCAATAGTGCTAGTTCAAATTCCAAAGGAAACTGGGGGGAAAGTGGAAAAGAAAAAGCTTACTGCTTTGCATTTTTTTGTGAACCTTCAAAATTTTATGCTCGATTGTTTTCACCAGAGTGAATGAATTTCTTATTCAAAGTAAATGGCAATTCCCATCATTTTCATTATAAAGGTTATAGCTAGAGCAAGGGTTTTTTCCTTCCAAACTTCCGCAAGTACGCTCCTAACTGAAAACTTTAGAGGACTTGAAGTTTCGAATAGGTGCATGATGTAAACAGGAAAACAGTTTTGAAAAAGTTGATATAGAAAGGTTTACTTGCGTATTTTACCCATAAATTTATCACACTGAAATACATGTACATTTAAGTTCTGATCTTAATGTTTCTGCCTACAATATTATTTTGTCTGTTCTGTGTTTGCATATTCAGATCTCTTCTGTTATTTAAATACATGTAGATAAGCTCTGCCCTCTGACCTTTTTTTATGGCGCAATCTAACCTTTAAATATAAGTTCCAAGAGAAATTTCTTGAAGAGGCCTGTGGCCTGGTGGTCTAGCTTGCTGACTGCCAGGCCAGGGGACCCCGGTTCAAATCCAGCCGGGGTCCTGGAAAAGGAAGTTTTTTTTTTTTTTTTTTTTTTTTTTACTAAGTTTTTTAACAAAATTGTGCATGCCCACCTGGAATTGAACCCAGGTCCTTGTGCATAGCAGTCGGTGTCCTTAACCACTATGCCACGGCTCTTTCTTGAATAATTGTGCTCGTTTCTAAATCTTAAACCTTCTGGTGTTTGGACTTAGAATATTTTCAGACAAAGTCTGTATTGGAGATGGCAAGGGCACTTGATGGAAGGCTTGGATGTCTTAGAGCTGATAAGGGTAAAAAGAGGATGGTTGAGGGATTAGGACTATCAGCAGAGACAGGGTTTGAGGATCCAAGGTAGTGGAAGGGCAAAGCTTCTTAATATTACAGATTGCTAGTGAATTTATTTTAGCCCTTAAAAAGGATAAGAAACAAGGCTGTAAGGAGCTGAAGGAGCTTGGAAGATTTTGTTAGAAAGGGGCAGGACTTTGGGTGGGTCAGTAATGTAACATCTAAGGAATTAGGAAATGAATGCAAATCAGGCAGTGTAACTTTGGTTGATAAGGGATAAATAAGGGATAAGTAGCAAAGGACTACTTTTTCACCAATGGAATTAAAAACTCAAAAGTTTTTTTTCTGATAAATTAAACATTTATTTGACATGCAGATTGATTTGAAATTGATGTACATTTACAGGGTGATGTTGTTGCATTAACCCAAAGATATCAAGCACATAAATGTATTCTTTGAGTGTTTCTGAACCACTGACATAGTGCAAGGCAGATCAGAAGTGTATTCAACTTATCCAATGCTACTGAAATGGTCTAAAGACACTGTTCAGATAACGGATGTGACTACTGGTATCCATTGCCAGCATATTTATACAAAATATTTATACCAAACGTCTGCTTTAAATGTAAATTTTCCAAAGATCTGCTTCCTTTCTATGTGTAAATAGACAAACAGAAGACCGTCCTGTTAAATCACCCACAGGTTCTGAACTTGTTTGGACTGAAACTTGCCTACAATTGAATTTCTTAAAATCCGACTTAAAATGTTGGCTGAAGGAAATTGTTATGAAGGTATCCTGCCAATCTACGTCCAATACTGTCCTAATGGGTACCCATGAAGTCAACTCGGCATTTTTTGTTTGCTTGCCATGTAACTGTAGAACTAAATATAGTAGCTTTTCTTGTATCAGTAGAAGTGTGTGGACATGCTATGTAGCTGCTTCTAGTTGACATTTCAACATTTATGAAATTTTGACTTGCCACCATTTTATTTCTATTGTAGTTCCAAAAGGTGTCAAATGATGACCTTGATTATTGTGTGTATTTTTTTCTAATGTAGGACCAGACTTTTCTGATCCTTTTCAGAATTGTGAGACAAGCAATTTCATATTGGTGCAAGTATGTTTCAACTTAGAGTTGGAAAACATTTGACTTCTTTGTGGACCGTCTTGACATACATTAATTATGAAATTGAAATGAGAAATAAAATTTTTTCAAGTATTTAGAAAGGAGGCAAAGTAAAACAGCAAAATTCCTGTTCACTAGATTTTGTCATACTTTGACGATATAAACCTTTGCAAACATGATATCTATGCTTACCAGTGAATTCATATCAGGTAATTATGCTGTGGTCCTTAAAACTATTTCATACATGTAACACTTTGATCTCTTGAGCAAACCTTGGTTCAGGTTTTAGGGGCATTGTTTGGGTGTGGTTTTGCTTTGGGTGTGATGCTCCTTATCTTAAATCTCCTCGGTGTGTCAAACAAGAACCAAGGATTATTTTGTATCATCATTGATCGTCTCAAAGGCAAAATAAATACAAAGAATTTCAATGAGTGTCTGTGAAATTATCACTCATTTTGGGGGAAAAACATTGTTTCTCTTTTACTTAACAGCATAAAAAAACATTCTGAAGTGATTTTCAAGGAAATTGGGACAACCAGCAACTAAGTTGCAACACTTTGCACTTTCATGAGCCCAACTGTGTAATGCACGAAGCAAATTACCACAGAAATTATCTGAATACTGAGGGAGATCAGCTGAGTTTATGCCTTTGGAGACTGTTTTTTCACATCACATCAAAAAAAAATCCCCCAACCTTATCGGCAGTCTCCAATTCCAATCTTCTCTTCTTCTTCGGCAACTCACAGTGTGCGTGTGTGTGTGTCAACTGTCTTGGAACACAAGAAGGGTTTCCACAGTCCTGTGACTCCAACTTGATGGTGACTTGAATCTTCATGTGCTTTTGACAACCCTGAGTGATAGGCCCTGTTCTGAAGCAACCTAAAAACTTCTGAGAGTCTCAACTTTGGTGCACGAGGGGCTTACGTTATTTCTGTCCTTTGTAAACGACAAGTGGTGCATTCTTCTGAACGTTGTCTCCCTTGGCAACCAACACTTCATCAATAACACCCTTCTTCGGGGCTCGGATGACGTACTGCAGAAAGCAAGAAAACATAAACAGTCTCATTTTGGATTGTATGGTGTATTCAATTATTTGTCTCACTTTCGATTGACACTTAAAATCAACACCAACTGAGTATCAGTGACAACTTGAAGTCTCTGAGTCACAAAAACGGACTTCAATCAAAATTGTCGTCCATGAAAAACAAGCAAATAAGAAGTGCATATGGCTCCGATTTGAACATCATTTGACAATCTGACCCTTTTACTATCCTAGCCAGATCTCATGCTTCCCCATGGAGCTGCATATGTAACTGTGCAGTCTCACACTAACTACATCGTCTTGAGATTGCACATAAGATCTTGACAGGGTCTTACCTCCATCTTCATCGACTCCAAAGCCAGCAGGGGATCTCCCTTCTCCACGGCCGTCCCTGGCTCCGCGTAGATGTGGGTGATATCTCCCTGCATTGGGGCTCGGTCGCCCATTGTTCCCGAGCCTGAACCGCCGAGGAATTCTGGAATAGGTCTCATGACTTCCACTCCACCAACCTATATATCAGAACATCAAATGGGTAAAATAAGTACTCTCCAACTTACTTGACGAGAAAAGGTTGTAGCTTCCACAACAATAACTCGATAAAACTTTCCTATTAAGATGGTTATACGTACCTCTGCAAATATGTGGACTGCCCCTTCATGCATGACAACTTTGGTGTCTGTCTTGATGCCGTTGATGGTGCCTACCAACTGTGCTGTATTGTCTTCAATCTGTGTAAGTTGGCCTTGAACATCAAACGTCTCGTCTCCAATCTAAGATAGAGGGACGGACAGTTCTCAAATACTTTCGTCTGGAATACTGACACCGAAAAATAGGCACCTTAACTCAAAAGCTGCTGCCAGAAATTAACCAACCTGTGCCCGACTTTCTATTTCATTACCTCCACTCTGTATCTGTCATTTGCTTGATACGTCACCGTGGCGTCGATGGTGTCATCTTTATCGGTGAAGGCAATTCGTCGTATAAGATTCTCATTCACACGGATGCCGCTTCCCATGGAGAATGGCGAGAAGGGATCTGCGACAAACCAGAAGCAGAATAATTCTGAACCTGTCCAGCCAGAAAAACCAAAAGAACTGACAGATCTGTTCAGCCCCTGGGCCTTGGCATTCCGGCCAATCACACCCTTGGCCCAGCCCGGTGATTTCTGTCTGACAAGCGTATACTTGTGTACTTTAAGACTGTTTGTATGGTCACTTTTTCTTTGTCCTTGGCATGAAAGCCTACCTCCACTGGCAACTGCTTCGTTCTGCCCCTTCTGCTGCTCGAAGAGTATCAGCGCCATCGCAGCCTGGCATAACGTCAGCCTGTTGAGGGCGCCCTTCCTGCTGAAGAGCTGGTCCTCGTACTGTGGAATGAAGCCTGTGTGCACGTTGCCCTGGATGAATTCCGGGTGCTTAGCTAAATCATCCAGAAATCTGATGTTTGTCTTGAGGCCAACAATCTGTTTTACCCGAAAGTGAAAAATATCAAAGTGGTTTGACGAGACAGTTTATCCAAATGATCCAAGAAACACTAATGTTCTATTGTACTGCCGAGGGTTGATAAGCTCCATTCATACTCCCTTGGAACTTTTGTCACAGGGAACAATGAGGACAGGTAACAAACCAACTAAATATTAAATCTTATTTTTAAAACTCACGTGATAATCTCTGAGAGAACTTCTCAGTTTTTCCAAGGCGGTCTCTCTGTCTGGGGACCACACAACCAACTTTGCAATCATGGGATCATAAAATGTAGTCACTTCATCACCTGACAGCAAAACAACCAAATGAGAATCCATGATTAAAACATCACAGCTGAGGGCTCAAATGGAGATACGTGAACAGGGACAAACTGACGTAAATGTCTTAAGTTTCCCCCAATCAGCTCCTTTTTTGTCATTCTCCTACACTCGAAGTCGTGGTCACCTACGCTCCCTCCAAAACTGTCCTTGCTGTGAGTGAGGACATCAATGCGGGGATCTGTACTATGAGGACATCAATGTGAGGAAAGTAACTGTGAGAACATCAATGGGCTCCACATGAACTCTGGATATATGATCAAGTTATAGCCAGGAGGTAAATGCACTGTGCTATCCACTTAACTTCTGGCCCTTCGTGGTGTTTGAGAAAAGGCGGCAAGAGACTTCCACCATTCTTTAGGGCTTCATTGAGTGTAGAGTGACCACTGGCCTGGATTAGTCTCAATATCAGAAGAGTGTTCCGTCCAAAGTTTTGTTACACAGTAAACTTTCCTGCAGCTGCTGTGCTCTGATCTAAAAGCTTCTTGCTTGGGGAAGGGATGCAGAGAGGAAAACTGAACAGAGAAGCTGTTGTCTGAAGGATGAAAACAGGAAGGGCCTGCTCGATACCTTGCCTGACTCCTGTCTCTATCCTGATGGTCTGGTCCGCGGTGGGAGGCGACAGGTGGACTAGGGGTCCTGCACCGGGTAAGAAGTTATTGTCTGGGTCTTCGGCATAGATCCTGGCTTCAAAGGCATGGCCATGGAGGCAGAGGTCAGACTGGGTTACTGGGAGGGGGGAACCAGCGGCAACCTGAGAGAAAAATGGAGAATACAGTTACGTAGAGATCATTACATCAGGCAATTGACTTCAAGATGGAACAAGATCTGGATAACAACATTTATGAATAAAATTACCATCCCTATTTGACTCAAAAAGTATCAAATTCATTCATCCAACCCTTTGATACCCAGATATTTCAACTCAAATATAATTTTTCGACACACCCTTGGAAGTTTAAATTGAAACTTTGATATGATTTCCTTTCTTCTTTTGGCTTTCACCTTGAGTTGCCATTCTACCAGATCCGTGTTAGTGACCATTTCAGTGACTGGATGCTCCACCTGTAGCCTGGTGTTCATCTCCATGAAATAGAAGTTCTGCTTACTGTCCATGATGAACTCAACTGTACCTGCAACGGGAGAATTAACAAGACAAACAGTAATTGCAGTGGCATGCTGCCGAGACCAAGATCTACGTTTACTGGAAGCCAGTTTCTCACAGCAATGAAATGAAATGTACCTGATGTTTTGATGAAGTCACTTGTCAAACTTCCACTACAAGGCAAGTCATTTCACACACCAATGCAACAATAAATCTCAAGATATAGTGTCAAAGATAACAGCATGCAAAATCCCAATGCTGAAAAGCAAAGTCTTTGAAAACCACAACTTATAATAGACGTATTAATGACAGACACCAAACTTACGCAGCTTCCCTGCACTGAAGTTTGGAATAACCAGTACTAAATGTGTTTATTGAATGGTTTAATATCATTATACCAGGACATCTACTGCTGGCTTCATGAGGTGTCAGACACCTTACCTGCTCCCACATAGTTGACCGCCCTGGCTGCCCTGACCGCTGCCTCTCCAATACTCTGCCTGACTTCTTCTGACAAACCAGGCTGGAAAAAAAAAGTGTCAAACTGTAATTTCCTCAACCTGAACTGATCACTGCCTCGGTGTCCCTGATCCATGTCCCAAGTGCACTGAACTGAGAGTCAAAGTAGAGGTAAGAACTTGTTTGAATTCTGTGACACTAGGAAACCTGACACTAGTTTGAGAGCCAATGGGAATGGGAGAGCTACTTACAGCAGGCGCTTCCTCGATGATCTTCTGGTGTCGCCTCTGAACGCTACAGTCCCTCTCAAACAAGTAGACGTAATGACCGTGCTTGTCCCCAAACACCTGTACCTCAACATGCCTGAGACAGATAGAAAGGAAAGAAATGAAAATTAGTACAACTTGGTTTCTCAAGGAAACAGGAACCCTAACAAAAATGCCTGAACCATCTTCTAAAACCTCAGCTACAGACTTTGGCCGTGTCCAAAACAGGCTTCCAGAGCTACGGCTAGGTCTACCATCTACGCGTCTCCACACACTTCCAATAGAGCGAAGACCTAGACCTACACCTAGCTCTAGACAAGAGATTCGGGATGCAGCCTTTTTTGAACTGTACATATTTCTCTGAAGGTAATTCTTCTTTTAATTATTTAATTAATAATTTAATTATTTCAATTGGTCTAAGTGCGATATCTTAACCTATGTCACATAATTTCGTTAGTCATTTTAGGTGTACTTTTTAATTTCTTTTTATTTCAACCTATTGTACTTGCTGGGACCCATGGGAAATCAGTTTTCCTACGGAATGGATAACTGAGGGTAAATAAAAGATTAATAACAATAATTCTGTCAGGATGTGATGGCACATAGTTGTATCGAGGCAAACTCAAAATTGTCAGCCGTAAACAGTCTCTTAATAAAAAGTTAAAACCTCGTGTCGTTGGTCCTGTATCTATCGTTAATTGAGTATGGCGTCATTTTCACATGAATTGCAAGTACCTGGGCGTGTCTACAAATTTTTCCACCAGCATGACGTCATCATCAAATGATTTGAGAGCCTCTCTCCGAGCTGATTCGAGGGCTTCATCAAAGTCGGCGGCCGTCATCACAATACGCATTCCCTGCAAACAGACGTCAACCAAGACCTTCATATTTATTCAGGAGTCAGTTATTTGCATGACACACGTGACAGATGACGGAGGTGGCAAGAGCAAGAGGCAGATGATGACTACATGGCACTACAGTACGGATTTTCCCGTGATTTTAAGATTATTTCGGGAAAAACAGCCGCATTCAAAGCAAAACTTTGACTGGAAAGGATTACTCACTTTGCCACCGCCCCCTCGGACGGCTTTCAGCATCACCGGGTAGCCAATCTTCTCTGCCTCTGCCCTCAGCCTGTCATCTGATTGGTCCACGCCATGGTAACCCTCGATGATTGGCACTCCAGCGGCGGACATGATGGACTTGGATGTGCTACACAGACGAGAACAAAACCAAAAGCACAATCCAAAAGCTCCTTAAAAATGTACTAAAAAGAGTCAAAATTGGCTGCAAACAGAGAGAAATGTTGGTCCCCAAATTTGTAACTTGCACATATCAGTAACTGATAAAAGAACATTAAATACGACAAAACCAACACCCCATGAACAAAAAAAAAATGCGCTCTGCAAGTAACTGATTTGTTAGGCTCAAGAACAAAGCCAAGGAAATGATTACTAAAAAGCGCCCTCTTACGATCTTACCTCTTGATTCCCATGTCTCTGATAGCCGCAGACGGAGGACCAACAAAAATCACCCCCTCTTTGTCACAAAGATCAGCAAATTCTGTATTCTCTGAGAGGAAGCCGTAGCCGGGATGGATTGCTTGGGCACCGCAGGACTTGGCCACCTGCAGAATCTTCTGTTTATTGAGGTAGCTGAGCTGGGATGCAGCTGGGCCGATGTGGTAAGCCTCATCTGCCTGGTGGGCCAATCAAAAACAAGGTTTACTTCAAACTGGAATAAAATGCCAATAGGTGAATGGTTCATCAAGCAAAATTTGTGCAGTGCTGCCCAGGTGCATGGTGCGTTTGGGAAAAAGCAGCTTGGTAGAAGCAGAAAAGCAAACCAGTACTGCAGAAAATCGGCAGATTGGAAAAGGAAGTTTGACCATGATATGGAGAAAAATGCACTGATTACAGTTGTAGATCAAAAATGTTGACTTTGAATTGAACTTGTCCATTTCAAAATATTTTCCACATCAATAATGTGTTGCATTAATAGAAAGCTAAATGCTTTTAAAATATACAATAAAATAGACAATGACACCTGTTCCTTTTAAGACAATGACACCAGTTCCTTTTTAGACCATGACACCTGTTCCTTTTTCTAGCCATAGTACTGAAGCATGAATTTAAACATTTCCAATTCTTACCATTGCCACGTGCATTGAGTGTTTGTCAGCATCGCTGTACACTGCTACCGTCTTGATGCCCAGTTTGCGAGCAGAGCGTATGACACGGCAGGCAATCTCTCCACGGTTGGCAATGAGTACCTTGCTGATTGGCACTGGTAAAACATCTGCATTAGCACGAACAGACAACGAAGAGAAACGAATTGGAACAAATTAAATAGAAGGAAATATAAGAACTGTTTGTCAAGTGTACAATCAAAACAAGATGACAAGTACAAAAGCTGGGTGGTCTTTACCTATCAAATTGTTAACAGAAAGTGATTTATTGGGGAAGGAATGACACTTATTGCTTAATCTGACGGACTTCACAATTCTTACCTGATAACTGTCGGCATGATGAGTGAGATTTGGACAACCTGCCAGTATTCCTAGTGGATAAGAAATACACCGAAATGAAATGTAGCAAGAGTTTTTCTCAACAGTTTTTCTAACGTTTTTACCTGGCGAAGACAGCTCAAATATCATTCACAAGTGTCTTGTAACCCGAATTCCATAAATGCTGTGTTGAAATTACTAAATACGCCTGAGAGCAACACGTTATGCAAGAAATTTAGCGCAACTCCATGCTTTACAATTTACATTCGTTTAGTACGCGTACTTACACATGCGCGAAATGCATAGCAACCAACTGCCTCTTATGCATGCATGGAAGAACTGCGGGCATGAAGAAGTCGCAGATATGGCCGTGTACAAAACGGGCTTCCAAAGCAAGCTAGGTCTGTTGTCTGCGCGTCTCCATGCATTCCCAATGGGCCAAAGACCTAGGCCTAGCTCTAGACAACATAACTCATTAACTGACAGAATGTGGCCTACGCTTGGAGGCCATTCATTTCGTACATGCACAAATGCGTACTACCAGATGAACGTAGGCCTAGATTGTTCACGAATCGTGACAGAAAGCGTAGAGTTTTACAAAACTTCCTACAAAATACATTGTCCACAGGCACATTTAGTAATTTCAACACAGCATTTATGGCACTTGTGAATGACATTTGAGCTGCCTCCGCCAGGTAAAAATGAGGGAAAAAACATTGAAGAAAATCTTGCTATGGCAGGAGGACTTTATACCCAGGACGTCAGTGATAGTGTAAATCATGGAGGTAGATGAAGACAATGTCCAGCCTAGCTAACAGCGTACGCTTACATTACGACAAAACAACAACAAAACACATGACTTCTATAAAGAAGTTATCTGGCTTCAAAACAGCACTGCAAAACCATCTACAGGTGGAATGAGCAACCCCCCCACTGGCCCCAGTTCCGTTCTGAGTGATGCTCATTTAGGTCCCCTCGTGCTTTTCAATTTCAGAGGACCTAGGCCTATCTTGCCTATTCATCCAGATCCAGACACATGACACGAGTTCGTAAATTGGGCACAATAAACAATTGCAAATTCCGTCCCTAACTCACTATATTTTGGATGAATCTATTCCTGACCCGGCATAAACAATCATTTTATTTATTTATAAAATACCCACCTTCCTTGCCGAAAAACCTCGGTAGCCAAAAGCAACCGACTCGCTCTCATGATCGTCGCCATTTTGTTGAGTGAGGGCGCTACAGTACAGGGCTTACTTCACACACTTATATAGGCCTACATGTATACTTTTTTCGTGCAGGGCCGTTTTCCAATACTCAACTTCGGCTCCGTGTCAGGCTTCAACTGTTTTTTTACTACCTGACTTTGAAGCTGTAAGCACACTAATTAGTGTAATAGTGCCACAAAACACCAAATAAGATGCAAGAGAGCAAAAACTTACAGTAATCCAATTTGATTGAAACGCTTCAGGCCCTCAATCGGGGATTGGTTTCGGGGACGCTCGAACGGAGACGAAGTTGAGTATTGGAAAACGGCCGAGATAATATTGACAAATATAATATGGAACCCCTACCATTTAATCACATTTCAGTTTATATTACGGACGAATACGATAATAGGCCAATATGAAGTCTATTTGCAATCCTCTCTTCGAGGTATCAGTCAATTCAATAGTGTATGTCATTCGACTCCACTCCTTGACTGAGCGGGCCCTACCTCAGTTCAGTCCAGTTCATCAATGCATTGGTTTTCATTAATCTAGTATCTCTCCGCACTTTTTTTTCTCTTTTCTCTGTTTTATTGATCATCTCTCCGCACTTGCTTTCGATGTCGCATGAGGCCATTTTCAAATAAAATGATAGTCACCTCATGATTTCAAATGAGTAGTGCCAGTATTTTATATGAACTAGCGAATTGATACACAAAGTTGTTACACATCTTCAATACACCATTCTCATTGGTCAGAAGTTCCAATGGGGGCCGATGCACTGTTCTGATTGGCTCGAATAATGATAGTAGTCGTCATAATTTTTCTACTTATTATTTAACACTACAGGAAAACATTTCACACAAAAGACTTTTTTTTCCAAAAAATTTAAACACAATTTTGTCGTTTATTTCTGTAGTAACGAGCTGCATCATACCCTTTTAATATTAACAATGGATGCCTTACATGTGGTAATATACAGAGTGGATGCAAAAGAAATGTTTTCCCCTGCATTGATGCACGTCTTCACTGTGTTTCACAATATGCACAAACAATTGTGGTGTTTAGGTCCTTCAAGTTGGGAAGAAATATTTTGTGTGTGATTATTTCAGGCAAGAAGAGACTCTCTGTTAGTTTCCACTTTACAGACGAATGAGGACCACTGATGGTTTCATTAGGAAAGAAAGCCAATCTCAAAAAGACTAAGTCCAGGTTTTACCCCGAGGTATTCCACAAAACCTTCTTCAACCTCAAGTTCTCTCTTGTTCAATTTTGCATTCTTCCCTAACTGCATGGTGCTGTAATTTCACATTAGAGTCAACATTATCAGGAATTTATAACTGTGAAAATACAGCAGAATAACGGCAGACAATGCAGAAATATTGCAGAAAAAACAAAGCTTCATAAAGCTCTTAAACGTGAGGTTTTAGTCAAATTAACCAAATAAGTCTTGGCATGATGCATATAAACGAGCATTCAAAGAGGAAGATTTTCTCTAGTTTTCAAAATCTGAGGAAGATGCTGGTCATCTGCTTTTTTTGCACAAAATAAAGTATTATCCTATGCGGACATACGACTATATGCATTTTATTCAGGGGTAAGAATGGAGGAAAATTAATTATGCACAAAACATCACAGATTTTGAGGGACCAAAAGCAACGTTATGTCTATGGTATACGTTTGGATTTGCCTCCTCAAGGCTCCCATTAAAAAGCCCATTTTGAGTGCTCCATACATATCAACTTGACATAAAAAAACCATGAATGGTAAACTCAGGATTTTTCAGCTTTAAAAAAGATTGTTCGAAAATCCTGAAATTGGGAAAATCCTAAAGAAAAATACTGAAATCAGGGAAAATCTCGCAAAAAATCTCACCCCTGCTTATTACCAGCTGAAGAAATAAATTCATATAATTTATTACCTGAACCCTACCATCCACACATAACTTAGGAGGAATATGCATGACGTCTCTCAGAGTCTAGATACAGGGCATAATTTATAAAGTTATGGCAGGGGCAAATCAACAAGTACATGTAGTTTAAATGGGCAATATCCATAATAAAGATAAATGATGAATGCTGTGTCAATATGCCAAGAGTGTTCTAAATTCTTACGAGCATTTTTTTTTAATTTGATTACTGTTTAAACTCTAACCCATGAAGATCAAAGTAAAGAATTAACCACGACTGTTCAATGCCGTTACAAAATGTACCGTGGCGTCTGGTGTAATATAACTGCCGACGGCAGGTAAACTTTGCAAGAGCTGGTTGGCATTGAAACTAACTTTCTGTGATGGACTATTTCACCGTTGCCACCACTTCAGCGCCCTGAAATTGTATCAGTGATTAAGGCATGGAACAAATCCCAAACCAATTTCCAAGAGCTCCTGAGAGCACAGAAAGGGTTACCGGCCTCAATACCACCTAAGGCGTTTCACCAGTGACTGGTTTCCCAGTAGACGCTTTGCTTTCAAGGTGACTTTACAGAGAAACACCTTCAACACGTAAACTTAAACCCTGACCTCTTGAGAGAATAAGCCTTTCATTCACACCTATTGTAAGGCAAATCCAAGTGATCACTGGTTCCCAAATGCAAACCATATCTCGACAAATAAAAAGGTCCTCTCCACAAACTCTTTCCGTACCACATACTTTTTACACACAGTAGACCTCAGAATCTTGAGTCTGCTAGCAAATACTTAGTGCTTCATGAAAGGCTGAAAATCTCAGCCAACTTAACAACTGCTACAATAATGGACGTGCTGAGGAGCTTTGGACCAAGCCACTTTAAGCTGAAATTGAAGATAGCCTGTCCGAGAGTTACCTGAAGCCCAAGAGAAAGCATCTAGCCAGTGATATTGCTACATGTTACTTATGAGCCCAGTGACAAATGTTAACACAAGGGGGAAATTTCCCTACCCTTGTGAGGCAGTCAGGTAACGGAGACCTTTGTTCTTTAGGATGTACAATGTGGCGTAACCAAAATGGGCATATCTCCTTATAAAGGGTGTCTTTTACGTGGGTAGTCCGACACATCATCATTAAAATAAAACATCCATACTCGATCCTCGCAGAGGTACTTGCGCAGTGCTGGCTGTGTTTCCAGGCCTGTAATTCACAGTCCAAAGCCGTTTTGTTTTTCTTGAGCTTGGGGTTAAACGGCTCTCAAGTGGCAAACTTTCTACTGTCCTGTATAAGGGTATTGGTGTCTGACGATCCATTGTAAGAAATCCTTGTTGCACTGCACGTTGTTAAACTCATGCTACGTATGTGTACACTTTCCTGTTCAAAGAAGACACACAAAATGAGGTGATAATTTCACGTGGACATAGTGTCGTTGGTCTAATTTGATGAAAAGTTTTTATTACAACAGTAGGCTTCACGTATGTAATTGGTAGAATGTTAAAAACGAAATAAATTGGATTCCGTGCCAAAATGAGGAGTCGAGTCTTGTAACAGCTTGAAACCCGAGACTGAATTGGCTGCTAATGACTTAGCAGTCAATTACAGTCATCCGCACTTAATGAAAATCCTACAACAGATGGAAAAACAGTATCAATTTGACCTGACTTGGTAGGAAATATATTCTTTGTTGGAGTGTCACTCCATGTGCGGTGTAAACCGAGAAAACTGTGCATTAATGGAATTGGAGGTAGGCGGGGTGGTGTGAATCTGGCATGGGGGGTGGCTGTTTGCACTGACCTGTCCTCTGCTGTCCTGGCCAGATACTCCCTCTCAATAAGGCTTTCTATTCTCTTCTTGATGACCACAGGACTGGGTAGAAACCTGGACTTGAGCTGCTCAGTTACCTGGCCCAAGAAAGTAAAATTTGCCCATCAATCTAATGTTCAGTAGTGAAAAGACACAGTCATTTGCAATAGCAATTTGAGTAAACAGACAATACATTGTGAACAGTCTCCTTGGCACTTGAAGCTGATCGACAATTGGTCAAAAGCTCGGTCCACAGACAAGTGAGGTTTACTACCATCAATTCCACATTTGAAAAACACAGAGCCGGTCACTTCTTACCTCGGCTACAAGTACATTGTGTTGTCTCTTCTTCCTTGACTTCATAATGCGAACAATTGCAGCTTCAATCGTGACAAATCTGTTAAGGTCGATTGGTCTGACTGAACAACTGTGAAAGCCACATGTACTGAAATAAAAACTCACTACAGATGTGTAGACCAATTAAACACCTTAAGCCTGAACTTAACTTGATCAAAAAAAATATGAACTCTGTTTCTTTTAATTTGAAGTTAATTTCAACGCCTGCCTGGTATTAAAACTTGCGCTCTAGATCAGGGCAAAACTTTTGAAGGTTCCTGATCAGGAAAGACAGCTAATAGCAAATTTACATTGGCAGGGGACTAGCCTTGTAAGATATACATTACACACGCATTTTAGGCTGAACAGATAACGGTGGAGCATTTCTTCTTTTTTTTTTTGGTCGCATTAGCAAACTAAGTGAGCCTTTACAAAACTTCGAGTGAATCAACGGCAAGGGTGTGACATTCAGCCACCAAGTGACAAAAAGGATATTCATGTTTCCTGTCCTCATCCACCCTTGTCCTAGTCTCTTTCCTCTCCGGCTCTGACTCACCCTTAGCTGCCACTGCAAGCCATCAAATATATCAAATGTGCCTTGTGTATAGTAACAAATTGCTTATTTATTCAGACTTGACATCTTGGTTTAACCCTTACTCCCTTGGGTGTGTGCAAAATCATTTCAAATTAGGAGGATTCAAGATTATTAGGGTTAATACTTCTAGTAACACTGTCAAGGACACTGGGGCCCATGTACTTGGGAAATGTCAAGGCTGGTCTGAAGTTGAGACGGATGAATCTCTCTTTAGGAGGAACAATTTTACATTTCTCTGAAAAGTTTGAAGGTTTGTAATGAAACTGGATGACAAAACTGGACTTGTATTTATGTCACAGAGGAGGCACTACCAAAGCTGGATTAAAATATGATTTCGCTGAAGAAAAAAAAAAAGAAAATTGAAATCAATTTCAATCCAAATAGGCAGTACAAGCAGAACCAAAGATATCTCGAGAACTGTAAGCAAGAAACTGTCTCTGGGTTATCAACTCACCTGTTTGGATTTTAACCCTGAAAAGCTTTGAGGTGAACATATCGTTGACGGTAAAAACATGACTATTCTCTGCAAAGGAGAGGAAAATGTTGGCAAAAAAGATGCACAGTGAATTCAGAGATCCAAAACAAAACACAACAGAAATTTCAATATTGAAGACCATTTCTAATCCTTTGCTGGAAAAACCAAAATAAACAGACTAACACCTCGGTTTCATATAGTATCGTCTAATATTCTTTTGAACTCTGCCAAGCTGTAATCTCTTAGTCGGGGACCAAGTTAAAGCCCAAAGCCAAAGACACGGGCCAGGGTACAAGGAATGAAAAATGTTTCTGGGTTATCTCATTCATCGGTCAGAAAACAAAGAGACAGCCTACCAGTCTCATGGGGAGGGGTCTGAAATCCTATCGTTCCCTTACCTATTTCTTTGCACTTAGGGTCTTTGACAAGTATTCTCTGCGTGGGTTTGCCTAAGGCAAGTGACTGCAGTGCCCTGATGAGATCCTTGGAGGGGATGTCTGTCTCTTGACTGATCTCCTGTGAGGGGATAACCAAAAAAAAGTTTCCAGCCGTCCAAGGGACCCATAATCAAATCCTGAAAGGAAAAGCTGTGAAATCATTAAGGCTTTCAGAAAGTAAAGAGAATTCTGCAATACCGCTCTCAGTGAAGTTGAGGTCTTGGTCTGGGATTTTTAACTCATCTTGCTACAAATATTCTTTCCTGTCACACACGTGCTATGTTCAGTATTGTCTTGTCAGTCTAAGAGTTACATGGCAACAAAGCTGTCGACAGTTCTAGGAAAACTTGTCCGCAGGGCATCCGTTCAAGGTTTTGGGTGGGCAAGGCGATGAACTGTCTCGGTCATACCTCATATGTGACCTGCTCTCTGGTGTTGAACAGCATAAGAATGCACATCTGGTATGTTGACACCTGGATGATATGTCTCCGCTGCTCAACCTTCCCTACCTCCTGAAAAAAAAAGAATGCGTGAATGCAAATCCAAAATATTTGTGGAATTCTTACCCAGTGTTCCGGTAGCAATATTCATCCTTAAGGCTTGAAAATGTGCGATATAACACTTCATTCGTGTCTGCCCACTAACTGTTTACGTGAGGTTTTTGAGTTTGGTCGTGGAACAGCCAGTGATCCCAAAATGTAAATTTCACCAAATTACTGAGATCTAGTCAAGAGACCTTTAACAGCAGTCCGTGAAGGAAAGAAGGCACAAGTGAAAAGTGACCGAGAGTTAACTATGATGGAAACCACGCAGTCAAGAAGGACCTGATAACCCAATCCATGTATCTATGCTACTGATGACATTGCCAGCAGGTGTGGTAAGAGTCTGAAAGCAAGGGCAGGAACCGCTGTGCCGGCCTGACTGTCCGGTTCATTTAGAAAGACCAACAAGCTTGACGAGTAACTTTCCCCTGCAGCTGGGCAATACGATCTCTAACTCTTCCTGCTTCAAATGTAGTAGCAGTGCACAGGCATTGGTACTCACCTTTTTGGACCCATAGAAGACAGCGTGTAGGTCTGCCGAGCCGAGTTGCGGCGTCAGTGATATCTGTCTCCCTGTGTGCTTTGTCAAGTAAAACCTGTAAACAGGTTCAAAGTGAGATTAGTAATGCAGAGAATGACTAGAGTTCTATTCAGCATCAATCTGCTTACCTCTATAATGGACAGGATTTGAGGAACACATTTTTCCTTTGAAAAAATGCATGAAGGCAGTACACGGAATGACACTCTGGTTTTGTCTACAGTTACTTGATTTCAGGTACGAGTCAAACATTTATATCCATCCACTCAGAAAGGAGAAAACAGCCTACTTATGTAATTCACACATACGCTACAAATTCTGAAGTCATCTTAGGGCTGGTTCATACTCCCTGCATTCGCACATACTTTCATCTTTTCTCAAATCTCGGCCGACAAAAGTTTAAAACTTTCAATTTGTCAGAATATGCATACATTTGGTGCGTACGTACCATCCATTATTTTCAAAAGCTGCGTGCAAGGGCGCGCATTTTCATTACACACTGCGCTTTCCCTCATAAACTGCAGACACCTCAAAAAAACCCTTCACGCTCGGCTGCGTACACGGTGAATACACAGTATGAACCGGCCTTCAGTATGGTGCTAAGGAGGCAAAACATCCAACTGGAAGTCCCAAGGATGTAATGTAAGAGGTCAACTTGTGGCCACAGAGGCATCAGATGACCAACCTCTTGAAGGCTTCAAAGGCACCTCTGGCCTGATGTGGTATCGTACACTGTGGTGTGGCCGACTGTGTGGGCCAGAAACCAGTGGTCAAGACGCGCACACTCAGGTCCACTCCATACATGTTGATCTGCAAGGGTCAAGAATAGTAAACTGACTATGTCAAAGTCTAACAGAAACACCAACCGACGAAAGGTTCATTCACTGAGCACAGTACACATAAAAATTGGGCAAAAGAAAGACATGTGACACAAGGGTAAAGAATGCTGGATATCCTCTCCATATGAGTAACATCTTGAAATCTCCTAACAATCTCCTACTGAACTAACAGGATCCCATGAGAGATATAACTCAAGATGGGAGAGGAGTGGAGACTTACCTGTGCTGTTTGCACGTGGTTCTTGAATTCCTCCATGAATGTGTTAGACACCGTCATGTCCTTGAACATCCCTTCAAGCTTAGATGTGAACTGACAGCCACACTCCGTCTGATGGCAAACCAAGTAAACGTTGACCAGAATCAAACAAGAAAGGGTCAAATGGCACATAGTATCCACTGGAAGACCCTGTATTCTGACAGTGGACAAAAAAGCAGGACGTTAAGGGTCTCATATCTTGCTGCTGATGATGCTTGTCTCATTTTTACCTTCAGCTTGGAGATCATGTTCTTCTCCGAGTCGTCTGAGACGCTCTTGTTCAGCAGTAGCCTCTTGGCAAGATGCTGCTTGTAGTAGCGCTCAAACACGTCCTTCTCTTGCAGAAATCGGAATAGGATCATGCTCTTGTCAAGGATGGCCTCCACTTCTTGCTCCGAGAGCTATGACCCATAAAAAAGGGGGAGGCGGGATTGGATGTAAGAATGAGAGTGGCAGAAATGTTTATGCTTGAGTTGGGTCGGCTGATTGGCTTGGAGAAATGCCCAACCCTAAGGAGATGACTGACAGAAAAGTTTTCTGTCTCAACAGTTTTTGTTTGACCTTGGTACATCCACAAAAATGTGCGAATGGTATAAATCCTACAATTGGATAATCAATTATTAATAATGGCTACGAAATGACAAAGTGTCTCATGTTGCCATAATGCCAGATATGTGCATTTTACAATACACAAGGTTATAAAAAATATTTGTTACATCAAATACTTTAATGAGAAAGTTCCCTTCAGCCCAATTTAAAATTCAGTTTGCAACAGCAATATGTGTAATTCTCAAGCCGATTGCAAACACAGAGCAAATAGTTACCTCACATTTCACTACATCCTAACCTTCTCATCACCAGAGACAACTTCTGCCTTACCCCTTTGACACCTTTCTTGAGCTTGTCGTCGATGAAGAGCGACAGGTACTCGGGCGACTTGGGGTTGAGATTGAGGAAGTATTCAAAGTCCCCTGAGATGGTCTGCTTGAACTTGCGATCGTTGTTGAAGGATTCCCGCAGGAACATGTCAAACCTATCCTTGAGCTCCAGAAGGTCCTGGACAAATATCAACAACTCAAAAGTCATTCATTTTGATTGCCAACATTATTTTGGCTACACTTCTGAACTTAATGAACTTTCGTAACTGACATTTAAAGTAATTCTGAAAAAGAAAACAATTCTAAAACCAATTAAGAAACAAAGGCAGTATCTTAAATGAAGAGACGGGTAACAGGTGAGAGAAAATTGCTTGAAAGTTCAAAATATTTCAAGTAGATGTTGGACTCGTATCTTTGGGAATGCTTACATCACATCCTGATATTCAACATTAAAAAGCCAATGGACGTTCAGTTTGCAATGAAATGTTGGCTGGTATTTGATGAAGTGAATCACCTGTACATATTGTATTGGATTCTTTCCACTGTCTTCCTCCTGTACCAGGGCCTTGCCTTGCTCTCGTAGGTAACCACTCACACACTGGCACATGGTTTCTAGACCTTTGGGGACACGGATGAAGAGCTTGTACATGCACGCCAGGTCTGCGAGGGAATCATTGTAACTAGTATCACCCCGAGGTCAATGCAATGGACTGCTAAGTGGACGCACTGCTAGAGAAGTTGACATATGAAGCAGAAATCAGCTGAGAAGAAAGACTGTGTCTGAATCACATGGTTGTGGCTTAAAACTGCACAAAAGACTATGGTCAGACAATGTACAGGACATGCAGTGACCTTTGCCTTGACAGAGTGCATTTAACACAGCGAACAAGTCAAAGTGAATGATTCAAGTTCAATGGCATCCTAGCAGTTCACTCATCTTTGCTCAGTAGAAAATTATCTTACCATCTTTCTTGTTATTTTTCAACATGTGGACTACGCCCGAGTTCTCCATCTGAAAAGTAAAGTTAAATATTGGACGCTTCATAAAAAAAAAATAACATTTTTTCAATCGATGTGACTTTTATCACATAGCATTAAGCATTACAAATTTTAATTGGTGATACTTTACGGATTAAATTCTAAGCATAACAGTATTCAGAATTTCAAGTCTGCATACTTACCTCAACAATGTTCTTCATGTGTTTGCTAATCAGCTCATCTTCTAGAACCTGTACAAAATTGATAACAGGCGTCCCAGATATTTAATAGACTTGGTACAAAGGCGTCACAGCAAAGGAAGTTTGTGGTAGTTTTATCTAACAGTGCTTGAGCGAAAACTCAGGGCAAAACATGTACAGCTGTCTCCTCTTTCTGCACCGTACAGTTACAGAGCATTTCTAAGGAAAACATGTTTTCTGTTTTTATGTGTTCAGACAAATATGGAAGCATCCAAATCGAATGCAGTGTCATTTGTCATAGTGGATAAACCCTTGTGCATGCCTAACAACGCATGTAGCCATTGCTTGTAGCCATTGCTTGTAACCATTGCTTGTAGCCATTGCTTGTAGCCATTGCTTGTAGCCATTGCTTGTAGCCATTGCTTGGCATGCAAGGATTTATCCACTACAAACACAGGCTGAGGATTCCCCTTGTTTTCTCTGAGTGACACAATCTACATTCAGAATTTGCATCTTTGCAAGAACAGAAAAAAGCCCTTTCAAGTTTGTCATAGTTGAGCTCTGAAGACAAATGACACTGCATTCAATTACGATGCTTCCATATTTATTTGAACAGATAAAATCAGAGAAAGCATGTTTTCCTTAGAGGTGCTCTTACTATACAAACATCACACACTGAAATCCAACCATATATCATATACTATCAGATGTATGGTTTGCAGAGAATCAAGGAGGAAATCTTGAGGCAGGCCACACCTTCACGATGGGTTCCTCAGTGGACTTGTCCAGATAGTGTGCTGCCCTCTCAGCCTCTTCATTGATGCGTGCTTCCACCTTCCGGATGTAGACGGAGGCACTGTTCTCAGCCAGGAACTTTTGACTCTCTGCCTGCCAGAATTGAATAATTCCCGCAAGATTTCAAGGTACCACCTTTTTTGGGTGCTGTCAATGTTACAACAGTGATTTCGAAACTCGTAGTGGCCGAAATCAACCGTGCCTATGGACTACTTTACTTCGCTCCACGCTTTTATGGGGGGGGGGAAAAATGTGACTTTTGTCAACACAGAACCAAGCACCAAGTTGGAAAGTTGTCTGTGGCAACCAGTGTGCAGTTAACTAGATGAGTTTTAGTCTCTAAAACTGGAAGGACTAAACTGTGTTGTTTTTTTAAATGCCTTGGGTAGTTTCAGCACTTGGGGTGCTTCTGCACTGCCACTCTATCAACTTAAAGGGGGTCACAATTTCCTTAAGAGTTCACAAATGTAAAACCACTAACTCTTGGCTCTGCATCCAAACTTGTGCAAAACATCTTTTCATTTATTATCCCTTGAGAATTCACCAGTGCGCAAATAATGGACGGTACATTGCCATGGGTAGTTGTGTACTTTCAGACTTCACTACTCACTGAGTGCCAACCATTACACGAAAGAGGCAATTTCACCGATGTACGCTACATCTAGGACTACCCAATGCTATAAGATTAGGGTGCACTACAACATGACAACAGGTCCATTCCCGGTTCCCCATAGAAAAGCATACTGTTGCACTTTTCCCTGACTGTGCTACGCTATGAACATCTAACAAAAGAAGTGCACTAACAATGGATGCTCATGGTTATTGCACTGCACTTCTTTTGTGAAATGTCCATAGTGATATGTGCACAACCTTGTCTCAATCCATGGGTCGACAAGTGATTACCTGGTAGAACTCTGCCGACTGCTCCAGGAATGGCCGTTCAAAATCCTCCTCATACACAGACCTTGAGTCGATCCCCAGCACCATCAACGTGTGGCATGCATTCTTAACAGCGCTCCTGAAAAAAAAAATCAAAAACAGAGGGATAAATTCCAAAGACATGCTGATAAAAACAAATTCAACCAGTCAAACATCACTGCTGTAGCCACTGGTATACACTATTTTTTGTTTGATTTTGTGAAAAAATTCAAGGAATCAGTTTGACATAACACACGACTTTTTGACTTTGATAAAACAAAAAACAAAAAAGACCACACAAAGCCGGACAAAACCTTCAAATCAGATTAAAAAGTATTCTTATTCAGACCGCTGATCCAGTTCACCCAAGGCTTATTTCATGAAGATGCAGACCCCTTAAACTTTGAAGCAAAGAAATGTTGATGTATCAGCTGTTATTTTTTGTAGTCTTTGTACAGTGGCAAATATGACACATAGATAACCTGCATTCACAATCTTCACTATCAAGTAAACTGAGAATGGCTTGACAGCATACCTGTCTACGACCTCGCCTCGTCGTTCCTTCATCACCAACTGCAGTAGTGTCTGCCGTAGGTGGTCCCGAATGTTGCCGTAGCGCACCACCTGATCCCGGAAGATCTTCAGTCCCAGGTTGTAGACGTTGTCCACCTTATTCTGCTGCACGTAGACCCGGTCCTTTAGAGGAAACAGGTGCGCACATTTCTAACTGGTCGTGTTTAAAAAGGGGTCAACAGATTCATGTCCCTCTTTTCTACGACTGAATTATTCAACACGAAACTCTCCCTTGCACTGGGCTACCTCAAAATCCACAACAACTCTGTCAAACTCATCCAAGCTAGTGTACCGTTACACACTCCGAAATACAACACCGGGGCAAACTGACTGCCAACAAAAGATTGATTTCAGAGGTACGCTGAGTGCAAGTGGAAAAAGGACACGGTGAGAGGAGGGAAAATATTTGTCTTAGGTCAGCTGCGAGGCAGACTGGATTTCCATCAAACGGGCTGCCCTATAATGTGCCTGTGAGTACCAGACATTCCTGAGATTCTTGGACGGTAAGGTAATCGTCCCTGCTAAGCAGGACAAGCAGTACGGGATAATCGACAGAAGCAGGAGGACTGGGTGAGGGGGAATGGGTGGACATGGGAGGGGGTAGCGGTGAACAGTAAGAAATAATTTACACGATTCATACACATAATAAAAACACCCTGTAATCACATGTATCTCACCCCAAAGAGAAAAGAAAATTAACATTTAAGGTTTGTTATTCGTCCTAATTAATGCATCAAACAAAAACAAACTGAAATATGTCAAAACTTTTGTATTAACTGATTCAACATATTCATCTTCAATGTGATATGTGACCAGAATCTAATCTAGACGTACGTCGAATTCTGCAATACTTTACAAAAGAAAAATACACACATAAAATGTGGAGAAAGTACTTAGTAATTGATTACATATCTGTGGATGGCAGAGGTTAAGAATAGGTTTCTTACCATGTACATCAGGATATCTCTGATCATCACCATGGCTGTCTGGTGATCATTCCAGGCTGCATTTAGTGTCTGTAGGAAGTTGTTATTCAGCGATGCCAAGACCTCAGCCCGCACCTATTGAAAACAAAACAACTGAACTCTTTTTCCACTCTTTTTTTTTTCCAACTTGAATTAATACGATTCTACAATGACCGACAAAAAATGCAGTGCAAAAGACCAGAGATCGCTATTCGAAAGGTAGCTTTCAGTCAAATATCAAAACATTTTCCACACTTTAATGTATGAAGTGTGCCGAAGGCTAAAGAAAATATGAGTATTTTGCAGGGCTTTGGAAATTTAGGGAAATATGACTGATTGAGGACACACCCAAACCAAAAGATCTGTGGTCACTGGTTAAGAGCTAATGTTAAAAAATACCCCCAAAAACTTACTTTTTCGACTAAATGTTCTGTGACAACATCCCTTAGGCCTGTGTAAAGCCGCTCCCCATGCTTGTGAAGCACCATGGTGTAAGCATTGCGGTAGAGCTCCTCAAAGCTCAGACCGCTGTTGTTCTTACGCTGAATCTCTTGGATGGCATTCTTTAATAGCGCCCAGATGTTGTCCACGTACTTATCATCCATGTTGGTCTGTGGAAAGTTGGACAAGTCCAGTGAAGTCAAAAGCTGTTCACAGGCAATACCCCTCTCGTGCCCACAGTGTGTATGTTACTGTCAGTGTCTCGTATCATGTTTTCAAGTTTGTGAATATGGTGAACTTTCGCTCGGATACACAAAAGCAACACAGAAAGTCAACGACACAAGTGGATGTAAACTAATTAGAGAGTTCCCACCATAATCCCGCATGTAGGAAAACTTCAATCAAACTTCATTACCTACTTGTAATTAATGGTAAGGTTAAAAAGGCGGTGCACCCCATGACATGCCATGTACAGGGGTTGACAGCGGTTGGGATGAAAACGCGAGACACAGGAAAAACACACACGCACATGTGGGCAGGGACAACCTAGCAGAGGAAAAAGGTCTTGGACTACAGACTGTGCTTGGAACCAAACTGAAGACTGGATTAAAAGTGATGAGCACAAGCACTTGCTAACAAACTACGGCACTTTGCCCACCTACATGTACTTAATCCTAATATAAACACGTTATTTTCCTTTTTATTTGCAGAAAGATTGACCACTTCCGGGAGTATAAATCCACAGAAACATTTCTGTTAGTGATTAACGTGATCTTAAAAAAAACATCTGGGGTGCTTTTCAGAAAAAAAGATTACATTAGAACAGTAAGCAGTCACCCCTCATCCTGTTCAATGTAGTTTCTAACAACATCCCAATAACATGCACGCCCTGTCGGATGCTACTGATTTGACCACAACACAGACTTGTATAGGTAATTGCCAGTGTCCCTGTGGGGAATTGGAATTAATTTTCATTGATTTTACTGGCACAGGTCTGAGCCTGTACATGTAGAAGGTATATGTGCAATTCCATGCACATGTCGTTTTCATGTCACAACTTGAGAATTTTGAGTTGAGAATTTTGGTCAATCCTATCAAATTTAACACTGCAACAGTTTCACAGCATACGACTGGTTTATGTTTCAGGATCATGTTTTCCTCTGTGTCAACAATTTGATATCTGAAGATTGATATCAACTGAACCATTTCATGACAAATCATAAATTTTCTGTTCGACACGTAAGGTAAATTTGACATGACTGACAATTTGTGGGACTTTCTAAATGAAATCCAACAGGATTAGGTTACTAAGAGTTATTCACAAGCAATAAAATATGCAGCAGCTTCCAGTGTTGTAATGGAACATTTTGTATTTCCTAGCTCAATTTACACAAACTGAAACTTTCAAATGACTAATGCTACTTCTATAGAATACCACACATCAAAGGACGCCCTACGATTATCCTACCATTAACCCTTAACCCCTCAGCATGTTTTCTAGAAGGCTGACTCAAACTGTGAAATTCCAACACCCTTTCGCTGCTGGGTGGGGTATATGTACTCAACCTGCTGGATTCCAACAGTCCACTTGCCATATCAGTACACGGCACAACACGGCCCAACTAACTCCAACAGGGAGCAAACTCCAACAGGGAGCAAACTGTTGGGTTTTGGCTGAGTGGGGATACTTGGTCATATACCATGTATAAGGAATGGGGACACAGTGTACTCATCCCTTCAAGGTCCAACAATTGCAGGGCTATACAACATTTTATTTGTTGGGGGGCTCAAATTTCTTTGTTTTATCTGTGACTTCTCTTAAAAAAAACAAGGTCACCAAACACACTGGAGCAATTTATTCTCCTCCTTAACCCTAACCCCCTAGGCCTTTTTACTAGGAACCATCCCGAATCCTCCAAAATATTTTGCAAATGCCATTCAGAGGTGTGCCTAACTGCCCAAATCCTTCAAAATCCTCCGGCAATTCCTGTCATTATTTTGAGGCAGTACGAATGGCGCTCTTGAGCTGTGCGGTTGATTCAAAAGAAATATCGGGCTGAATTTGTGCTTGACTAAGCACAAACAACACAAGGTCTAATCCACGACCTTCACGTATGGCATCCTTCGAAATCAGCCATGCACTTTTGCCACACACCCTGAATCCTCCAAATTTGTCCACTCTGCAAAAAAGGAGTTTGGAGGATTTGGGAGGGTTAGGGTTAAATACAGGTACATGACCAAATGACCCCCATGGTTTACAGACACACACATACCAGCAGTCAGCACTTATCATCAAACACCCAGCAGCAAGTACTGGACATTACCAACCATGCCCACTGTTAGTATTACTGCATGTGTACAGTACTCATCCCATCATAACACTACCCTTCATGTTGTAAATTTCATATGTACACAGAACTCAACCCATCAAATTTCAACAAACTCTGTTGTTGTAAACTGATGGGACAGGGAACGTTAGGGTTAATATCATACCATACTATGGTAAGAGAGATATTAGGAATGTTTTGGTGTCTCCCTCAAAGTACATTGTACAACCAAACATTTTAATTCCATTAATTAATTTAAATTAAATCAGCCAACCGGGACACTTATTTCACTCTCCAGTTAAGTATGAAATTTACACAGAGATCTAATTCAACACCCCCCCCCAAAATGAGAAAGAAACATCAGCTGTCTCAAAAGCCTATAAATGAAAAACCATGGATTCTTCATAGGACTGTCTGAAGAATTTTAAAGGTGTGGAATCCATTTATCGAATTGCAAATCAGTAATTATGTTGCTAACAATGCTACTTTTATTCCCCACCCATGTAACATACAAATTTTTATTTTTTATTGTCTCTTGATAGACTTCAAATTTTCAACTTTTTTTGGAAATGTCCTCACTTTTTTGGAGTATAATTCTAATTTGATATTAGTCCCAACTTGATGGTCCCAACAATGGTGGAACAAAAAGCACTTCCAAAAGAAACTGCTAATTTTACTAATTTTAGTTCACAAAAGTTTGAATGAATGTAATAAATCTTCTTGGAAGATAATGTCAAAAAGGTAAAGCATTAATTTTTTATTTGGAAATGAAAGAAAATTACTAGATAGTAGATAACTTAAATACATAAATGTGACAAATCTGGGTCACAAACAGTTCTGGATGAATTGAATAAATAACTATTAATTTAAGTCAACAAAAGCTGGACCCAGATCAAGCATTGTCCATATTATGGGCAATGCCCCTCTGCACAAACCAATGAGACTTGTCTGAAAACCCCGAGTGTTTTCTAAGTAAATGCGTTGGAATTTTCTCAGCTAAATCACTTTTGAGGACATGTTATCACTTTCTGATTGCTGTAACAACATTTTATGGGAAAATTAGTGTTGTCCGTATATGGAACTCTTTCTGAGATGCACTACATACAGCAATTACTTCAAACATGACTTTCCCAGCCCTAAAGGCAAAACTAAAAAAATCTTGAAGGTCTAGGCCCCCCCTAGTTAGGCCTATAATCTAAAACATGCACAAAAAAAAAAGAAAGAAAGACAACAACAAAAGCAATCCAGATACCTTGTCTTTCAACCCATTAAGGCAGGCAAAAAGCTGAAATAATTAATAACTAGAACTCAGAACACGTTAAATATATAATCAAAAAATAAAAATTGAACAGGCCCCCTGCGAGGCCCTATCTCTATCATGTAAAGCACTATGGTTACCATACACTTAGGCCCTCACTATCCTTAATGATTTTTGTTCTCCTTACTGCTTACCGGGAACGCCCGAATCCGCATCTTTGTGTCTTTCTTCGCGCCCTTGGTTAAGCTCATGTTGTTCTGCAGTCTGCTTCACGTTGACTAATACATCAAACTTAGACAACTAGGCTGGCCGGTAAACACCCAAAATCGTCGGTGACACACCGCACACTGCCCCAAAATCAAAGTGCAGGTTGCGTGATGATGACAGCGTAACTTCCACACTTTAGCACGACAATGCTGTTTATGAACCAGCTAAAAGCTGACAGCATAAGCAAGTTTTCTCTCCTCTGGTCTCCTTACCCCTTCGGTGGTTCATAGGAAACACAAAAATACGATAAAATATAGAAACTGATTTCTACAAACGTCAAAAAATGACGAATTCCTTACTATCTGCTTCCAAAATGACAACGACTGAAGTTGAGCTGGGTAAGGACTGATAACCGCCTGACCTTTGGGAACTACTTTGACCTTTCTCATTTTTTTCGTTTTGGTCTTATCTGCAATAATTTGAATTGTGTATTTACTTTAACATATTTTTACAACCCCAAATGCATTCATTCTCCCAAATACCCAATGACTTTTCATGAAGGCGTATCATAAGAAATTGGGAGATCTTGCGTATGAATAAGGTTATGACCTTCTAGAGTGAGCTGGCACTACCTCATTCAATGACGTAAATTTATGATAAAAAATGCAAATATTTCATACATGAAAATAATAAAACAGCAAACTCTTTGTGCCAAGGAATTTTTGCCGATTACCCATCATTACTAATATTTATTACTTTAACTTACACAGGATTTAAGAAAAAGAAGAGAATGCTTAAAGTGAATTTATGTTATTAATTTAAAGAATTCAATTCAATATGGCAGCCCCCTTGTTATAAATGTGTACTGGTAACCTGTCAACATCTACACAATGAAAACTATGGCACGAATACCAGTTTTGTGAACAAATTTCCGATGTGTACCTGATGAATGCGTGAACAACACTGATGGAAGTGTGCGTAGCCTTAGCTGCGATGTTAGTTTGTTGAGGTTCTAAGTGATCGTATATATCGCTTTAAGAGCCATGTATTCCTAGTGACCTTTCAAGTGATGTCTACCCAAGGTGTCACTGTAGAAATTATCTCCGAAAACTGGAGGGAGACGGTAAGGAGAAATCTTTTGGGGGGGGGGGGGAATATGGCCTTAGTCAAGTCGAAACCCAGACGATCTGTGATGGTAAAGTTTCGTAATCATAAGAGGCACCAGACGACACTGGCTTATTGAATGAGTCTGTGTGTTTTCAATATGCTTTTCATTTTTGGTTTTGTAAATTGTATCATGCTTTTTGTTTGTGTGCATGGTGTGTGTTAAATTTCAACTGTTTATGAGTGAACACCATAATTTATGGTTTAATAATTTTATACTCAAGCAGGATAGGGTCCAGTAAGGGAGGCTAATATAAATTTTCAAGTATTCGAAGTGATCAGGTGATCTTGGAGAGAATAAACCTTTTCGATGTTCGCAATGCATTTTATGCACAACCCTATGGGAGAAGTGTACCTGCAAAACGTTAATCTGTTTCCATTTTATTTTATACTCCAATTCAAGCCACCCCCTTCTGACAAAGTGTTGCATAATTGATTTGGGATGAAGATATTCAAAACTTCGAAGTTTAAAGCTTGGCAGAAAAGGAAAATTCAGAGGATACCTTCCAATAACACCACTTTTTGTCACGGACTGTGCTTTGACTAATTCATGAATATTAATATTCTAGTTTTGTCCAATCAAAATTACGACTTGCAGCTCATCCATTCTGCTTTGACCAGTCACGTTCATTTTCAGCCTGTAGAGTGACTGGTGCACTTTAAAAAAAAGGCAATTAAGGGTGATTTGTTCTTACAAATATTTGAAAACGTATTTGAAAATGTTTCTCATATAATCTGATAATACGCATGCATCCGTGAGTTGATGAGCAGATACATAAAAAATATTTAGTAGAAAACTGTAACATGATTTTTGTCTGGTTCACATCCCCCATAGGGTTGTGCATAAAATGCTTTGCTTGTTTGTCATTCACACCCATAATGCATTGCAAACGCCGAAAAGGGTGATTTCTCAAGAAACATTTTTATATAAGTTTAATATAAGTTTTATATAAGGATTCCATCGGACTCTGCAACGAAGAGAACAATTTATTTGAAGCAGGGGCATTTTGAGATATTTGGGTATTTGTTGAGTATTTTAAATAGAGGAGCTACAGTGTGCAGGAAGAGACAATTTTTAATTACTATTTTCAATTAAGAAAATGAGATCCCAAATTCAATAGTGCCCTTACTCATTATGCATGTCTCTAACTAGGGCTCTGCGAATTGCTTCCTTTAACGTTTGGACACAGTTGGCGTCACTAGAGTCTGAGAACCATCTATGGGCCTTGTGTACCATTCCATGGAAATAGCTCCTACCCTGAATTAAAATCCTCAGATTTCATCCCCAATACAGTCCTGAAATTGTAATGGACCTATTCTAGAATTAGACTACAGTTGTGGAGCAGAACAGGACTTGGCACACTTAGGCCAAAAAAACAAAGTCTCCAGTTTCTGGTTAGTGTGCATGTCGCAGTAGACACGTGCATCAGCAAAATGAAGTTTTTATTTGGTATTATGCAATGTCTAAAAGCTGCTAAACTTGCTTGATTGACTGGAATCCTGCTACTGCGCAATTTTAATGTTTTTAGATGGGGTACGCTTGAGTAATACGTACAGTAAAAGAGTCTTTGGCTCCCATACATTTAGTCAGGCACTCTTTTTCAAATGATGTCATTTCTGTATTGTACATTTACATCTGGGAAGCACACAAACAAGCTGATCTTTTGTCCTGTGTACATGTACAAGCTGAACACACTTTTAAACAGTAAATAGTGAAGGGGCCTATCTATTTTATTATTGGGAGCAGCGGTACATATGTACAAGGACATGTACATGTATGAATACATCATTTCTAGGGGAAAAAAGTGAGGGCAAAAAGGCCCTTTTGCCACACCACTTTTGTACCTAGCCCCGATCAGAAAATGGAGACTTTTGGGGGGCTTTATTGACTTAGGGAAAGAATTCTATATAGGCCTACGTGGACGCCGCTTGACACCCTGTGCACAAACCCTGTGGGACTGGTTTGAAACTTTCAAAGTGTTCTCTAAGTGAATGCCTAAATATTTTCACTGCTGAGACAACAACTGTGGTAGAGACAACTGTCGGGGAGGTCACTATTAGAGAGACACAAACAAGTGTTCAATTTGACTTTTTAGGACAAATTTATTTATTGCTCTCAAATGGCCAACAGGTCACTTCAGTGAATAATGATGTGCTTTGTTTTGGTTCCACCCAGGTGACGTTACACTGTTCAAAGTCAGTGAATGCATTTGAGTTGACACGCTTGCTCGGTGATCAAATGTCTTCAGAGGAAAACACATACAGGTACAATCAAAGCTTCTGTCTATCTTTAGGTCAAAACCTGCATTTCACTCTGATTGAAATCCCTTATATTTTGGGTCCATCTTTTTGTAAGCAAGGTTTGAAAAATCAAGAATTAATCAATGCTGCCTCCTGCCCCCCTAATACAGTCTGGTTATCCATTTGAAAGAGACAAGACTGGAAATTTACTTCATTACTTTCAAGGTATGAGAACAAATTGAAGCCTGACAAAATTCTGCTGAGAGACATGCATGGCACTCGACTCCAACCCAACAAGAAGATCAGCAGAGTAACTGTCAAACCTGGCACGTACCTGATCGCTGAGGTCACAGGGAAAGGCAGAAATCAGCACGTCGGTGAGAGTACTCACAATGCAGGGAAGATGTCGGCAGGCAGCGATATAAGGTAGACCACTGCCGCTGTGTTTTCACAGTGCAGGCTGGGCCCAATTTCATGGCACTGCCTAGCTGCAGTGCTTACTGTAGCAGAAAAATTTTGCCAAGCTTAAATAGCATTGTTAGGTCACTATATTTTTCTTTCATAGTAATCTCGTCCTTTGCTGTGCTTATTGCTTATGGTTATCATGAAATACACAGAGCGTCTGCTTACCTTGTGTGCTTTGCAGCACTACAAAATGTGGGCCCTGGTGTTAAAAATGGTTTAGTATATTCAACAAACTGTGTTCTAAGCATCTTAAATCTATAGGCATCCTGTTTGGCTTAGGACTAACACTCTCTATATCTGTCAAAAGAATCAACCTTAAGCTTGCTTGTGAAAATCACACCTTTCCCCTTGTGTTTGGTGTTCCAGTTCATCGGAGGACAAGGAGGACTTGCCAAACGAAAACAGTGCAGAAAGCAGTGCCGATGATCTTACACCAACAAAAAGCAAAAGGAGGAAAGTTGAGAGTGAAGAATCTGGAAGCACAATAGATCTGACCAAATGTGCTTCATCGTCAGAGGTGGAGGATGGTGCAGAAGATCAGACTTCAACAATTCAGACCAAACGGAAGTCTAGGAAGAGAGCCAGTGCCAAAGGTGAGCCAACAGTTATTGATGACACCAAGCAGCTCATTGAGGGCCAGTGCCAGGGGTGCCAGGAATTGACTGGCGGGTCGCCCACAACCAGACAGGGAACAAAACGGAAGCACGGAGGGCTTGAATCCAGCCAGTCAGTGTCCCGGGTGTGCCCTCAGACCCCCGTCAGTAGACAAGAGAAAACCAGCCCTAGGGAGCAGCTGCAAAAGACACCCAACCCGAAGAGGAATCTGATCAAGCCGTCAGAGGTTTTGCAAGAGGTCCTGGAAGGAGACCGAGGTTCCCCGGAGAAACAGCTGCGGGAGGCAGATGCAAAGTGTCCAAAGGAGGACCGCCTCAGTTGTTCGATGGAGCGGATTAACCTGGACGACGGCACGGATTGTCCAGACAGGAACACACCAAGCTCTGCAGCAGGTGAAACAAATGTGCCAAAGGCAGCAAAGCAGGGTGCAGTAATACCTAAAAGTGCAGTGACCTCAACTGACAGAGTTAAACCAGCACAAGGAGAAGTTTACAGTAAACACATGGAAGCCGGTAATTCTGTCATTGACACAGTGGCCTCCAAGGAAGACTCAGCCATCCACAAAGCCGCGTGCAATTCAGCTGACATACCAAGTGGTAGCAGGCTGGTTGGTAATACAACCAAGGAAGCAGACAGACTACCGACGGCCGGCTCGGATGTTTGTGGGAAATGCTCCACAAATACTGTCCGCAGCAGCCTCATTACAGTCTCCAAAGGGGCACCAGTCAACAAGAGCGCAGGGGATTTGACAAGAAAACTGCATTTTGTAGTTGTGCCTGTGGTCACCAAGAGCAGTCACATTCCCCCTACTGTCAACCTTAAATTGAATGAAGGAGTGCCAGTCAAGAGATTAGTCGGTGCTAGTGGCGCTCTGCCTGCGGGAAAACCCACCAGTGTAACAGAGTTGGCAGGCAAAAGTGCCGACAACAGTTCAAACCATTTGGTAATTCCTGTCAGCAAGGCTGCTGAATCGTCACAGAGCAAAGTCACCAGCATTATGGTCGACCATTCCGGAAATCCCCTCAAGGCGGGAGCAGCCAACACCGCCAAAGGAACTGTGATATGCGAGCTCACCTTGAGTGCAAGCAATCCAACGACAGTAGACAGGAGTCGCTCCAGAGTGCTGAAGACGTACCCTGGGAAGGCACGGCGCCAGACGAGGCAAGTCGCTAGAGCCAATTCAAAGAGTGAGATCGACTTAATTTGCGTGGATGGAGAAGGATGCGGAGGGAACAACCCTGCCGAGGAGACTGACGGAGACTCGGAGCCTCCACACAAAGGTAAAATTGTATTAACCTTCCACCTGAGCCCAATTTCATGGAGCTGCTTAACAGTTAGCAGAAAAGTCATGCTTACTATGGCAGAAAAATGTTCAGCCCTTAAGCACTATTCATGGCGGTGCTTAGCATGGTTGTGCTTACAGTTGCATATGCATCAAGATTTCTGTTGCAGTATTGTTATGTCACTAAGTAAAGCAAGTTGTTCCTTCCGCTAAGCATGCCTTTTACTGTGCTTACTGCTTACGGTCTCCTTGAATTAAGCGGAGCCTCTTTAAGGATAAAATCGTGCTAAGCAGTGCCATGAAATGGGGCCCTGTTGTCATTGTAAAGTTTCTTCTCTTTATTTGCATTTTGTTTGCATCACAAAATTAATGAAGCTCCAAAGCAGAAACTATTACTTGGCAAATACATTCTTTGCAAATTTAGCCAAAAACAGTTCCAGGCAATGGACATCACTTACTATTTTGGTCCGTTTGCAGTGGTAAGCTATCTGTGATATTGTGCACATTTCAAAAGTTCCCATTGCTTGTTTGAACAGTAGAATTCCAAGGTTAGTAACACTTATGCACGAAATTATTATTGAATTATGAGCAGCATCTGCAGATGCTAAGCACAAGGCTGGTGAAGAAGATCCCATAGTCATCACCATCGGCAAGAATGAGCTGAGAAAGTCCGACTTGGCTACGCTGGAAGAAGGGGAGTGGCTGAATGACTGCGTAAGCTCACAGCAGAGTAGGCGAGGGGCCTTGAGATAGGGGAAGGCCGATCCAGATTTGGGTACAAAGGTTCTTTGGACTAATGTGCACCCCACCTCCAGGTTGACTCCCATGTATGAGCAGACTTTCAAGGGCACGTGCAGTGGATATTTAGCTCCACTCCTGTTTATGCATATTACTACGTGTAACCGATACAGAAAGATCCAAATGCTTGTTTTCATTGGAAGTAAAAAGAAGACGGTTGTTTTTCAATTGTTGAAAAATACATTTGTCAATGTATGCACGGGCGCTATTTTGTTGTCATACTAGGCACTCCTTGTCCCAAGTGCATTTATCCCAAGGCTGCACTTTCAAGGAAGGAAGGCGTGGGAACAGTACAAAATCAGTCCTTCAAAATTGCCCGCCAACCTTCTCAAGAAATGTTGTCCATTACTGTCATCTAAACAACCTGTTTAACACGGAAACTAGGCATAAAGTGGAAAATACTCCAAGAAAATGTAGAAAAGTGTGATACCCCTTCTATTCTGCCTTGATTGACATCATGCTTTGGCTCATGAATATTGAATTCTTCATTAGCATAAAAATCCAAATGTTGAAATGGCTCTACTTTCACTTCAACAAAGGAAGTGGAAGATCATTGTCACATTTAAATTAAAGCCGTGCCACATGTATTCAAGTCGTACCAATCCTATTACATGGTTTCTTTTAACCCTAACCCTCCCCAACCACACAGAATTAAACAGTAGTAAAGTGTTTAATTCTGAGGGGATAGGTCTGGTAGGCCCATAACAGCTGGCTTTTGCATTGGGTTTGGCATACCTCAGAAAAACAAAGTCCAACAGCCTCTGTTCACAAAGTCCCGTATGGGCGTTTAACTTGGCGTGAATGGGGAAGGTTAGGGCCAGCAACCCTTGGGGGTTAGGGTTAACATTGGATAGGTGTAGGATTTTATAGCAAATACACTCTCTACGAATTCAATTAGAGTATCGGATTCTCATTTTCCTCTTCAGGTCATCAACGCATATTTCTTCCTCCTCAGCGTGGTGTCACCTCTGAAAGTCTTCACACACAGCTCCTTCTTTTTCCTCTCTCTGTTCAAACGGGGCTATGAGGGCGTGAAACGATGGACGAAAAATGTGAGTGATTTGATGCCGAAGAGTGGAGCTATCCAGCCATACCAGTAGCCATGTCTAAACTGAGTGCCTTGGGCTATGGCTTCAATTGTTGCCATCGGCACACTGCAGGAAACAGCCCAAGTCATAGCTAGCAGTAGTCTTTTTGGACAGAGACGTTGCTAATGGGAGCTAAAAAAAAAAATCTGAACAGTTTTGTCCATAATAATGCACACAATCATTTCACTATAAAAAAAATTGGAAAGCGGGTTACCTGTACATCTTCAGTTTTCACCACAGTAAATTTTTTTTGATTTGGCAAGCCTGAGCAAGCCCTTTTACTGATATCTTGCACATTTTGGTACTTATTTGACAAAAATCTGACGTGCTGTTCTTACGGCATGTCAGTTTTTTGGGGGAGAAGGGCGGCAAAGAGTAGCCCTGTAGACTGGCAAACCTTTGTTCACTCGCAACCTTTACAGATAGACTTGCTTAAAGAAGGAGACAGTTGAAACAGAAGGTCCGGCAGTAGTTACAAACAACACATGGAATTCAAAATGGCAATTACTTCAGAAATCTGAGTGATCAGAGTGAGACTGGGCCGATGTGGTAAGCAGGGATGTCTTATTGCCCAGCAAGCATGCCAAATGTCAACAAAATCTGTCCTTTGGCACTCAAGGTCTCAGCTGTGAAGGCTGGTGGGACAAAAAGTTGGTTGTCGTATTGTTAGAGTTGGTGCTGTAATAGTTAACGTCGTGTCGTTGTAGGTCGACCTGTTCGAACAAGATTTGATCTTCATTCCCGTCCACAACAAGAGCCACTGGTCACTGGTGGTGGTACATATCAGGGAAGGTATCATCGAATATTACAACTCCTCCACAATGCTGGATGGCTACCCAAGGAGCATGATGGTGAGGTCCCGGCATCCTGGGGAAAAGTTATGGGAATTGTGAAGGAAAACCCTGGGAAAGTAGTGGATGTCGTCAAGGAAGGCCCTGGGAAAATAGTGGAAATTGAGGGAAACCTTAGGAAAATAGTGCAAACTGCAAAGGAAGGTCCCGGGAAAGCCATGGGAATTGATGTAACAAATCTTGGAAAAATAATGGAAATGCGAAGGAAAACCTTAGGAAAGTAATGCCAATTTTTGGGGGAAAAAAAATTCCTGGAAACTGTTTGAATCACTGAAAAAAAGTACCTTGCACATTTTTCTTACTGTTGCTTTTTCATGGCATGCAACAAAATTACTTGTGACATTCATTAAGAATTACCAAAATATGTTTGTTTTTCTTTCAAAGCACGTACGAGATTACTTGCAAGCTGAAGCAAAGAATCGGGAGAAGAGCAAATTTTGTAACATCAAGTGGGAATTATACATTGTTGAAGATATACCGAGACAGCAAAACATGGATGATTGTGGGCTGTTCATTTGCCAGGTGGGTTGAAAGTCATTTGAATAAATCTGAATTTTTTCTCATTAATTCCTGTCATATCATTTTACTTCCTTTGCCTAAATTTTATTGGTTGCAAAATTTGAAAAAAAATAATAATAGAAACACTTTATATATATATGTAGCGGACCAGCCCCACCTCAGCTGGACAGTGGGAGAAGGAGGAACGGTCCCCTAATTAAAGTGGACGAGCACTCTCAACCTATTCAAGAAACAGATATAGGCCTACACAAATGACATCACTTTCCTTAATCACAATTTATTAACAATACAAGTAAGTGCACAAAATAGCAGGATGGCACAGTAAGAGATGTTACAATGCAATGACCGTTGTGACTAATGTCAAAAATGACATGTAAGCAAGGTCACTGCACAACGATACAGTTATTAGCAGTCGTCACATTGTGCCCCGTAAATCACACATCTCCGACAAAAGATCATCTAAAATATACTTACAACAGTTACTGAAGGATACCCTCCCCCCATGACTTCAGCCATGCGCCCTACAAAATTGAAGGAAAATATAGAGAGAATAAGGTACGGCTCTACACCATTCATGACCTTCAGAAAGAGACCACATTGGCACTGCCTGCACGAGAAATGCCCAAAAGTAAAAACTATGTTAATTACCTCTGTGACATGCATATGTAAAAGGAAGTACTGGAAAGATGAGGGCGCCCTTACTCGGGCACAGTTCCCTACTTCTAGTAAATTTTGTTCTCATTTTTCTTTCTCTTTTCAGTATGCCAAAAAGATAAGCTTAAAGCAAAACGTGACCTTTGACAATAAGGAGACAGTTAACCTGAGACGACAAATGCTGCGGGAGCTCATCAGACGCAAGATAGAGGAATACTGACAGATTGAGTATGAGTTCTGGACTCGTAACTCAGCACTGGAAACTCACCGAGTAAACTGCACCAGAAACTACTACTGTACATTATTGATTTGTGGGGTTCCAACGCTCAGAAACTCTCACAACTCACCAAGAGCAAGACCGCTGAATGTTGTTCTTTGATGTCTGGACGTAGATGGGCTCATGAGCTGCATTTTCAAGTTGTGAGACTTCAATTTAGTCTCCACATCTCAACAGAGGAACAGAAGCAACTCGCAGAAAGCGAAGAGCATTATCTCTAAACAAGGTTTTGTGACTTGTGTGCCCTTTCAACTTGTAAGACTCCAAACTGGAACAAATGGCCCTGTCCAATCAGGCCACACCTTTTCAGGACCTGCATCATCTTTGCATCACGTGCATTGTTGCAGGTGTACAAAGACACTTCAGGGTGGCTTTCTCAGTCATGAATAAAAATTTATTGTCCAAGAAAGCAGATTTCTTTTTTTCTTTTAATTCTGGCAATGTCTCTGTTCAATGCTTTGATGTTTATTCTTATTTAAGAATCTGACTTTGTTTTGGCCACAATATTTTGTGGGCATCAATGTCTATCGTCTATTTTTGCATCAGTATGTATCTATAACATTGTGTATGTGGTGATATACTGTAAATCCCAGACCTTAAACTACAAACAGTATGCAATTATGTTCAGTAATAATTCTATTTATTTGTACATGAATGTCATTGCCACTTCACTGTTGTGCTAAACAAGTGACTTCATTGCTTTTGGTTTGGCATACGTTTTAATGAATGATAGTTTGATTATGCATTTTCAAATGTGAAGAATGGCACCGTACCATCATCCAGAATTTCCATCAGTAACCTTCGAAGGGTGTAGACCCCGCCCCTTTTTGGTTGCTCACATGCAATCATGGCAAGGAGTTTTTTCTGGAAGATAGATCTGTTGCATAAGGAAAGCATTACATGTATTTTAAAGTTTTGAAGCAGGGAACGCTTTGTGGTTAATGTTTGAGAAGATAGTTGTTAATTACTGCACAAATAAATGGAAAGACCTGGATAGTTGAACCAGCAGTTATTGGAATGGTTACAAGTAGAAATCTCTGTCATTTTACCACGGGCAGTATCATTTGAAAAATCACTGTTGGATCCAAAGTTATATGAAATTCCTCAGAAATTCGCTTAATACATGTAGATGCCTGATAACAAATACATGTAACTAGCAAAAACAAACTTGACAAGGGTAGAGGAATGCTTAATTCCTTCACTGAATCAAGTGGCCCGTTATGCAAGAGGTTTCATGATCTAATTTACAACTCCTCAGGAACCGACTTTTGCACATTACCGAGCAGCAATATTTGTCCCACATGCACAATAAAAACACATAACAATAGATACAGCAGAGGAGACCTTTGGGTTCAAATTCACATCCCTGCATGTGATGGGCATGTGGCAATGAAATTTGCAAGTGTTGAAACAAGTGAGGCTGCACTGGCAAGAGGCTTGACACATCACTACTTCGTATTACCAACCGGGAGCTGCCAGTGCAGCCTCCCTCTGAGCAATATAACTGCTCACTTCTACCTGAGGATGGGGTCTTTGAGAATGCCCTGTGGAATGTTTTTGACAACAAAAATGTCTTCCTTTTTTTCTGCTATAGGTTATACCAATGTACATGTACTCACCCCCCCAAACAATGACCATTGTTGTCAACGGAATCTTTAACTTGACAAAGATTTAATGTGCCATTTGACAACAGGTAGCACTTTCTTTGTAGTGTTCCAGGATTCTATGCCATTCTACATGCAAAAAATGAGCTACCTGGGGAAAGTTGGACCTTCAAGGAGGTTTCCTTGCCAAAAAAATGCTTTGGAAACTGGGGTAAGTGTATTTAGAGGAGTAATTTTTCCTTTTCAGTGAGTTTCTTTCAAAGTTGCAGCCAGAAGTTTTATTGACAATCGTGCTTTTGCATTGTACGCCCATAGGATCACTCCTAGATGTTGAAAAATTATGTTTGTAACTTGTAATCTGACCAGTGATTGTGTTCTTGCAAGTGTTGTTTCTGGCCTTGGAAAAAGTGATCACTAAAAGCAAGAAATGGTATTGTGGGATAGTTTTCATCTGAAGCATTTCTTTGCAAGAGTTGAATAGTAAAGTAGGAATGGTCAGGGTCACAGGGTGTTCATGATTAATATGTGGTTGCGTTAAGAGGGAAAAGTCTTATCCTGGCACAATTTTTTTTTTCTCTAATTCTATTGACTCCGAAACGTTACAGAACTCCTAAGTTTATCAAATTTAAGCACAGAAAACCAAATACCAAAAGAGGCAATTGTATGCGCATGAAGAGCCAGTTTACATGCTTGTTATTAAAACAAAAGCTAATTGTTAGTAACTTTGTGTTATCTGCTCGCTTGTGGTGACTTAGAATTATCTACAAGAGAAGATAACATTGGCCAGAAATTTATCATTCAATGTGGCCTACTGGGCTGTTGATGTCAGTCAGGTATGTCACAAAACCGTGGTTTGCCTTGTAAACTTTGAAAGCACACATCCAAGTGGATCACCAAGATACTATTTCTTGTCAGACACTGTCAATGGAAAAGACCAGCCTGACACTGGCTATTGGTGTCAAACAACACGAAGGCATCTTGCCAACAAAGAAGCATTCTCTGATGCTGTAATTCAGTGGACAGTCCTCCAGAACAGTCAGGGTAGAGAGTTCTTGAAATGCCTCCTGGGGTATGGCCAAATCTAAGTGAGTTAAGGCCTCTGTTGAAAGGTCAAACTCAGTCGTCCTCCTCTTCTTCTCGTTTCCTTTTGGCGGGGTTGACGATCGAGCTCTGGGAAGGAGGTGGCGAGACCACCTGGGTCTTGATGACTGTGAGAGGTGCGCCGCTGGTGGATCCAGAGGGCGCTCTTTGGGCTGTGCTACCTGGCTGCATAGTGATGGTCGGCGTAGCTGAAATGATACAAGAAGACATTTTAGGGGTTCACTAAACCTCATCTTGAACAGGCACTGCAGCTGTAGCCCAGGTATAGCTCAAGATATCTGCGACGGCAGGTGTGCTTGGCATTTGTTCCAGTCACGACAACTTGATGCAAATCGTGAGATGTACTTACCGCTGGATCTAGAAACACTCTTGATGATGCTGATTGGGGCCCCACCCGCTTTGCTGGATACGGGTGCTCGGACCGTCACACTGTACGGTGACTTCCCACCAAAAGTGAAGCTGGGCGACAGCTTTGATCCAGCCGATGATGCCATAGACATTCCTGAAACAAGACGAATGAGAAATTAAAGAACACAGAACTGGAATATGGAGAAACGATGCAACATGTGAAATTCTTTGGACAAAGTTTGAATGCATAAAGTTGTCTCACCTGACCCCAGCGATAACCTTGATGGCATTGTTAATGTTGCCTGCAAAGGTTAACAACAATTAGATAACAAAAATTAATAAAAATTTCATTGTCCATCATAGGAATCCATACATATAAAGTATACTGTAGAATGCATATGTAAAACGTTCCAATCAAGTTCAAAGGATTCTTGTCTCTCAACAAAAAGGTAACAGGAAAACTCTGATAGTTATGTTGCAGATGGCATTATGCTTTTTTTTACCAGTCCATAACCCTTCCATATATTTCAAACTCCTCAAGGCAGTTTGGGAGGGATTTTTGAGCACTAGGGATGGTATTTTATATGGAGGCTTCATGCTTGAAAGTGTTGCCAGGTTTCTGCATTCTGCACAGATGAGGACTTTGGAGGATTTTCGTTCCCTGTAATAATGCCATGGGAATTAGGGTTAACTAAAACAGCTCCTACCCTTTTGTGGAGTGGCTTGAGTCTGTAGTTGGAGCCTGACAGGCAGTAGCGGTCTGGGGGCAGGCGGAGACCGTTGTGAGGTTTGATGGCCGGCAGTGGGTTGTTGTTCTTCTGTCTTGCAATCTCCATCAAAAACTGCAGATCAGGGTAAAAATCGCATCACAAAAGAAAATCGTGTCCAAAGTGATTTAAGAAGTGTAAATGACGCGGCTTGAATTTGAGGTCTAATGCTTGCAACACACATTTCATTTCCCGTGCTATGTTAGTAAACTTTCACAGAAGTTATCAAGGAAAAATTACATCAACAGTAAAATGAAATTGCTTGCCATCTTAGATTCACAAGCCTGGAACTCTCTGAAGAACTACAGTAACACACTCCAACCCGCTGTAAAAATTATTCAGCAAATAATACAGTCTTTGTGAACTGTACAACTGCAACTCACTGTACCTTTCTTAGGTCAATAAATGATTTTGCTTTGTGAGCGACAACATACATGTACTTAAATTATATTTGATAGGCTGGGAATACCTCTCTTGGTGGTGGAGTGGTGAAGGAGTGATCTAGCCTGCTCTGTATGGCTAGCTTAACGTCATCAGAATCTATTTCTGTACGGCCAGCATGACTGCTATAAGCTTGGGCATCCTCCAAAACATCAGTCACATAACCTAAAAAACAGATTACCGATTTCGTGTGCTGGTTATAATGCAGTTTAAGGGTTACAAAGACTTAAGGTACATTTGTATGGCTACAACATGTACAAGAGCAAATCATGAAATGTAAATTAAAAAGCTAGGTTTACTGTGTAACATGTAGCCTATAACTTTAACATGTTACACAACCTATGCCTAATGCAGTACCTTGCAGTTCAAACCCCTAGAAAAGTAGAATGGTCTGCCAGGAACTAAACTTGGACAGTTAGAGTTGGTGGGAGTGGATTGGTGTTTAACATGTTTGGACTTGCCTAATACTATAGTAAAACGACTGCCTAGTTTGTCATAGTTAAGTGGGTTTTTTTTTTTATTTAATTGTTCCTAGAGATTTAGAGATAAAATTGAAGGAAATATCCCAATCACCTTTTATTTTGTTAAAAAAAAATCTAATCAATTTCTCGAAGGATTTTATCTTCTATTCTCTAACTGGTGTTTGAGTCACTTCGACCACGGAGGGGAGAAGAACTCGACCATCAGACCGTGCCACAGCTTCGGGTAAAGATGGGAAAACTAGGCCTAGGCTACCTCCCAGAACTGTGGGGTCCGACGTTCGTTGGAGCGGAGCGGACGTTGGACTCCACAGTTCTGGGGGTACTACTGACTTTGCTTGCAAGGAAATTTACCCCTTTACGTCTAACTTACGGTATGTGAACTCAAGCATCTGGTTTACAAGTCTTGGTTCATATTCTGTGATGCCCATATCCTTCAAAATCGCCACCATTACTTCGGCGTCTTTTGGCACTGCTTTCACTTGTGGAGCCGCCATTCTTGAAGTAAACAGCGCCACCAAGCGGTATCAAATAAGTGCAAGTCGACCAAAATAGAGCCCTTGCAGTACATTACTCTAGTGTCATGGATGGGAGGCAATTTACAGGAATAATGAAATATGCCCTTCATGATGGCGTACTTGCAAACACTCCATCAAGAGTGCTTTGGGAAATGTAGGATTTATTTCTCCAGTTTCCTCTCACTTGCATAGACGAGAGGGTGGGCTTTTGTTACTTTGGTTTTTAAGTTTGTGTCCGAGTCCTCAACTACTTCCCTTCTTAATAATTTTGAATCCATTTTTAAAGGCAAAATTATGAATTAACCATTCCCCAAACGAAACCTTGCATCGTTGTAGTATGCAGGCAGCAGTGGCGTAACTCATGCTATTATATCAGGGGGCGCGGGGGTGCACACATTTTCATTTCAAAGGGGGCACCAAACGACAATGAGGCAGCTAGCACAGGTTGTTCGTGGATTTCAAATTGGGGGGGGGCAGATTTTTAAGATTTAAGACCTTCAATATGGCACTGTGCGACTCCAAATATATTAAGAAATCAATTAAACTTTAAAAATAAAATCAATTTAATGAACTTTAAGAACGAACAGATTTAAAACCGATGCCTGTTTCCACGGCCACGTACCACTCACTCCGGCCTCCCCGATCTGTTTCTACCTCCATGCCCTGATCGTACCCCTATCGACCCTCTAGTGCCCCAGTCCAACAGGGCAAAGGTGACACCACGTACACTTATAACACTTCCAATGTCCGAGGAAGAACTTTTAACCCATTTCTCTCTCCCGCTTTTATCTAATGAACAATTAAATATGAGCTGTACATAAATGATAATTTCTACTTAATATTAACCAGCAGCAGAAGGTTCAACTACGGTTCAACAATGGTTCAACCAAAATAAAAGTCACATCCCATTGAGCGATCACGTCGGCAGCACATGTTCAGCGGCTGTTTCATGCGGAGGGGGCATTGTCGCGTTTCGGACTCGCTATGCGTGAAAAGCGATGCGGTACAAATGATCTCAAACCAGACTAATAAAGAACAAACTTGTGTACACTTTTCCCCATTTCGATGTCATCACATGTACGGATCAAGACATTGACAGTGCGAGTGGTTATGTTGCAAGAAATGCCCGCGACGGTGATCTTTTCTTCACTATATTGTACTTTATAATTCTGGCCTACAGCTTGTCGATTTTGAGAGCCTGAATTCTCCAAGGTGAGTTTTCACTTCAGATATTCCAAGCGAATGCGAAAGACGTGCATTTGTATTTTCCATGACGCGCATTGCACTGGCCGCTGACAAGCACCATGAAGGAAGGAGGGAAAGGCAGGATGTTATTATTAACAACATGATTAATGCGTATGCCCCCTTACATTGTAATGTTGTCGAAGAATACCACCAGAGGCCGGGATACAAACACAATGAGGGAGGGGCCAGGGTGGTGTGAAGTAAATTGTCAAAAAATAACCAGGGAATAGTTCCGTATACGGACGCCAGTAATTTACTTCACCTTATTTCACGCACAAAGGTGGAGGCCCCACTAAGAAGCACAGCTTGTCGAGTAGGGGCCCTGTACAGACACAACTGGACATGAAGGACAAAAACATTACATATAAATCATCTACATATAGCAATTAACAAAGAAAAAAATGTATAATAAATACATGTACATGAATTCATAGACAAATAAAAAACCTGTAGCCTGTAAGACTCAGTCATTTCCCTTGTAATTATTCACTAAATACATGTACTTTATTTCTGTTTGAATAGCGATAAGGTGGGTAAATCTTTTAACAAACCTAATGAGTTCCACAGCTTGGGACCCTCATGCTTAACTGTTTTGGTTGCAAGTTTCGTGCAACCGAACTTGCTACACTGCTTTGTTAAATGGTAATGAATTTTATTATTTCTTGTAAACATTGAGCCGATGTAGTTGGGTACATTAGTATTATTTACTTGATGCATGAGGGTCCCTAGCTGGAAAGAATAAATATCACCGACTTTTAGTGTTTTACATTGGTAAAATAAAGGATTATTATGTTCTTGAAAAGATGTAGAACCGACTGTGCAATGCCTTTTTGAAGTTTAAGTATTCTATCTGTTAGGCTAATTCCAGAATCGTTCCATGCAAGTATGCAAGTTGGTTTGGACTTTGGCTGTTTCAATGATCCCCGTTCATTTTGTGTTGCTGCGTTCTCAGAAGGATCCCCCACTCATTGAGTACAAGTTGGTACAACTTGATTTTCCTATCAGCCTCTCAAACCACGTAGCCAGTAATTTCAGGAGTGCAATTTTGAGTGGCGGGGTTTTCTGCAATTACTCAGAATTTTTTTCGCAATGGTGTGACCCTTTAACCTTTTATTTTACAAGTGCAAGATATGAAGAAATGTAGGATCGAAAATTGAAAAAAAATCGATGACATGGTCAAAGCTCGAAGCACAGCTAATGAGCTGTATCTACGGATAATTCCTAAATAATTGTGGAACAGAGAATAAATGAATGGTTAAATAGAGTGGTGGGGTAAGGCTAACACAGAGTTACTTGGGGGTTTAGGACTAATTCAGCCTTTCCTAAGATTATCACAATAAATATAAAATAGATACTCTTGAACATGTTTAAGAGAATTCAAAAGAATTGTAAAACATAGTAAATCAGATAGTTCTTTGCTGTAGCAAGCTTTGTACTGTTTTATTACTTACATAATGTTTATGATGTTTCATTATTCTTTGCAGACGCCTACAAAAAGTACTTTGGAATACAGTTCTTGTTTGGAATTGGAAAGTGCACAGTTTCCACAAGCAGCTGCCTTTTTTTATCCTGCTGTTTGTTGCTAGTTACACACGGCTGTTTCACCACAATGGAATCGTTCCGCTTGAACAGTAAAAATCCCCTGGGTGGAAGTCATTGTGCCTGGGAATAGCATAGTGCCTGGACAAGCTGAATTGCCTTGTGACAGAACCTAGGGGAAAAAATTGCTTCAGAACCCTCCTTTCAGAGTGGCTGTTGATGGACAGTCACTTTTCCAGGTGATCTTTGAGCCGGGCACTGAGATCTTGAGGTGGTAGTCGTACAAGGAAAAAACTGGCAATGTTAGCCGGGGACTGGCGGCCGTTTGTGTACGGCGGGATTGGCTCGGTAGCCGCTGAGTTTGGTAAGCACTGCAAAAGTCCCAGGACTTATCTGGCCACTATTTGTTTAATGGAAATCTTCCAAATAAAGTTCACACGGGAAGGTTCTCTCGAATCCCATGGTATTGACATTCGTGAGTCATGTGGCGTCATTTAAAATGAACAGCCTTTTTTCAAAAATTTTAAAGTTGTTTCCTTTTTCTGGTTTCAGTTCTGTTACTGTTCATTGTCCTTTTTAAACCTCTGATTTCTGTTGATATGCTTACATTACATGCATGAAGCGGCAAATCATTGCAGAGAAATCGAATGAGTATTTCAAGTTTTGGGGGCAAGGGAGGAAAGGAAATACGTCGCTTGCACGAGGAAGTCCTAATGTTTTTTTCTCACAAATTGATTATGGCGAGCCAATCTAGTGTGAGTCAGTAGGGGTGTTGGTCATGAATCTATAAATAAGCAGTCACGAACATTTTCTGCGGGCCATGAATCTATAAATAAGCAGTCACGAACATTTTCTGCGGGCCATGAATCTATAAATAAGCAGTCACGAACATTTTCTCCACAATTTTTACTCCGTGATTCACTTTAGATGAAGACTTGGATACTGTTGAAAAGAGGACCCCTCTCCCTATCCTCCCAAAGGAAAATGTTTACAGAAATGTATCCTCAGTGCTTTTATACACATGACACCCCTCTTCCCTCAAGAAAAATGATTGTGGTTTGAGCGGGCAGGTGATTCTGCCAAAATTTTCTGGGCATTCAGTTGAAAACTGGCACCACACATTCGGCTGTACCCCCATTAGCCCGTCAAGTATGGATCATTACCGGCGATCAGTGCCCCATCACCGCACCGTGATGCATATCCTGTACACACATGTACATGTGTTAACCCCCGAGGACCCCCATGCTCTTGTCGTATGCACAGCAAAGGAAATGATAACGAGCTGATTGGGGGGGAGGGAGAAAGTCGGCAAACTTTGCAGGGGAAGCACACTTGTGAATGGAGGCTCGAAGAGACACCTGCACCGATTGCAAGCCTAAGCTAGTCTCCAAATCCCACTAGTCATTTTGGCAAGAAACAGCGATCACTCGTTTTGCATTTATACTTTTTTGTTTCAACTTTTTTGTATAGATGGAGGTAAAGGAAATTTTCAATGTTGGTAAAAGATGTTTGGTACATGTAGCTATGGCTGTGTGACTTCATGACCAGCGCTGTACGGTGCAACCAAAACAGTCTCATTTGCGCCTAAAAAATTATTCTGTGCGACCAAATGTTTAATTCTAATCGCCAGGGGTGACCATGATTTGTGCCTGTTAGTCGCCCAACTTGTCATATTTCACTAATGATCGCTGCCCAGTTTCTTTTACGTCACGACGTGCACTGAGCGATGTGTCTCTGTGGTCACGCGGTTCTTTCTCCATCTTACTATGTACACAGCATATGTGTTACCTGCAACATAGCTTACATGTAGGTACATGTATGCACATAGGACTGGTTTGTGGTCGCACACTGTATAGAGTGTGAATGGGGAGCTGTGACGTTTCGCATATTCACAATACACTAGCAGTCTTTGCATGTCAGGATTCCAGTTCAGTAAACGTGTTTCAGTCCCAAATGTACTCGAAGTTTGAAACCAAAGCTTCCCTTGGTCTGGTCCGGTCCCAGGTACGAAATACTCAAACGTAGGAGAACAAACATGCCTTGTCTTTTCTTTCAGCTTTTTTTTTTCATATAATTGGGCGTCATTTTTTATTTATTCCACAAGCACAAAATCCAAAGCCTGTCTGCGGATAATTGACAGAATAATGTTTCTGTGTATTTTGTTAGACTGTGTACATGCAACTGGTGTATTTGCAAATTTGTGTACAGTCTAAGGGAAAATCAACCTGGCGCCTAGCTTTTTCTTTTCTCGGAGCCAGTGGCTCCTCATTACAATATTCTCTATTCAGCACTGCCTCATGACTTTCATTGCTTAGTACTTCCCCTGTCTATATTTCAGACCATCCAAATAGTTAAACACTTAAACAAAACATCTGGCATGAAAGGCCCCGCACAGTGACAGGAAAAGAGTGAGCTTATCTGAACATCTGGCATGCAGTAGTCACATGGAGGGGCATGTATTTGCTGCGTAAAGTGTTCATTTAATTTCTCTCTATTTGTTGTTCCGGTAGTGGAAATAACTTTAAAGGCAAAACTCATTTTTTTAATGATTTTTTTCCTAGCCAAACAAATAGATCTCATAAGTTTTCCATTTTGTTACATGTATGTGGAAGTGTCTACTTTTCATCTCATGAGCACTGACTGATACTTTTTAACATCAGAATCACTTCCATCATCTGTCATTGCACCATCCCTGCGCACTTAAAATTTTCCTGAATTTTCCAACTTTTTTCTTCAAACTAAGTTGGAAGGTTCAAAGCATGCGTTATCTTAATCCCATTTTATTTAATCAATCGTTATTTTGCCTGATATGCTGTCTGAAATTATTTGTTATAATTCTGGTGTGAATTTTTGTAGTGTCGTTTAATATTGTTCTGTACATATATTTTGATTATCAAGTTTTTTATCGCTCGCAAAACTGCAACGAATTCCAATGTATTTCAATAAGTATGTTGCATACAAATGATATTAAATAAATGAAATTGAAATTGAATTCAGGTACGTTCCCCATCGACCTGACCAAGACCCGCCTTCAGGTTCAAGGTCAGAGGATGGAGAGCTGCTACAGAGAGTTGAAGTACCGGGGAATGACCCACGCCCTGATCAAAATCTCCAAGGAAGAAGGGATCAAGGCGTTGTATTCAGGGTAAAGTCCTCCAGTTTGCAGCATTATCTGATCTCCCATGTCCGAGGGAAGATTTCTGCCTCTCAAAGGAGCCATGATTGGTCTACAAGTACAGGTTCTTCTGATGCAGATACATACAGTGTACTTGTTTCCAGACGGTTTTCTGTACAATGCATTGAAAGTGATTCCACTGCTCTGGAGTGTGCCTTGATGGATTTTGATTGATTGTAAAGGGTTTGGGACCATTCAGCTCTGCCTTTATAACCATATGACTTGACCTTACAAAATGAATAGAGAGTTACAAGAGACTCTATGGGGTCCTTTAGGAGAATCTTGGGCAGTGTTAATCATTAGGAACCCCTAACAGGTTTCACCATGGACACATCAGAACAGTCATCTCAGTTTGGTCTTTCTTATGCAAACCAACAAATGAAAACATACAAAAAAATACATACTCAGAAAAAAATGAATTTGAGACTTGGACTGATTCTTCCTCAGTATTAGACCGGCCATCCTGCGTCAGGCGTCGTATGGCACCATCAAAATGGGCTGTTATCACACCTTCAAGAGGCTCCTGGTGGAGAACCCTGAGAACGAAACGCTGCCGGTCAATGTCTTGTGCGGCGTGGCGGCGGGCGTGATTGCCTCCTCCATCGCTAATCCCACCGACGTGCTGAAGGTCCGCATGCAAGCCCAGGGCGCCAGCTTCGCCAACACCAACGGTATGATCAGCTCCTTCGTCAACATCTTCCAGGAGGAAGGGACAAGGGGATTATGGAGGGTGAGTTCACAGACAAGCAAACGTACAGCAAGTTTTAGTGAACAGTGGAAAATTTGGCTGCTGCGTTTGAGATTTAGGTATTTGATTCTTCTTATCACATTTGTGGCATTTATTGTTTGAATATTCATTCCAAATACCCAAAATATTCCAAAGTTACATCATGACCTTAAGTTCTTGAAAGGACCTATGTTCAGTTGTTCTGTGTTGATTCACAGTTATTGTTCCTAAGCAAGAAAATTACAGTAATTGTCCCTCTTGAGGTGCATAGGAGTACTTTAGTTTGAATTTGTTTTTCCAGGGTGTTGTACCCACAGCCCAGAGGGCAGCCGTCGTGGCAGGGGTGGAGCTCCCGGTCTACGACTGGTGCAAGAAGTGGATCATCGACAAGAAGTGGCTGGGGGACACTGTGTCGACGCACTTCATGTAGGTTGATGTTCTGGCTTGCCGTGATCAGTTTGGGCCAGTCCCACAGGTACCTCCCTGGGCCCGCATGAACAGCACGCAGAAGTACCATCCAGCACACAAATCAGATTATTGTAGTCAGTGCACTTTGTGGAGCTGACTCGAAATCAAATACTTGCTGCTTAACCGACTTACCTTATAAATGGCCGACGTGCCCTCATACATATGCATGAAGCAAAGTAAAAGCAAGTATTTCATATGGGACTCACAGGCACATCAATCCACCAGCAAGGCTAGTTTGTAAGTTAATGCTATACACTTCCCTGAAGTGATGTCAAACCGTGTCTAATGCATTCAGGATTCCTTGTAATTGATGCTGCACTTCGGAGGTAAAGGGTATCAGGCTGCACAGAACTAAGCCCCAGTAGTTGTTTGAGAAGCTTGAAAAAGGGAATCCCCTTGAAATGTTGTTGAATTGAGTCCTTTTTTTCGGTTGACAGTGCAAGTTTCATTGCCGGCTTTGCTGGGGCTGTTGCTTCCACTCCAATAGATGTCGTCAGAACAAGGCTGATGAACCAGAGAAACCTCCGCGACCACTCGCGCCCCCAGCACATCTACAAGAACTCTCTGGACTGCTTAGTAAAGGTATGATACCCAGACTTCTTCAAGATACCCAGACTTCTTCAAGACTGCAGGTGATACTTCCCTTCTGTTTGCCGGTGACTTGTAGCGATGTCAAATACTCTATGGTGTCTGATGATGTTGCTCACTGACCTTTAAACGAGCGGCACTGCATGAGCACAGCAAAAGATGAAAATTGCTCTCTACACAGAGGAAAGTGTCTTGTTTGTCTGGAGTTAAGGTTTAATTGAAATGCTACAAAAGGTACACAGTTAGGTGAGCAACTTTTTTCGTGGTTGTCATTGAATCGAACAGTTTTCAGAACATAAAAACAACATGTGTACACCTGAGGTCTGTTCCAAGATTAATTTCGACCTGTTAGGCTCCGGCCACTCCAGGAAAGGTCAAACTTGTCTGGATTTTAATCACTATTGGAATAATGTGTGTCTTTTCCACTAGAGCTTTGGGATTTGTGCTTATATTAGGTATGTGTGGTCTGTACATTTGATCATCCTATTCTGACTTACAGTGATATACCCCCTCCTCCCATGAACTTCAAAAAAGTACTAACGTCTTGACGGGTCTTTGTTGAGGTTTATCAGGAAGGAATCAAAGGTTGCTGTGTCGCTTCTCTCGTCACAAACAAAATTTCGGCCTATCTTATTTTCCTTTGATATCCAACGGCAAAAGCCAACCTCCAGAAAAACATCACATGCATCGAATGCAGATAACCTGTGTCCAGATTGTAGGTTGCCTACAGATGCCCACAAGTGGGTCAATACGCTTGCTGAAGTGATTACCTATTGTGTCTGTGTACGTTATCTGAACAATTACTCAGAAGTCTGTGTTCTTGCCATCCTGCGCATACTGAGGGAAAAAATGAATAAATACAGTATAACTTCGGCTAAGTCAGCGCTGTCGGGACTCAAGAAATTATGACGACTTACATGAATGCCGACTTGTGTTGTAAGTTGTCATTTTGCCAATTACACGGACACACGTATTGCCTATGTACATTATGATTCCTTGCACTAATTCAGTAGCTTTGATTTACCCTGTTTTTCCTATCTCCATGGTCGATCCCAGCGAATTTGTTCTTGATTATTATCCTCATGGGCTGTAAATTCGATAATTTGATCATGTGCCCCTAAGGACGAAGCAAGGACGGCAAGCTACTTGCATATCACATCACGACTCGACAGTGCAGTACGTGCATGTACGTGATACAGTTAAAGTACAGAAAACATATACTTATCCACACAAAATGGACAGAGTGCATGCGTGTAGCACTAGAGGGGTTACTGGTATTGATGTACTCGTGCTGGCCGCGCACAGGACTTGTCACTTGACACTTCTTGGCAACCGCAGCGAAGGAAACTGATACCGAAGCACTTTTTTTTAATGCCAACTTACACAAAGGAATTTTTGTGGTTTTGTGGAAAAGGGACCAAGCAGCGAAGGAAACTGATACCGAAGCACTTTATTTTTAATGCCAACTTACACAAAGGAATTTTTGTGGTTTTGTGGAAAAGGGACCAAGAAACTTATACGACTTATACGAAATGAAGACTTATGAATGCCGACTTAGAAATGAAATTTTCAATGGAAATGCATTACAGACGATATGGACTTTTGTCAAACGGCTGACTCAGACGATATAACAGGTTACGCGATGCCAACTAGCTTAGTTGGAGTTCACTGTACGCAAGAAAATTTGGCACACTCGAAAAGGTTTATTTTAATTCTAGTAATAGCATGGTAAAGATGTGATATACATGTAACCTCAGTTGGGTGTGCGCGATTGTTTCATTGTTAGTGGCATATTTGTATTTTTTTTTTTTCATTTTACTCTGAGAGAAAAGGTCATGCAATGAAGTTGCATCCACGGTCTTCATTCCTGGTACACTTTCTCAGTTCAGCAGATTTCCTTGGTACTAAAAAAACCTCCCATACAAGTTGCAAATTGAAACGCACTACTTAATCCTAACCCTCCTCAATCCTCCAACAGGTGAAGGATTGAGGAGGGTTAGGGTTAATCTTGTGTAGCTAGGAATTCCCTCAGTTTTTCTCCCAACTTTATGCCTGTTTTTGGCCACACACATGGACAGTCTGTGTGGCCACACTACATGATACGATTTTCTCAGTCAAGTGATTTTCTTATTTCTGATGTCCATTTTATGCCGTGACAAATGGAAACCCAAACTACAAAACCTTGTGCAGCTTGGAATCCCTTCCTCTGTTTTTTCATCCCACCCACCCCCCCCTGCTCGATTTCCAGCTGCCACCTTGGGCAGGTTTAATCGGCCATGGCATACTCCCTACAAGTAGTTGAGTCATAGATAATTGTAAATCCTGTCACTTCCATTCAAATGGCCATCCAAAGAAAAGGGAAAAAGACAAGCATTTCCTGTTGTGGAACACTTTCTGGAGTCGGCCAGTGACGCCGGCAAAGTGACATTGATACGCTTGCAACTGATCCTTGGAAGAGGATTTTTTTTGTAAGCCATCAGCCATCAGCTGGATTGTGTGAAATGTAACCAGTGAGACTTTTCACCTTTCTTGTTTCAGACTTTCAAGTATGAAGGATTCTTTGCCCTGTATAAAGGCTTCATACCGACCTGGGTGCGACTTGGTCCATGGAATATCATTGTATCCTTTTGTGAGAAACCCTTTAGACTTAATATGTTCCTCATATGCCATGCTCTCTGCTTTTAACTCATGGCAAATTAATAGACCTGACCTAGCAAGCCGTTAATAGTGGGCCCTTGGAGCAATTTTTTTTCCCAGTAAAGAATCCTGGAAGTGATACATCACGTCAAAAACTGTCCTCTCTGTCAAACACATCAGCACTCCTCTGATATCAAAAGCAGTAGGGCAAGGGAGTCAAGCAGGGAGGGGCGGGGCGGGGTGGATGAGTAGGGACGGATGGTTGAAATAAACTTTGTACAAAAGTTAAACTTGGCATCACCAAGCCCTCTTCTCCGACTTTCCCATTGAAATCTTGCTACATGCACATCTGCTGTTAAAGGTCTTGGTTTTCCTCCAGCTCCTGAAATTCTTATCCTTAGCGATCGTCCAATCACTAAAGTTCTTCATCACGTACGAGCAAATGAAGAAACTCCCATTATGATGGCATTCGGCGTAATGCACTGCCGTTTTTCTTGGACCTCTTGCCACTGACTACTCGTCCCCACTCAGAGCTACTACTCAGATCAACCCAGCAGTAAGGTGTGCACACCACGCCCGCATAGTTTTTGTACCAGTTTTCCAAAAAGAAACGGATGGAAAATCTACAGGGAGTGTCGTGGAAAACTTGGAGTTAAAAATCAGCATAATCATTTTTGGCAAAATTGAGAAATTCAGTGTTTTCATTGTACTTTAGGTTCAAAAGAGGACAAAGGGTCAATGAATTATTTTCGTGTCCACGTCAGATCGATGAACGACATTGAATTATTCAGTAGAGTAGGACAGTTGAACTCATCAATGATGGTGTCGCCTTCGTTTTGCTTTTTCACATTGACATTGCACAAGTAGAGTACATCTTGCCCAAGCAGTATGCAGTATTCCAGGACTTTGTTCTCCTGGTCTCCTTTCAGTCTAGTGCTTTGTAACGTGGTACAATGCAAAACCTTTTATTCTGAAGAAACTTTCCAGGGGCCTCGTGGTCCATGTCAAAGCGTTTCATTCAGGTCTCCAGCAAATTAAACTAAATCATCGTTGTGAGAAAGACTTGACTGTAAATGTAAGTTGTGCGACATTGATTTGCCTATAGGCCCAAATCCTTTGATTTCAGTATGATCTAACATACACCCTAAGGGGAAATTATTTCTGTGATGTACATACTTGGACAAAATAAGTGCACTAAATCATTGCTAATACGAGATCCTAAGGGATCAAAATCGAGAAAACATGTTCCTCAGTGCTGCTGGGAATATTTGTTGCTTGAAAAAGGCCTCAAGCACGACTCCTGGCTCGCTGAAGATTTTGAGTCGGCGTGGAAATTCAATGGCCCCTTCTGTTATACATCCACCTATTGAAATTCCACGTACCTTCATGTGATTAATAATTTTGCCGGGGGGGGGAGCTGTTTGAAACCATTGCACATTCTTCATCCTGTCTTCAGAGGGTTGTCACTGCTTTGAGGGACTTCTCCCATATTTATTTCTAACAAGTCAAACTAACTTTCTGGTTTATTTTTGGATTAACAAAGGTCACATCTTTTGCATTTAGAAATGTTGCTTTTAAAAGTACTGTAAATGTATCAGTCTTGTATATATTTTCGTTAATGTCGTACGTGCTTGTCATGTGTATGTGCATAATTTGTTGAAAATGTGCATGTTTGTAGTCATACATGTATGCTTGTTATTTCCCTTGATAAAGCTATAAAATAGATTCACAGTGCTTTTGGGGAGGAGGTAATAGGTTTCTCTTGTGGAAAAATAAAATTTTCATTAAATCATGATTTTTCATTTTTTACATTGTACAAATTTTCAAACTCACAAATTAGATTCAGCTTTCATTGTTCCATTCTTCCATTTAACAACTGCATGGCGACAAATGTGAGAACTACTTTTGAGAGGTCACACCTAGCATGGATGTTTATCAGGTGCCCTCATGAGAGTGTGTTCCTCTCAAATAGGCTGCAGTTTTGTAAACATTGCACTATGCTGTGTGTTTCTTGCTCTTAATGACGAGGCCAGAGTTGTCGTGCAGGTGGTTCATCATCAGCTAGGAAACCATTTAAATCAGCACAGGACTTTCACAGCGAGAGAAATACCACCTGTTATTCCTGTCATCTCTTCATTACATGGACACTTTCCATCCCACTCAATTAGGTAATAAAATTCTGAAGAAGCTATTTTCTGAACTGGAGCCAGCCAAGGGACCTGTTGTGAGAGGAGCTCTCTTTCAAAGTAAGGGGAACCCGGGAATTTTAGGAAGCATCACTGCTAAATTAATTCTCGGCAAACTGGAACCATTTCATTACCGTAGCTATCCTGCTTGCTATTTAATCAACGGCATTTCATGAGCTTCAGAGGGTTTTTACACCTGGTCGTTTTGATTAGCTGCAGAGGATTAACATCAAGTAGAATATTGCATCATTTGCATTATGCAGTTTTGGACTGTTGTTTTTTAAGATTCGTAAAAGTTTTTACTCTAACGGTTTGTGTGCCTAAGAATACCAATGAGAGAAAATTAGAGTTTAAATGCTATATCTCGGGTTTGACTGAAGTGCCAGGTAGCACCTGCCAGTGACTGCGGTGCTGTTAAAGTGGAAATCCTACTTCATCCCAAGTCCCTGGAGGTGCTACATCGTAATTGCATTATTTTGTCCCTGATTAATAAACGCCGGTGGGGTCTGTGCTGTTAGCCTTATACAAAGTCAGTGCTTGTGAGGGTATCACAGTACAAGAAGACTGCATCTTTAATAGAAAATCAAGCTTCTTTCAAAATTTGTTAATTTCTTGTACATCTAGGACTGGTTTGTTTCTTCAGAATTAACAAGTATTTTTCTTTGAAAGACTAATAAAGATTTCTGCAAGACGTATTCTTTATTTTCAGTCTTCCGATACATTGCCGTCAATCCTTTTTTAAATTCAGTTTTTTTTAAATGAAATAACTTGGGCTGTTGGTTTACTGGGGAACTATCGTCGCAGTTTTTCATTCTTTTTGTGGGGGGGGGTAAAACACACCCTTGATACTTTTATATTCTGTACTTGTTCTAGCAGAGCCAAGTGTGGGTTTTTAATAAAGATAAATCAGTAAAAACTGTATGGGAAGAAACAGGGTCTCTTCAGGAGGTTCATAACATTTAATTCTCAAAATTTGCATCGCCATCATTGGCAAAGGCAGTAAGTGTTCAAGTCCCCGGCAAGCTTCTGTCCACATTTAAATGCCCGCTGCACCTATGTCTTGTTTTCCCTGCAGTAAAAGTTCACTAGTTAAAAAATGTGTTTTGTTTCCCAGGCCAAAGCAAATGTTACAGGTTCATACATACACCTACATAGTATTAACCATCCCAATTCCCTACTTGCTTCTGAGCTGTCTTTAATCAAATCTGTTCTCTCCAAACATGACTGGTCACTGCGAGCGTTGAAGGACAAATAAACTCAGTTTTCATGTAATCAGCCATCTAGAAAAATAGGACAGTATTTCGAGTGGCTGGAGGTGTACCCTAGGCAGCCTCAACCTCAGTGGATTTGAGAAAGAATGGCCACAATTCTTATTTGCAGTACAAATCAAAGAGAAATCAAATTCCTGGATGAGTGCAGCGACTGTTCAATCTCGGTACACTTGATTCCATGGGGGGCACAGCCTAGCCGAGTGTGCAGAGTACTACTAGCGAAACTGGTGGATTATGCCCTTCTTTCTTCATCATGTGGCTGGCTCTAATGTTTCAACAGTTTTGTTGCTGGGTGGGCTCACGCTTGGGTTCAGGCCAAACATTGCCTGGCCGCGATGCCGGAACATTAAGAATGACGGTCGGTTACCAACTGTGTCAAAAGATCTGGAAAAACGAGAAGAAAATGGCAAAAATAAATGAGTCCTTTAGCACATCGAGCAAATTTGGAAACAATTCATGTCGCAGTTTTAAGAGTTTCATGCCCATCCTGCCAACTCATACTAATTCTTTAATAAAATTCAAATTAGCGTGCACTGTGGGTGACAGTACACACACAAGGCCTCATCACACAACTCCCGAGGTACGGGGGAGGGGGGAATAATGGCATGTATTACTCGATAATCCTTGGGGAATATGACAAGTAATTAATGACGCTATAATTGAAGACTGTCACCTGAGTGGCCACGGTAAAATCTGCCTTTGAACTCCATTTTCATCTATAGTGGGAAAGTGGACTTTACTTTGTTTGTCAATTACTTACTTCTTTTCCATGTCGGCCATGGCTTTGATGCCTCTGAACTGTCCAGCTATGTTGAGCACGCCATATATGGTAATCAAAAGGCTGACCAAACACTGGCTAACTATCTGCACCAAAATGAGTTCCAAATCATACAAAATGCATTAGTCTCCAAACTAGCTCAAGACAGGAATCAAACCAAATCAATCCAACTCAATGATCTTTAAGGCTCTTTTAGAAGCAATTTGGCCTTAATATACATTAGAAAGAGCATACTTGTGAGCTCTTTGTTTGAAGGTATCCTGACAAAACAGGACATTGTTTGGGGTAGACTGCTGAGGATTCAGGACTACTTACTTACTGAGCTACAATGTGCAAACCTGTCAATTGGGTCACATTTTGGCCAGAAAACAGCCAAAATCTTCCAAATACCTTCACTCTGAAGGAAAGCAACACAACTGTTTAAACTTTCAAAAGGTGCCAAGCTGCTGACTGGTCTGTCTTCCTTGTTCCCACAAAATCTTACAGAAACCTCTGGGCAGATTCTGCGGAGGGCTATAGAGAAATGAACTGATAGCAAGGTTGCACTTACATCGATAGGCAATCTTGTGAACTCCTGTTCTGTCAACCTCAAATAGGTTCTGTCTGAAATGATGAGACAAATGTGTTCAGTAAGTGTAACCTATGAATGTGGATAATTAACCCTAACCCTCCTCAATCCTTCACCTGTTGGAGGATTGAGGATTGTTAGGGTTGATAATACAGTGGAAGATAAGACAAGCAAGGATGTTCTTTTCTTCTGCAATTTCTGATACAATATTCAACAAACATCACTGGAATACGTAAGTATTTTGAGCCCACTTTGATCATGTTGATGTAGGCCCCTAGATCATGTATGTATACAATGGAGGAATGGTTCATGTTACAGGGCAGGATTTCTTGCAAAATATGCAGTGTACTGATAAACTGCAGGAGTTGGACTGAAGTTGTTACCTGCAGTTTTAAAGATTTTCATTTCAGTCAGTCAGTCTTTTCCACGTGGGCCTAGCATTATACAACAGGAAAATCATCACTTTGGCCTAGTATTGTAGTACTATTTGAGTATTCATTAAGGTAAACCGACTAAACGTAGATAGGATCATAGGGGTCCTCAAAAAGCACAGCTTGTCTAATGGGTTTACGGTCACTTCACCCCATTTCCACTTCGCCCCTTACCATTTTGCCCAATCCCAACTCGCCCCATTTCAACTTTGCCGTCTGTTTTGAGTGTGTTACAAGCCTCTTCAAAAAATGGTCAACGAGTTCCACAAACGGCATGAAACGACATGTAGTTATTATAGAAAACTCTACGGCATTATATTAATGTCACCTGCGTTGTCCATTATGGTGAATTAATGCATATGGTTGGACTAGCATCGGCGTTATTTCTCATCAAAGCAACACACAAATTTCTGTTCACATTGTTCTGATAATCGTTGATGCATCCAGACAGCTGTACCCGGGTGATTGGATAATAATAATAATAATGAATTATTTAAAAAACGCTTTCCATGTCAATGACATCTCAAAGCCATATACAGTAAAATGCAAAAATTACATTAACTTTAAACAATTAAAACAAAGTAACAGGAGTTATCAAACAAAATTAAAAATTAAGCAATAAAAAAATAAACATTAAATTAAAATATTCATAAAATGAAGAAATTAAAACTAACAAGTACAAGATATGTGATAATCCTTAAATAAATGTGTTTGTAAGCGAGATTTAAAAGTATCCAAAGTGTCGGCAGAGCGAATTGCTACTGGTAGCCTGTTCCATAATCGAGGAGCATATATTGTGAAAGATCGATCACCATAGTATTTAATTTTACTACTCCAGAAGTAAGGATAAAGCTCGGCGCGCAGGAAATTTTGTGGAAACATGCTTGGTTCAAGTACGAGCAAAACAACCTAAAATTAAACTGATGAAATAAATAAATACACACGCAGACAAGATACTAAGAATTAACGTGAAGAAATCTTATAAACATCGATTTTTTTCAATGCGTGACGGATCAGGTATATAAATGTTCGCCGCGGCATGACTAGACTGGTCACCACACTCCATTACGCATTCTCTTACACGGGTGTGGCGTAGCGGGAACCAGCGCTTTGCGCTCATGTTTTTACCGCAGTGAAAAAATTTGGGTATGGTGGTTGGGAAAACGGAATCATTGTTTTGGCCTTTGAAAGTTGGATTATCCGATCTTTACTTGGGTACTCAAACGTCAATGTTTTTACTTGTTGCATTAAGGCCTATGCCTCTGTTACTGAAGAACAGAATGAACAATAATCAATGGGGCGAAGTGGTAATGGGGCGAAGTGGTAATGGGGCGAAGTGGCAATGGGGCGAAGTGACCGACACCCGTCTAATGGACTCTGGAGTTCGTTGTCTGCATGGGATGGAGCATGGCAGACGTCGAACCCTAGCCCGGGCTGGATGTTGTCTTCATTTCATTACGACTAATGTCATATGGTCAGAAAGTCCACCTGAGCGATAACCGGTCACTCAAGCACCTTGCCAACTCGGCACCCACCAACTCGGCATCTTGCCAGCTCGGCACCCACCAACTTGGCACCTGTACAAAAACTGGCCAGGCCCAGCTGGCATGGATCACCCTGCCTACCCATAAGCTGTGACCAGTCGCTAGCGTTGCATGCACAGCAGGCTGGGCCGTGTATTTGCTGAGTAGTAGGAGTATTTAGTCGGGCCTAGTGGCCGCTCGGCTTGAGGGTTAGGTTGGGTCTGCCAGGGGGGCCAGGGACACAGGGGCAACTTCGATAACGAGCTTTCACAGAATTGCCAAGATAAAGCAAGGGTTATTTTTCTCTTTTTAAAATTAAAATCGGACTTTAATTTCAAAAATTGTTATTTTTTCAATCTTCCCTTTTACACAAAACACTCGTTTCTGTATAAATTCCTTTGTCAAACTAACTGGGTTACCATAATCCATGCGGATTACCCAATCTCCAAATCAGCCAAAATTAACTAAGCAAGTTGTACGAAATTTGAACCAATTGGTTCAGTTCGAGCGCCAAGTCGGTCAGGTGCCAACGAGTTGGACAACGCAGACCAAAGGCAAAATTGGAGGTGCCGAGTTGACGAGGTGCCGAGTTGGCAAGGTGCCGAAGTGACCGACATTTGGTTCTAGTCCGACCCCAAGTCGCGTAGGTGAATGCCTGCATGATAAACAATGTCAATGCAATGTAATGATTGGTGTGCATGCCTCACATGCTGGGCACGCGTTCTCTATGGACCCGACATTTTACACTTCACCATCCGCAACCTCCAACAATTTTCACAGAAAACATTACCAGGGAACACGTGACACGGTGGTGTTATCGAACTTACGCTGAGCCGCGGAATAACCGGCATGTGCGAGCCCTAAAAATCCAACGGCGAGGATGAAGCTGCTAAATGACGCCATTTTGGATTCGGCCTGTAAAAATGTGTGTACGGCTGTTTAATGACTGGCCCTACTCTTGTCTATACTGCAAAGAAACGGTCATTACAGGCGGCAACCGTGAAAGTACTGAAGTAAGTGTCTTATTTGTTGTAATACGGATCAACAACTTCGACAAGACAATATAGGAGCCTACTCACTCTGCACTTTAGTTTTGCAAAGATCAAAATGGAAAGTTTTGTTTTATATGACAGCCAATCGACCCCATGCGTATTGAATGAACACATGATCAGTGTCAAGTCCATCTTGATTAGCGTTTCCACTTCTAAGTAAATTTCCTTATTTTAATGAAATGTTTATGGAAATGAAAAATTTAAGGAAATTTTAAGGAAAATCCACCTTCTGAAGGAAATGTTAAAGAAATGTAAAAAAAATACAGGGAAAAAATTATGAAAAACTAGATTTCAGTTGTGTTCTAATAAAAAAATGGCAAATTCAGAATTGGGATTGGGCGTACGGTATTACACGCGGCTTCTTGCCTTGGGGCCTACTCTGCTATATAGGTGCCACCCTAAAGCTACGTTGCACGGCAGTGTTCGCGCAGCTGTTTGAGTGATTCCCGTCCGAAAGAGGTCCCAACTTGAAGATTGGTAACCAATAGGCCTAAAAATAACCGTGACTGGTATCGGTATTGTCGTGACTCGTAAGTTTAGGCCTCAGTAGTCCAAGCAGTGTATACGGTGGGGTCGTCGCCGCAATCACTGCACGATTCATTTTATGAAAAACAGAATGAATTCAAATGCACATTATTTAAGGAAAAATGAGGAAATTCAAAGGAAATTTTAAGGAAATTTCAGAAAATCTCAGGAAAAAAATCCAAACTAAGGAAATTTAATTTTGAAGAGTGGAAACACTGATCTTGATTTTCTCGCCATACTCGCGTGATATAGTGTACATGTACGTTCAATGGTCCAATGCAGCTTTGCAGCATAAGTGCATCGGGTGGAACACAGATCAAAAGCCCGAGCACGAATACCAATTCTTTAAATTGAAAGACCTACATCAATTTGTCTGTGAGAAAAATTACAGCACGCGCACGGATAGCCTGAAGTTAACACAATAGGCCTGAGCGACAAGAACGCTTTGAAAGTTCCCAGCGCACCCCATGGTCAAGCTGGTGTAGGACCACGTGTCAGCGCAACCGCTACAACGCAGTCAGAGCACTTGAGCGCACTTTCATTACCTTTTCCCTTGTTCTCTACGACGACGATCGACTACAAGTTTTTTACGGCGGGCATTTATATCTTTGCTATGCAACGACAGCAGCCGGGTCATCCAATCTATAGCCTACACTATGCCTACGCTAAGTTGGCCAAACACGCACGCTGGTAGGATAGGCGTACGATATGTTTCCTTCGCTTAGTACTACTCATTTTGCCCATTTTCTCCTCATTACTAGCATATGCAGCCCCCTTCGTCCGCAAAATAGCTGACCATTGATAATTACATCAAATCGGAGTAGCAGTTTGACTTCAAGAGGCAGCATTGCTAGTCAAAAGGCATTTTTTCCAGAAGGTTTCAGAGTTTCGGACGCCATTTTGTTTGTGGAATGATGTCGCGCAGCGTCTCGTCTGCGACTCAGTCTGCGTCTCAGTCTGCGTCTACGTCTTGTAGACCGTCTATGTTACAAACGACCATATGGAAACCAGGCTTAAGTGGCGACAAGGGTTTATGCGCATGTTATTTAGTCGCAGCTGGTTGATCCATAATGTAATTAAAGTTTTGCCCGAGTAGGACGCTGATTGTTAATTTTGTTATAATTAACGGCATACGGGGGTTCGAATCACCTTAGTTTACCACTTAAAACTTCAGCCTCTGTTAGGATGCCTTTGCGCCCAGACCCGGGACGAGTTGGCGTATAATCCAGCAGGTTATCCACAGTGTGGTACGCATGGGACTTGTGCGCCCCAAACCGGTCACGATAATTAAAAAAAAGCCTCGGAGGCCAGAGAAACATCTTTCCTCTCAGGCCTTTGGAAATAACTATGTTCGGCTGGATTTCCCAGTTCTTGGCTCCGAGCAAAGTTGTCCCAGGCTGATTATTCCTTGTACAGGCAACGATATCGAGCCACGCGACACACGTCATGTTTTTGCGTCAGTTCTTTGCATCTTCTTTGAAATGTCCAAATGCTGCCTGTAGCGGACACAGAAACAGGATTCGTGTTTGTTGCGATCGAGTAGCGACTTCAGTGACGGTTTCGCTAGACGCCGGTTGAAAACCCATTGCTGCCATGAAGTAGAAGTACATTAGCAGTATCGGTCACGCTGACCAATAACGATACTTACTTGCGACGGAATTCCTAACCGAAAAGGCCGTCAACACAAAAAGAAATGGCAAAGCACTGACGATAAAAAAGTTGGTTAATGGATCACAAAATGATGAATTTGAAGAAATGTGTTGCAAGAGCTTTATAATTAGACAAGACACACAGAAGGTCATCGAGACTTCCATGAATCAAACAAAGGATTTTGAATTTTACCTTGGCTCTTGAAGTTCGAAGTTCTGAAAGAAATAACCACGGCCTAATAATTCTATAGGCATTAGCGTCATCTTGCTGTTTTGAAAGAACCTCTAATTCTCGGCGTCCTGGTAGATATTACAAGCAAGCTCTCGGTTCTCTGTGGAAAAAGAAACCTGGGATTGTTCAGTCTCTTAGGCAATTCCCCAATGCGGTATTGCCAGATTTTTAAAGCCCAAAGGTGACCTTAATGGATAAATCTGTGATCACTCGAGAAAATAAGCTTCGGGCTTTTAGACCTATACTATTTGCCGCATCGGCAACTTCAAATGAGCTTCGTGCATTTCGCAAGAACAACATTTTCCCTGGAATAAGACGCGGGCTTCTTTGGGAGGCATTTAAGTGCGGATTGCTGTATGTAAGCCTGGATACGGTATCAAACAATGACAAAATATACCCCATGGAATAAAGAAAAGGCAAATGGAATAAAAAGTCTCCAGAATGTGGACTTAAAAATGAATCAAAGACTTGGAATATTAGAAAAGGTTTTAACAAAAAAATGTTGTACAGTGGGCGCGTTATATCGCCACTATTTCGACAAAATGTTGTACAGTGGGCGCGTTATATCGCCACTGTTTCGACAAAATGTTGTATAAGTACGCACGAATAGGATGAAACAATAATAGCCCAGCATAAAAACATAAATAGGCGCTTTGAAATAAAGAGGAATACGAGCATTGTTTTAAAGACAAGTGAATGTGCCTGTATTTAGCATGATTTTGTTATGAGTACTTACCAACACCATGAATTCGAGTGAACACCATTTCTGAAGCCCGTTCAGTTAAAAAAAATTTTACCTAGAAAACAGAGCTTTCGATGGGTGAATCATGACGGGATTATGACACGCTCCGAACGATTTCCCCCGCCTATAAAACTGGTTTTGTTTTCTGGGTGCAGAAATTGCTGCTAAGTTACGATATTGTGTTCTGCTGGCAACGCAAGGTGGGGGCTTCTACAAAAAAGGGCCGTTAAGTAAATTTAGTTTCTTCACAGTAACTGTCACTATGTAAAATACATACTTCAAAGTTTGATAGTTTATCTATGTTTTCTTCTTGTCGAAAAAGTATACAGAAGTGACTCGTCGTTACAAACGTCACAGCCAAACTCCAGAACACCATGCCCCATGACATTCAGCCGAAAGATTGAGATATCTATTGGATTGTACAGTAACGTTTTTCATAAGCTTCAGGCTGAAGATAGGCCCTGCACGAAGTTATTCACACGAAATGCGTGCTCACCCATGATTGAGGAAAAAACAAATTGTCAATTTTCACAACAGATACGGCAGTGGTTGCATACATACTTAGCTTCCAATTTGCCTGGACAGAGCATGCGAATTTGTTCCCCACGGGTAACTGTCACATTCACGTGTCTCAAGCGGTTTCGCCTGCAGGACACGCTAGAGTTCAGCACACTCGGTAAGGCTGCTTGGTGATGTTTGTTGAGGACTACGGTAGTGGCATACTAAAGGCGTTGCTGAAGATCTTCGACGCTGTTACCTGTCAATATAACTGCCAGGTGGTCCTTCAAATAATTATTCCACCGTGGTTAAAAGGTCCGTTGTTTTGCGCATGTTTTGAGATGGAATCTACTTTGCGGAGTTCCCTATATTACATTTCACAACATTACTTCTTTACAGTAATATTCTGTTTTGTACCTCCGTTGTTTTTAATATTGTAATTTCTATGAATGTGATTTTTTTTTAAATATTGGTAGGGACCTTACTTTAAACATCACGTGACAATACAGTCTGTTTCTTTTACTGTGCGTTCCGCACGTGCGTCACGTTAATGCCTTGGGACAGTGGAGCTGAAAATAATTGAAATGATTGAATGACACGGTCCATCGGTGTCATAAAGTGTCAGCTTGGTCGTTAAGAACCACAAGTTGATGAAAAAGGCAGAAAAAACTTATGACGATGTTTGAGGTCATTACCCTGCCAGGCGAATTCCCACTGAAGCCAGCAGTAGTCGTGAGGCTGTCGAAACATTTCTCCGATGTCCGCAATGAGGGACGATTCTCTCCACAAGAATCTGTGAATTATTTCAACTAAACAGTGCAGATTAGCAATATTGCATTTAATGTGAAGTGTGTTCCCGGACATTTTCAAACTTTTTCTTCATAAACGGTCCAATTCGTCTCAAGAAGACTGGAACGCGCAAATATTATACAGTGAATTTAGTCATTTGTCGTTTCAAGTGACCAGTAATCTAATCCATTCGATTTGGTCAGATTTCAGTATAGAATTCGTCATCACCCGATAATCACGTATGTAAAGATTAAATGAGTCTTTTTTGATCGGTCTCAAAGAACATTTCGATGATATTAATTGAAGGGTGTACAAGCATGTATAGACGTATTCGGCTCGGTAATACAAGACGAGAAAATGAAGGTTGAGCAGCCAATCAAAGGACGAAAAATGAGTCGATTGTTTGTCAAAGATGTGGAAATATGACTACGTTTTTGCTTGTCAGTGATAAGTACAGGACTCCTTATTTCTTGCATTAGAGATACGTCAAGAAATTTGATTGGCCCCCAAAAGAAGCTGTTCTGTCCTTTATATTTGATTCACGTCAAACACTACGTTGGAGACGTGTCAAACTGGAAATAGGCCGAAATAATTATCCTGGAATTTTGAAAATTTATCAAGGACTTTTATTTTAAGGAAATGCTGGGAACCATGTAATAAAATAAACAAACGGATATTGAAATAAAAAATAAGCTTTCTTAATAGTTGATAGGATCATTCCATGCACGCACCGAAAAAAACGCACATTTTACAGGCTCTCCCGGTCAGTTTCAGCGAAAATCTGCTCACTTTTGTCAACACACATTCGCATAGATACTACGGTTTGGTTTGTTTGGAGGTTTCTTTTCTCCTATTTTGACATTCAAATTTCTTTTCTTGTACATTTTTGTTCTTAGTTTTACCGTTCAGTTTCGTCACTCCACTCCATCACTCCACTTTGTTTATGGGCATTTAAAACTACACTATCACCATTCTTCAGTGTAATATCTGCTACCTTTCTGGAACAGATGCAGTCAAATTAAAGTCATCCACGCGTAAAGGGTCTTTTTGCCTGTTTTTGTTTTGTTTTTGTTTGCAGTATATCTATTTGGCGTTCTGAGTGTTCAATTCAGGAGTGTAAGAGAAATTGATGCCGTTGGTCTTCTATTGCTAGTCGCTGTGTATGATATTTTTGTTCCATAATCATATTTTGATCATTGTAAATGACTTTTTTGCATCCTTGTACAGTTTGTGTTTGTATACGCCTATTTCTTGAGTCAACTCAGAAAGTTTTTGTTTTGCTCTTTGTGTGTATTCATGCTGTTCATATGTGTTTCCTGATCATTCACACCTTTTTAAAATGTACATATAAGTTGACAAAAGTTCAGGGAAACGAATTCAGGGTTAACATAAGAAAACATAAAAACTTGGTTAACATGCCTTTGCCATGGAAAGCGTCGATCAGGTTTTCCCTTTCTACGATGCTCACCTTTCTGTAAGAACCTGGCTGCCATATTTTTTGTACGAAGTCACGTTGACAAAAACGCTGTCACACAATCCACTGTCAAACCTTTTGTGTTGGAAAATCAGATTTTATGTAGGATCCAGAAAGCGCTTATCACGTGAATTCTTACGAGTGAAACGAAATTGCTTATTGACAAAAATAAGTGACAGATCAGACCTCTTTCTAAGCCCTTTGACGAATTTGAATGAATGAAACGATCTGTGTATTTTGAAAGAACGTGTTTCCCGAAAGAATGCTCAATAACAAAGTCGAATGTTTGCTTTTGATTTTTGAATTCTCGTGTGAATCGAAGGATCATTCTTTTTAAAGCGAAATTACATGGATCGTGTGTTCAATGACTTTTTGCTGAAATTGGCCGGAAAAACCTGTACAATGTACGCCAACCGTTACAATCCTTTCAGAGTGTTGTATTCCCAAGTGTCACTGATGACACACCAAAATTTACGCAGACGAAAAAGTAGTGACGCCACGTGGATTGTTTTCACGTGCGGAGTTAAGTTGGTGATTGGTCATGCGCATAGGTCTGTACAGAAACACATGTATGCGCAAACCTGTTTGCGGTCTGCTGAATGGCCATATTACCAGGTGGGCGTGGTAAATGGACAAACGCATACTCAAGCGTAAAAAGACAAGCAGTTCTACAAGGCACCAAACGCAATACGTAGATCGACAAGCTTCAACGATCTTCGTCCGTTTGTCGTGTATGTATACGGCTGTACTATATCACACTCTTTAACGTAATCAAAACATTGATGGGCACAGCGTCAGGTGAAGATCGAGATTCAGTGAGTTTGAAATGACTTTGGAGCCTCTTCAACCATGGCAGAAGCCCTACTTGTCCTCCGAATCATCAAGACAATCGTTGGTCTGATCGGCCTTATTGGAAACACATTGGTGGCCACCGTTATTTATCGGGTGAAGTTCATGCACACATTGACCAATGCTTTCATCTGCAACCAGGCCGTGGTGGACTTCCTGGGCTCGCTCTTCCTGATCCTGAGTAGCAACATCGCGGTTCCTGACCCACTTCCAGACACCCTGGGCTACCACGTGGTCTGCCACCTCTGGCTGTCCAACCTCTTCCTCTGGGCTTTCTTCACCTCCTCTACCATGAACCTGCTGTCGCTCACCTGCGAGCGCTACGTAGCCATCGTCTACCCGTTCAAGTATGCCACTCTGTACACCACCAAGTCCGTTACCTGCATAATGGTGGTCATCTGGTTATCGGGACTCATTCTTGACGGGGCCTACACGGCAGCAGTGAACACCTACGCCAACGGTCAGTGTTTCTACTCCTCGGCAGTCGGCTCCCGGACACTTGGCATTGTCTTTATCCTGGTCAAGTTCTTCATCCCCGCGATCTTCATGTTGGCTGTCTACTCGCACATGACGGTGGAGCTCAAGCGAAGCGCCAACCGTATCGGTGCTATCGCCCCAACCGTGTCGGCCACCGTGAATTCGGGCCCGGGCACTAGCGCGGGTGGGGCCCGCCCGCTCAACGCCGAAGAATCCCTCCTCCGAGCCCGCCGCAACATCTTCAAGACCCTCCTGATCGTGTTCCTCACCTTCTTAGTGTGCTGGACACCGAACCAGGTTATCTTCTTCATGTTCAATTTTGGCTGGAGTCTAGACTTCTCTGGGGCCATCTACATCATATCTGTCTCGCTAGTAGCCATCAATTCGTGCGTCAATCCCTTCATCTATGCCTTCAAGTACAAGCAGTTTCGGCGAGGTTTTCTCTCCCTGATCGGCCAGACAGACGAGGACCCGCTACGGCCCTCCGAAGCAGCCACCCGTCAGTGGAATTTCCGAAACAGTGAGGCTACACCCTGACGTGTCGTTATTTAGCGATTTTCACTGGGAGTCATCAAAACAGATGGATTGAAAGAATCACTGACAGTCACATTAGTACTCCGACAGGCAACCTTCCTATCGCAATGCCGGCTCCGTCTGGTTTGTACTTTACAGGCACTGCAAATCAACTGACATCTACTCGAGAATGACTCAAAGGAGAACGCTCTTGATAAACAGAAATTAACTCAAAACAAGTAACACTGTCGTCTCAATATACCCCGAATGGGATAGTACGTTGTTACCCTCATTGGACTTCTTACACATACACCGTCTTGGATGTAAATGTAGATCTGCTTAATTTTGTCGGATAACTTTTAACTTTATTTCATTAATTTAATAAGGTAAGTACTTCGCTTTAATTTAGTAGTAGCCTATAGTACACCAACCTTTACTTAAAACAATCTACACACATATACGCACTGAACGCAACAAATTATGATGATCATCTATACGTACTTAGTTATATCTCTCCAACTACTACAGCACGGCCATAGCTTTTAAATTGATAAAGTTCACCTCCCATTTTCCTGCATATAGAAATCCAAGAAACGTCGTGACATCAAGACGATGCCACTCTGAATGTTTTCGATAAATGACAGAATGAACATTTTTCTTTTCGGTGATGAAGACTGATTTAAAGCACTGTCATGTTGAATATAGATGTTCTCACATCTTTTCCGTCATGGCAAATTTCGCTGCGAATTTTTCTAGACTTCATGCAGGCTTCTAGAAAATAAAATCTGATTTCTGTCAGGTGATTGTCCAAATGTTAGATGGCCTATGGAGTGAATAAAGCTGTAAGCAAATGCCATTCGGAAAAATACTGAGAAACCTATTATTTGGAAAAGCGTTGAATGATGCAAAATACTAACTCAGACTAATGTATGAATAGTTAGTTACTTTGTTGCTGTTTTTGAAATTGTTTACGCAGAAAATAACTATTCGTTCAACTCGGAAAAATGAGGCTGCGTTTAATCTAGGAATAAAGGGTAATCAAAGTCACAATATCTCAAGACTGTATCTTGCTATTGATTGCTATTGATTACTAAATAATTATGCCAAGTTCTATTGCCTTTTACAATATATAGTTTTGAAAGTCCAAGAGTATCCATAATTTTACAATGGCATCTCATAATTATGTGTGGCAAACACAACATTGTGTTAAAGTGGCTGCGTATTTATGTTGAAGCATTTTATTGTACCGCGTTACCGCTCTGTTGCCACGCTGAGGAAGTGGTGTGGCTTTGTATCAATGAATAGTCTTTGTGAACATTGTAGCGGGATTTAGTAAAAATGTGACAAATAACCTTGGAAGAGAAACGGACGTCATTGCGAGTGGGTTAATAATAGTGGGTGAGAAATGGCAAGTACATCCATGAAATCATCTTTGGCTTCTATAACACTTCCAATTCTGTCAGTACAACGACAACAGTGGTTACTCTTGAGGAAAAAATAAAAAAAATCCCTAATTGCTGTCTGTCGCTCTTGGCTCATCTTCTCACGTCGACTTTTTATTGACGCAGTGGGACGCCCGGCGGGACTGTTGTTGCCGAAGAGCGTATAAAGCCTTCCCAGTCGGCGGCACTGTTCTCCATCCTGATTTCCCGTAGGGTGTTGTTAGATTGGAAAATCGCTCAATTTGCTTCACTCGATTTGATCTACATGTTCTTTAATCTTTTAATGTATGAACTTGTATGTTCTGAACAAGTTTTGATAAAGACTCTTAAGGTAAGTTCTGATGATAATTGTTCAATTGGAGACCTACCTCATTATCCTGGTTGAAGACTAAGATCGTCGACCCCGATATTTAATTTCTCTACACTGTATCTGAACTGCGATATTATAACTCTTTTTGCTTTCCCTGTGATTATCCCGTACTACTGATTGTAAGCCGCCGGGCATTACAACCACACAATGGGTGAAAGTTAGGTGTACCGGTTGTCGATTGGGGGCGCCGTTCTTTATTATGAATGCCTAGCTCTTTCGGTGAAATGGTCGCTCATGGCTTCAATGAATTATGTAGGCTGACTAAGGGCACCCCGAATCCAGATTGTAATACGCCCGTGCCTTGGCTTATAGTACATATGCCAGGCTGTAAACTGGTGCTTTGGGAGCAAAGTCAGAACAGTAGAGGGCGCTATCAGGGTGGCGGGAGGCGGAAACTATTCACAAGAGCCAAGGCGCGGCTTGCAGGACACATTCGCAGGTCCTCTACCGCGCTTACAGCGCGCTATAGGAATATGTAAGACGTGAGTTTTGTCAAGTACTCATTATAGTTCGTTTAAATAATAACACAGGTGAAAAGTTCCGCGTGTGCATGGCTTTTGCGCACAAAATTTTGGCATTTGCCGATCGGAGCGCCCTCTAAAGGCGATGAAGACGAGAAGCGATTGACCTTTTCACTATAAAATTCATAATTTGCACGCATGCGCACACATGGCCTTGGCGGAAAGAAGTGTGAGCGGGCCATTGAAAACGTACAGGGGGTGCGACTCAGGCTTTCTGGCTTTGTTCATTTTTTTCTTCAGAAAATCCCATTAAATGTTTTTCCCTATAAAACAGCAAGAAAGGACACGGCAATCTCGTGCGCACAGGAAAAATCATGATTGTAACGTCTTATAAGAGCACTAAAAATCCTGCTAGATTAGAAACTAATTGCAAAAACGTTCCTGCATATGTTCCTGCAACTGTAATTTGTAACATATCTTGTACATGTAGTGAGTTCATCATATCCACTTACTGTCTCTGCAGAACTTCTCATTAATCAAGATACTATTCGCTGTATTTGCCCTTATTTTCAACTAATATCGCAACTAGAATGGTTATTTTCCCACGTGTAGCTGTACAGTTTCACGCAAGCAATTGTCCATCTCTCTGAGGGCATGCAACATTCAGTAACTGGGCTAGCTATCATTATTCATGTGGTGCCATACTTCAGACTACATGGCTCCATTAAGGCACTCGGACAATAAGGAAACAATCACAGAGAGGTAATTAAGGGGCCAGACTAGCTTCGAGGCATTGTTACAGGTACATTGTGTAAAAAGGCAAGCACTCACCCATACTGTGTGATTTTGTTGACGTGATGCGGCACTTGGCAACTAATACAAGGCTGATCCAGTGAGCTTCAATTAAAATTTTGACTCTGCTTGGTAATTCGTCCATGAAGGTGGACGCCAAACTGAGCTTAGCCATTGAGAACGATGAGCAGCTAAAATGCTGTCTAGTCACGAGTGAATTGTATGTGCCCAGGGCTCTAGACATGTCTGTTTAGTTATCCAAAGCTAAACTCAGCATTTCTGGCTGTATCAAGCCCGAGAAGCAGACCATTTGGAGCTTGGCAACCGAAGCAATGGCGGAAACTGTACTGGCTCTTCGGATCATCAAGACCATCATAGGTCTGCTGGGCATTTTTGACAATGGTCTGGTCATCTTGGTCATAGCCAGAGTGAAATTCATGCACTCGATGACCAACGCCTTCATCTGCCACCAGGCGGTCATTGATCTGGTAGGCTCCCTCCTGTTGCTCCTAGGAAGCAACATCTCCGATCCGGATCCCTTCCCGGAGTCCACGGCAGGAGAGGTGCTGTGTCGGCTGTGGTCCGGGGACGCGCTACTGTGGCTCTTCTTCGTTGTGTCTACGTTCAACCTGCTAGGGCTGACGCTGGAGCGGTACTTCGCCATCGTCTACCCGCTACGTTACCTCGCCGTCTTTGGGCGACGGACGGCCGCTGGCATTATGGTTGCTACCTGGGGCATTGGCATTGTCCTTAAGTCCTACTCCTTCCTGATCTACACGGTGGTGGATGGAGTCTGCAAGTTTCAGCGCATCTCTGTATCTCACTTCATGGGTCCACTCCTCATCTGCCTCCAGTACTTCCTCCCAGCCGGTGTGATGTTCTTCTGCTACATCCACATCACTGTGTCTCTGAAGCGTAGCGCCATGAGGGTAATTCCCGCCCCCGCTCCTATCACCAAACCCCAAAGTGACACAGATGACCGGGCACCGAGCAAGCCCTCCCAATGTCAAGCCGCCGCCGGACTGGTCGCCAACGACCCACAAAACGCGCTCTACCGTGCCCGCCGCAACACCTTCAAGACCCTGGTCATCGTCTTTGTGGTTTTCCTGGTGTGCTGGAGCCCAAGCCAGATCACCTTCTTTATGTTCAACCTGGGATGGTTCAAGTTGGAGTTCACAAGCCCTCTGAATGTCTTTAGTACGACCATGGTGGCTGCCAACTGTTGTATCAATCCCATCATCTACAGCTTTCAGTACAACCAGTTCCAGCGAGGCGTCAAGCAGCTTTTCCTTGGCGAGGCAGTGGTCCAGAACAGCTCCAGAACATCTGAATCCAAGCGTCAAGCACCCCGTAATCATGCCACAAATTCAACTGCCAACAACTGAACAAGCTGACAAAATATGAAACAAAGTTAACGGTAGTCATCGTCACGTGATCACAGAAAAGTCTAATTTTATTTATTCATTATTTTTTTCAGTAGGTGTAAACTAGCTACACAGAACTTTCCAACAGCCAGACGCTTACAAACAATTATCCACAAAGTTGAAAACTCAAGATTTAAACGTTGGTGTACATGTACATTGTATTCTGCGATACGCGTGGAAAGGCACAGAGCCAGAACCAAGAACGGCCCAGGGGGGGGGTTGGCAAAAAATGTTGATTTTTTTCCCCCGTGTAACCTTAAGCTTTTATGGCCTTTCTGATGTGGGAAGCTACATTTTCAAGCTTTAACATGTACTCGTTTTGGGAAGGAAGGGAAATGAAATAAACAAAAGAATTATACTTTTCTTTCATTACTTTTTCAAAAAAGAAACAAAATTGGGTCATGGCTCCCCCTTTGGCCCCCATCCTTGAATATGCCGATAAATTCATGAATTATCAATGGATTCGTTGTATAATACGCTTCTCAGTGTGGCAAATCATACAAAAACGCCAACTTATTGCAAACGGCTCTTCTTTGAGTACGAGTAAAGCATAACTTGAACGTTCTTGGAACAGCGTACACTGTATAATGTTTTTAGGATACTTTAACACAACTTGAAACGTTGCTTGAACTAATTCGCTTGCGTCTTCAATGTTACCCTTTCTGGATCACACAAAAGATTCAACGAAGAGTGGAATTGGGTCGTGTAGCTACGTTTAAAATAATGTTTCACAGAACTGGCACAGCAACATTCATAGCACTTTTCGCACATTGTACATGTATAGGGCTGGACCTCCCACTTTGAGAGTATCCTGTGCATCTAATTGCTGCGTATGGTGTGGTAATGAAGTGTTTCTTTTTTGTGAAATGTATATGTACGAGTGAGAACAATTGTTACATGTATTCAGAAAATTAAAGGGAACGCACTTGTCCCCCAACATACTTTTGAGTTTGCTAGATACCTTAAGTACGTTGAGTGTGTCACTAGGAATCTAAACCGCAAAGCGGATATTAATTGTACCGACAGCATTTTCGTCCATCCATGATACGGACATCTTTTTTTCGTGAAAACTCGCACTAGATTCCTTTTCAACACGCCTACAGCTTTCAAAGACATATGTGTTATTTCCAATTAAATTAAGACAGCCTATAAGGCAGACAACACCACTCTTTTGAAAAGTCAGTCTTGTGGCGACGCCTTGTGACGCATTAGACAATACATTTTGTACATCGTTACTTCTTTTGTCAAATGTTATTAATGAATGTCCATTTTTTGAAAGATACCTATCGTGTAAAAATAAAGTGATTGGTAATAAGGAAACCTAGAGAGAAATCACTTGTTCTTCGGTTGCATTTCAAAAGACGAACATTTTGTTTCCTATTGGGTACATATACTTAGAAGGTGGTTACAATTTCTTGTTAGACACTAGTTGGGTATAGCTCTCCTTTCCTATCGGCCAACGACCCTTCACTACGTATTAAATTCCTTCAAGACATCTGTTCTATAGTTCTAGCACCCAGCCTCTGAAAAGGACATACGAGTGGGGGAAAAATGAAAGTGGGCCCACACAAAACCGTTCGCATGGTCGGACAATGACATTTTATTTTCACACAAAACTGTAGAATTATGTTATTGTTGGCTCAGTTGTGACTTGATCAGCGCGTTCCTCTTCAGCGAGGTAGACGAGGGGAGGAATACAGAGTAGGCTGGACTCTGTTATAATCCTATGACATTTCCAGCCGTGAAAATCTTCACTCAAAGCGTGCCTTGGCACTTTGCAGGCAAATTGAAACCTTGGGTCCCAGGTGTGAGTCAGTAGTGAAATCAGCTTTGAAAACCTCGGGTTTGTTACTCCGTTGACGCTGACGAGGACGGGTATCTTATTACTTACTGATTGCAATCTTCCACGAAGGGCGGTGAGCTGAGATCATACCCCGTTTCCGAAATATGATCGATCCCGTTGGCAGGTGTATTGTTTTTGCGGATAAAGTGCTTCTCAAATTTCATTCGGTTTGAATAACGCATGGCTCACTCGCCAGACAAATTTCGCATGGAAAATGTTATTCTTGGAGCGTCGTTTCATGTGTCACGTGTCTGGGGGGTAGTACTACTTACTCATGTTGGGGATGCCATTTTTCAAAATAAGCATTGGTTCACCTCCACACGAGTGCCCCACTTGTTTCGACAAGTGGGATAAAAAAATACTAAAATTTTCTTGACACGCTGGAAATAGAAAACTTGGAGCTATATAGCTGTTTTTGGTAGAAACCTACATCTGGGCCGTTTATGTCCTTCACCACAAGTTCTTTGTTCACCTTGTTTCAGTTATTTATGGTGGCCCTGGAGACCATCGCCAATTGTCAATATTGACGTCAATATTTGCGACCAAATACACGACCCACTTTTCGGTCGTGAATATTTGGCGCCAGTATTCACAACCAAATTCACGACTCTTTGTATCTCCGGTCGCAAATATTGCCGCGAAATTTTTCTAGAAAGCCGAGGTAGAGAGAGACGTTGCTCGGCTATAGACACAGCAGTTGCTTTTTAACGATGTCCCCCCTGCGTTGTGCCAAAACTGCCCTGCCGAATAACGACTTGTGAGTTCAAGCTGGAAAAGTAGGTCATTGCGAGCACTTAATTTCCGCCTAGCTTGCTAGAAAAAAAATTGCGGCAATATTTGCGACCTGAGAGCGAATCGTGAACTTTTGCCGGGTCGTGATCATTGACGACAATATTCGCGAGCGGAGAGCAAGTCATGAATATTGGCGTAATATTCGCGACAAAGAGCGGGCCGTAAATTTGTTTGCAAATATTGACGTCAATTTTGCCGATCGGCGATGTCTCTCCAGGGCCACTATAGTTATTACCTTAATTTCATTGTTTTTTCTTCTGCTAGCCCACTATGTGCATGTAGGCCTACATGAATTTTGCAGTACATAGTCGTGTTGACAGAAGTCCAGCTATATTATATTTTGTATTTGGCACACGTTGGCACAACTGGCAAAGATCTTGGTTTAAATAAAAATTTCAGCCCTCTACGGAGGCAACTGGTAATGTTTGTGCTTTTTGTAGTGTCATGCCCCTTTTGTAATTTAATACCAAATTATTGACATAGCAATATAGCAGCACACTGAATTCGCTTCCACCTTTTCCTCTTTTCTTTTTCCCCCACAACCGAGAAAAAAAGTCACATTCCTTTGTCATTTGATTACTCCGTTGAAATAATTGATATTCCTTTTACTTTTCTGTCGCGTTGGTTTCCGGTGCTTCCTTCCAACGGCCGTTTGCCGCGCCCTTTGATTTAGCTTCGAACTCTGAACCGCAGATAAACGAGATGACAATAGTCGTCAGAAAGCAAGTTTTGCTCGTCAGTTGGGCAGGAATGTATCAGAGCAGCACTAATGTCACAAAATGGATTGGTTAAAGTTACCGACGGGGGGTACGTATGTAGAGGGGACTTGCCAACGACGATGAAACGGCCACAGAAGTGGCCGTCATTATTACGTCACAGACTCCCAGTGCTATGAAAAATGCAACCCGGTCAATTGCCGACTTGGACCAAGTCTAATTTGGGGAATCCCCTTTCCACGCAACGCACCCAACATTATTTTGTTGCAATAAATTGCGGAAAACAGTATTGTTCGTCCGGACTGGGTGGTGCGTTAAAAACTGAATAGTTTTCTCTGCCTGGGGACAAAAGCTCTCTCCTGGGGAGTACCAAACTTGCAAAAGCAGTGGTACATGTTGCTGATTCAGGTGAGTTTATGGCTTTATCCGATAAGTTTGATAGGCAAATAATGTAGTATGTACCGAAAACCGAGTCCTTCCTTGCCAGCGGCATCATGATTGGCACACATTCTCAACTTTTTGCCAAGATTGGTAAGATGGATTTCCTGTTTTTCAGCAGCATCCCCCTGAATGACTCCCAAAGCTTGAAGTTCAATCGTGTAAAAGGTTGTAAGACTTTACTGAGGCTGCAAAGTTAATTTTGGGCTAAGTCAAAAATTGAGTGAAACATAAATGTAAGTTAAAGTAGAGCCGTAGTAGGCCTACTCCTCTTTTTCAAATTTTGTATTGGATCATGACCGGTCCAGTACAAAATTCGAAAAAGAAGAGTACAAACCCTCAGTAAGCTACATAAGCTGCGTAGCTCAACGGTTCAATTCGCACCCAGAGCCAATTACATGTACGGCCCATTTGCACGGATCGATATCTGTATCATATACCTTGTTACAGTTAATGCTGCTGAGTGATTTTGTATGGGAAGCAAAGCACTATTGGAATTCAAAAGGTTTGATGTAGGGCAATCCCTGACTATGTCTTCAAAATTCTTTATTGTAGTATTTATGATAAAGACTTTAGACCATTATCCGGGAGAATAAGGTGAAAATGTTTGAAAGAATTTTGCGTCCTGACATCACTTTTTGCCGTATAATATATCATATATATCATATCGCTACTCCAGTTAGACAAGCATATGTTTTAAACTGAATCCGAGTCTGACAAGCATTTTCATTGGATGAGTATTTTACCATGATCCATATTCACACATGAACTGGTAATGATAGCTGTAAATGAGCTCATTGCGTAATAAGAGAAAGAGCATGACCATCATTGTAAACTGAGATTGCCGGTTCAATACCAACTGCTGCTATTTTTTTGCATCTGCTCAGTACTCTGCAAATGCATCCAATCGTTGACTATCATGCACGTGCTAAAGTGTAACAAGCCTATTTCTGCCTGGGTTCCCTATACCCGGCACTCCTTCCAGCACTCCAACACCAACTAACATGCACCAGTGAGCAGCCACAGAAGCTCTCAGTAGGCCTACAGTTCCCACCTCCACGCCCCAGTACCCAGATAGCTTGGATCCCAATTCCCACCCCTCAGTGATCACCCACAGCATAAAACCAGCAGCATCAGTCCTGAAGATGGACAGAGCACTCACCATCTGAAACGTCGAGTAACCGGTTCTTTTCAGAACCACACACACTGAAAAGAGATATTTTCTGCATGGTGTATCCGCAAACCCCTCTACCTTATCGTATTCCCCCATGCAAACCTTCAAGAGCTACTTTACTTCTGCCTGGTAAAGCAGCAAAATCATCCTTCATTGCTTTTAAATTAACTTTAAATTAAATTGTGGGATATTCTTCTTTTTGCAATCCGTGGATCTGCTCTTTTTTTTTTCAAGGGAGATAAATTTGAAATTGCCGTTGGGTTTGAATTCAATCTCGCCAATACAAATTTGCAACAATAATTTGAACATGGAACCAAATGGAGAAATTGTAGAGTGACATTTCTGATTCCTTCCAAAGCTCTCTCTAAGCTTGCATATGCCATGCCATATTGGTAAAAAAAGCAAAAGCATATCAGTTCTGATTCACAATCAACTATACAGTTCCTCTCAGATTTTTTTAAATTCTTTTTTGAGAAAGTGATGTCAATTCTCCATAGACTTTGACAAAAGAGTGGCATTATGATAGAACATTTCTCTTAGGCTTACTTTTTTCATCCAGGCTAAAGATTCTACTAATTTTATTAGAATTAAAAAAAAACTGTAATATAAGTCTTTCAAGATGACAAAAACCTTAAAGAGACAGAAGCTTAGCCCTAACAGTCCCAAATCCTCCAATTTTAATACGATTTCACATACACCCTAGGGGGGTAGGGTTAATGTATCCTAAACTATTAAAGCTGTAAACTGTACCAGCTTGGCACTATGTTTTTGTTTACAACTTTTTTTATTCTCGTTTAAATTGATGCTTTTTGCTTTTGGCAATCATAAAATACCTTTCACCCGATTGTCAGTGGATTTTATATCTTAAGAATGGTTATCCATCTTTAGCATTGATCATGGCTGAGGGAAGAAAGACAGCCCATTTCAAGAGAGGAGATAGCAAGAGTTCAGGAAAGTCATCTGCTGAAAATGAACTGAAGCTGTGTTCGGCTTATCTGTACCGAAAAGAGGGTTGTAACCGGGGAGATGACTGTAACTTCCTCCACATCTGCCGGTAAGCCATGAGCTCCATGAATGAAAGCTCCCACTCTCTGATGGCAAAAACATGTGCCATTGCATTTGTTGCCTGGTGTCGTATCAAAATCCCCTGTCTGCATTCAGATGGACGTGAACCAAGCTCTACGTCACACTGCGCAAACTATAGTGCATACGTGGCATGTTACTCTGAAGGACATTATAGCTGAAGGTAGTAGAACGCCCTCTGTTGTTAATGCATTAAGTCCATTCAGTGTCAAGTGAAAACCTGGCTCACCTGTGCTTCTGACAAATGCAGTTTTTTCCTCATTTGTCCATCCTCAAATTTACAAGGCAAGATTTATCACTGTACAATTATATTGTACACTTGTATTTCCAAAAAAGACTGCAATATTCGAGTAGGTTGGATGTCCTGTTCCATGTGTTATCTCTTATTTTTTTGTTCTATTTGCATGACAGGGGCTACATACTGCAGTCGTGCAAAGCTAGTGGGCATGCCTGCAAATTTTCCCACGATCTTAGTTGCAGACAACCGCAGGCTCTCTTTCGGAGACAGTTCGGGATCAAGCACCTGAATGGGAAATCTCTACACGAGTTCAGGGAGCTCTTTGCCGCAGCCCTGCAAAGTCCCTCCGTCACTGGCTCAGGCCAGCAGAGCAGCTGCGGAGAAGAGGAAACCGGGAAGCACCACCGGCAAAAGTTGAGGAAGTTTCTCTGGAAATTAGGTGATATCCGTGATGCCAAGTCATTAGATAGACGGTCAGACTTTGAAGGATGCAGTGATGGTGATTATGATGAAGGCAGCAGAGACAACTTGAAAGGGAAGAAGGAGCCACCAAAATGGCCAGCAGCCAAGCAACCCCAGACTGAGAAGGAAAAACAACCGACAAAAATCTGCTCCTTCTATGTCCGAGGAAACTGCAAGTTTGCCTCTCACCCCGGGTTCAGGCACTGCTCCAGTCCCTTCCAATGGCAGATTTTTGACGGCCAACAGCATGACTGGCTGGACCTCACAAGGCAGGCAAATGATGCCATAGAGGAAAAGTTCTGTAATGTCAACAACACACAGTTTAGAGAACCCATTATGGCATGGTGAGACTCCAACTTTAGCAGTCATTTTGACCTCAGCCGAAGTACCCATTCGTAGGCATAGTGTATTTGAACACATTAACAGTGCACAGTGCTCATATAAAAAAGGTGCTTTGTACATGACATAGAGTATGAACCAAACCATTTAAATCTAACAAATGAAACAGGACTGAGTCATGTTAAGATAGTTTCAAGGTGGACCGCGTACCGTAGAGAGATTCTTTCACAATGCTGTGTCTTGCTTCTCAAAACTTAAAGTTGGACATGTATGGTGTACCTAGGTTAGGCAGATGTTCTACTGTGCCTGAATGACTTAAGTTCTTAAGTTCAATTCGCAGTTTTGTATAGACACTTACTCAGAGTTACTCATTTATGCAGTTCTGGGGAGAGCATCGACGGTAGTTTCTACCGAGCAACAATAACGTTTGGTGTGGAATCCTTCAGCGTTAGTAATGAAAAGAGTGGCAGAGTCTTGGATATGCGACGTCTTTCCACAGTGTCAGAGGCGCAACCTGGGCGTCCAAATAGTGGTCACAGCACTCAGTGGATATGGTATTGGCAATATGACAACCAGACCTGGATGCAGTTCCTGGTATGTGCTCTCTTTCTCATGAAAAACAGTAGCCTAAGCAAAAGGCCGTGAAAGGAATGGATTGCTTTGGGGAACAAGGGTCTTCTGTGATCTTTTTATTCATCTATATCTGAGACAGTCAAGCCACTCTTATTGTTTGAAAGCCTGTCAAAATGGTTGGTCTAAAACGTTGCTGAAGCTCTAGCTTGTGGATGGCACACACCAAAGCCTGGCTAAAGGTGTGTGTGTGAAGTAAAACTGGTGCAAAGAATTGTAGAAATGTTTATCTTTTCAACTGCTTTTGACTTTGTAACTCAAGTAAGGTAATTTATGAATTGTAATAGATATGTGTTTGGCCGGTCTTAACTGTGAAAAACCTGCTCAGGAGAATGGACACCAATGATGTCTCTTGACTGTGGTTATACACCGCAGGTGCAAATGGGTAGGTTGGAAAGCCCCCCCCCTGCTTTTTGAAGGTTACAATTCTAAAAATCACTACATTTTTTCATCAATTTGCATATGATGAATTTCTCATTTTAGAAACCCGAGGATACTTCCCCCTTGACGAGCAGTACTGCAATTGAAAGGAAGTTTTTGAGTTTTATGAACCATAAAGGACCCTGCCAACTTGACGTCACCACAAGGCTGGGGGAATCCAAGCTTGATTTCTCCCAAATGACACTGAGGAGTCCAGAGTCAGGCTACACTCACCCGTTGGCACGGAGACCCAAGTGGCAACCAACATCAGAAGAAAAATCACTCCGTGGCCAGAGGTATTTGGCCAGACGTCATAACTGTTTAACTTTCTGAGGGTGTGCTGTAGTTTCCTACGGTGCTGTAAAAAAAATTACATTATCTTTCCTCATCCAAAGAGTTATTTTAGTTCTGCTAGCCGTACCATTTATGAAATCCAAAACTTGGTCCAGTCATAATGAATTCCTTGGCACAATGTGTAAAAAAATGCCTTATAATTTTCTTGTCTGTTTATCCCATTTTTAATCATATTTAAAGCGATCCTAGAGGCAGTAAAGATAAGCAGTTGCCAGCAACTTCCCAGCAGACAGAACGGACAGAAGCAGTGACCCCAAAGAAATCGAAAGTTGGTGAACTAGTAGAGTCTGAGGAAAGCATCATGAGGCAAAAGTCAGGTGACAAAGCTGTCCAAAGGAAGACCACAGACTCCTCAGACTCATCCGCTGCCTCCTCTGGAACTCCGAAGACCAAGGCTACGCATACACGGTCAATTCTAGGTGACACAGCAGACAAAGGAGAGAAGAGACCACAGCGAGAAATGGCATCGGCAGAAGCATCCAATTCCACTTTAATGGCCACTTCATCGCAACAGGCTAAACCTGGTGGAGACGCTGAAAGTATTCCTCAGATTTGCATCCATTTCTTACATGGAAGCTGTACGTTTTCTGAGCAAGACCACCAGCAATATAGGCACTTTCCACACCCCTTCCAGTGGCAGATTCTGGATGGAATGAAAAGGGTTTGGCTTACTCTCACAGAACAGGCCAACCTGAAACTTGAAAAGCACTACTGCGACATTAAAAATAGAGCATACACTGGGACCTTGCTTGCATAGTGAGTGTATTTCATCATTAAACGTTCAGCTTATTACAGGACTGTACTTCCTTGAAGTACATGTGGAATTAATTGCTTTAAGAAATGAGGGACACTTACCTGTGTGCAAGCTTTAGGTTACAGGACCACATGAATTGGGTTGAATGTCATGTAAGTGTGTTTAACAATTTTTTTTTTTCATTTTGTTTGCTTTCTAATTTCGTGCAGTTCTGGTGAAAGTGAGAAGTTTGTTGTCAAAGTACAGTTTGCAAGCATCGTGTTTGGCACTGATACCTTCATTATCCATGACCAGGCTTGGCAGTTTACAGAAGCGAGGCGTCTCTCTACGATGTCCCATGTCCAGGCTAATGGATGGAGGAAGGTTTATGGCACTCACTGGATGTGGTATTGGCAGAATAATATTGCTGGGAAGTGGTTTGTTTTCACCGAGGAGGTAAAAAGTAAACCTGAGTCAAACCTGTACAGTGAGAGCAAAATCCAAGCCTGAAGTAGGACTCCCCTCCAAAAAATGAAAAAAAAAATTATTCAGCACGTAAATGACACAAATGATGAAGACTTCATCTTTAGAGAATGTCTAGTAATTTGGAATGGTCAAAACATTCCATTCGGATGCCTTTCTCTCACTCCTGAATGGGTGGCCATTCCACCAGAAATACAGCATTCCTATCGGCTGCCTCAGAATGGTCTATGCACAGAGCAGACTGTTCCTTTGTGTGTAAATGTTCTGATGGGAAGCTGGACTTCCAGTGGAAATGGTTTGAGATGCTCCCTTGAAAATATGATGTCACAGGCATTGCTAATGGGGTGGGGGGGGATGTTCCACCCCCAGTAGCTAGTTTTTTCAGCAAAATCATGTTGGTGTTGGTAAGAATGGAGAAGAAAGGGGGAAAGCCATCTAAATGTCAGGTTGGGGAATCAGGTTCCCATTATACTTGTGAAATTTACTGACAATTGGAAGATAGATCTCATGATGACAACCCCAATGTAAAAATGGTCTGGTGACGCCTGTGTACCACGTAATTTAACCTTTTATATTTGACTGTTTATATTGCTTTCTACAGAACCCAGAGTCTGACAAGGATAGCTCCTTAACCACGAGTGCCATGATTGAAAAGAGATACCTGAAATTTAAACGCAAACAAGGGCCATCTTGCATAGATGTCATGACCATTCAAGGTGAGTGGAAGTTAGACTTCAGCAAGATGAAGCAGACACAGTCCGTCAAAGGATCAGAGATGTTCATACAGCTGGTGGCACGAAGGCCCAAGTGGAACCCTCATGTGGAGCAGCAAGATCCCAGCAAGGAGCAAAGGTAGGCGGTACTCAACTGTCTTTGAGGAACTGTCCGTTTTGACCCATTGAACTTTCCGACAGGCCAATGCTGTAGTGAATATTTTTTTTATTCCATTTTCACCTCCACCACTGTGCAGTGTTCCTGTTGACGCATCCATCGGCAAGACTTCTGGGGGCTCCAAGGCCAAAAAAACGCAACCAGCTGTGGTGCAAAAGATGGGTCAAAAGCCAGACACCTCTGTTCCACAACTTACCAAGGGCTTGGATGAAGAACTAAGACAGCTCATGATATCTCAAGTAGGAGAACTACAGATGCATACCAAATCATCAGACCAGAGCCCTAATGCCCCCAGCAATAGGGTCAAGTCCACAGATACCTCAGATTTTGCAGATCTGGAGACCTTAGAGAAATTGGTGAAATCTCAACAAAGATTTATTGAGAAATTGAAATCACAAAAAGATTTTCAAACTAGCAAACCTGAAGAGGGATTTCCAACTCTTAAGGTGCCAGCAGTATTAGCAGATATCCAGAGTCCAAATGATGTTGCCATCCCCAAAGAACCAAGTGCTCAAACCATTCATCGGCAGGATGACCGGGATGAACCAGAGCCTCAAGAAAGCTCGTCTCAACGGAGGCCAAGTGACCCAGCTGTTAGGCCCAAGGCCAGAAACCCTTCCCGCTCTTCCAAGGTACTTCAACCATCCTCCTCTTCCAACACCACTGCATCAGCCTCTCAAGACAACCAAGTAGCTCGTCACCTAAAGCAGAGGGAATTCACCTACATCTGCCCATACTTTCTACGAGGCAGGTGTATTTACGAGGATGACAAATACAACCACAAGCGGCATTTCCGGACCCCCTACCAGTGGCAGTTCCTTGACACAACATTGCCAGGAGCCGACTGGGAGAACATTCCCTCTGCTGAGAATGATCGTGTTGAGAGGTCATTTTGTAATGTAAACTTTGAAACCCATGAATGTAACAGGTATGCTCATTTCTTGCAGCGTTTTAAACTTGGAAAGTGGTTTAGATGTACTGGGCGATTTCATAAGTTAGTAGCGTGTCCATGGATGCACAGTATAGATCAAAGATGTGAATATCTTAACATGGTGGTTTTGTAAAATCAATTTCATGTATAGGTTGGGAAACAAAAAGGAATTTGAACAACAATCGACCTACCACCGTGTGCAAGTTAGTCATGCCCCTTAGATAACCCTGTTTCAAGATTCCGTACGTCCTTCGTCCATTTTTGTATTTCATCTATAAGTTGGACAATACTTCATTGACGGAATTCTATTCAGTCAATTCCACAAGGAAGCCTTACTTTTGCATGTGATTTAATGCAAACTTTCTCTTCTGTGTCCATGGGTGTCAGTCGGTGGAGGATGGGGGACAGCCCCTCCCCCACTTTCTAAAGTCAGGGGGGATATTATTTGTCCCCTCCACTTTTTTTCTGAACCCTAAATAAAAAATGTAGGGGTGTAGGCCTACATTTGAATTATATTTCAGATGAAAATTACTTGAAAAATGAAATACATTTTGCAAGAGTGTTGGCTCAAATAATTAGTTCAAGTGGTCAGAAATTGCCTTAGATCACACAGCAAAACATCTAGAATCAAAAATTTTCTGAGGCCCGTAAGCATGCCCAGACCCCATGCTGTTAGGATTTTGCACTTCATGCTTGTTTTATTTCAGGTTATGCCCCGTCCTCACTTTCGAAAAGCAATTGACGCCCATTTCAGCTGCTTATGCATATTTATGTACTGATATGTGTGTACTGTTACTTGCCTATCACTGGTTTACATCTAGAGACCCATTCAACAGTTTTATTCTCCCACAGTGATGCACCTGGTCCAGTACTGTACGTCTATTTTGATGAAAATCAAATGCATGGATCTACAGTGGATATTCATCTCCGTCGCTTGTCTACCTCATCAAGCGTCTTAAAAACCAACTGGGAAAAGGCATTTTGTACTGAGTGGACCTGGTACTGGCTTGACGAGAGACATAAATGGATTGTCTATTCCGGACAGGTTTTTACGATGTCACTTGTATTTTATTTCTGAGTATTTTTTACAGATTACATTGCTTAATGTAGTCTTCCAAGTCTGATGGCATTCAAGACTGTAGGAAAGGGTTCTTTTGCTATGTAGTGATGGCTTTAATTATGGGAGACTGTATGTAGGTTGATTTGATTGGAAGACAAAGTGCCATGGCAAACATCAATACATTTCAGATGATTCCAGGAGTGATGACCATGATTCTAATCCTGTTGATCGGGGGTAATATTGCACTGCGTGAGAAGAAGCTATACTTGCTGATTTCTTGAAGTTGTTTTTCACCTGAGTATGATCCTGAAAAGCCCTTTTTTGTTCCATTTGTTTCCCACAGAATGCCAAAGGCATTCAGGCAGGCATCGACAGTGCCACCATTGAGCAGAAATTTGTGGACTACCAGAGCAAAGATGGGGAGCCCGTCATTGAATTCACAGCCGGTGGTCAACGGTACACACTGGACTTTGATGCAATGGAGCAGACCAACGTCCACTATCTTACCTGCAGAAAAGTTCGGCGGAGACCCAAGTTTGTTGCCATGGAAGAACGTAAGCGATTGGCAAAGTAAGTGGTGTTGTTTTTATAGTTGTAGCTGTTTAAAATGAGTAGCAACAGTGACAGAACAATTTTTGCAGTTTGGAGGCTATTAATAGACTGGCCTATCATACACAGCCTGGAGGACCTGCCAAAAGTGGTAGGCCGTGTCCCACCACTGCCCCCCCCCCCGCATTACAGTAGTCACAAATATTTTAATCATCACCTGCAAAGTTCTGATGGCATTTCAGTTGAGATTTGATATGAACATGTCTAAAATGAGACTAAGTTGAAATTAAAAACCATTTGGTATGTTTGTATTTGTTGATATGATTATTCATCTGATGCAATGATGAAATCTACAGAGAGCTCTCTCAAGCCCAGTCAGCTACTGTTGCCGTGCCAACAACGTGGGATAATCGGGGCACACAGACAGAAGTGAAACTGGTCAAGCTGACCAACTATACCAGCCCAGAATACACTGCCATCACCAATTTGTTCCGGGACACAATGGATGACAGAGGATCTATCATCTCCATCAAGAGGATACAGAACTTGGAATTGTGGGAGGATTTTACAAGGTGAATCTCTTTCCTTAGAGGTCCTGCCAGGTTGACAATGGAGTAATCCAAATGAAAGTTTTAAAACAGTCTATATTACCATTTATTACGTGGGAAAAGCAGAACCTAATACGTTATTTCACACATGACGACACAACCATGCTGAAGGAAGAACCACATTTATTGAATGCAAAACTACAAAAACTAATCTGGAAATAATAAATGTTGAACTTGTATTAAGGGTTTTGGTGGTTAACTATTCAAGACTTGGAATCTTTTTGTCATTTTTATACTTTGCTGAGACAATATGTGTATTTGTAATTAACATGCCAAGCCAGTTGTGATAGGTACTCCATCTTTAAGTATTGAAGATATTATTAGAAGTGTGATCATGTTTCTTTTTCTAGATTTTTGCTGTTGGTTTATAACAAATGATTATCTGACTTCAGGTGTTCAAATAAAGCAACAGTTAAATTTGACATGAAATGTTTGACCTTTGACATCATCATACGCATTAGTACACATGCTATTTGTCCTCATTTGTTTACTTATTCATTTAATTCCAGACTGGGTGACCGAATGAAAAAGAAGAACAGGGGCAAATCTGTCTTAACCAAGCAGCTGTTTCATGGAACTATCTCTGAGAAACATGCCACTACTATTTGCAATCAGAACTTCGACTGGCGACTCTGCGGAAGCAACGTTGGGACGCTGTACGGCAAAGGCAGCTACTTCGCCCGAGATGCCAAGTTTGCTCATAGCTACACTCGAGCTGACGAACTCGATCAACGTTACATGTTCGTAGTCCAAGTTCTGGTTGGCACCTACTCCGCAGGCAAATCAGAATACACAAGACCACCCCCAAGGGACCCTTCGAAGCCTCTAGGAGATCTTTATGATTCCTGCGTCAACGATACGTCAGATCCCACAATATATGTCATCTTTGAGAAACCCCAGGTGTACCCTGAATATCTGATCAAATATAAGGAGAAGTCCCACCACAGAACGGCATCAACAGCTTTCGCTACCAAATACCCAAGTAGAGTTGCTACTTCTACCACTGCCCAATTGCCACATGTAAGTGCCCGCACTTCTGCCAGTTACGCAACCCCAAGTCAATACACTACGTCTGGTGTCAGCTACCAAAGTCCAGCTTCTGCCAGTGCAGCTTCAACAGCATACATGCCATCTCGTGCATCCAGTCGCCCAACTTCTTCCTATGCCACCAGTGGAACAAACCCTGGGCAGGGTAATATACCATCCTCACATCACTATCCAGCACCGCCAAGACCCACTTCATACTCTAATCCAGCTCCTGGCTATTCCCAGAGCCCTTTCCAGCCAAAAACCTCTACATCGACCAAGAGTTCATCATCATCGGCAAGAACACCATCCTCAAAAGAGAAATCATGCAGCATACAGTAAACAATGGTTTAACACATTTAGTTATCCTCCATCCTCAAAGAGCAGTGAAGAAAGTGCTTTCGGCCAAATTTTTGAGTCCTTTTTCAAGGAACCTTTCATATTTGCATACAGTCAAACCAGGGTAAGGGAATCGAGTCGCATGTTCTTTGTACATGCTTTCAAATGGCATCCAAAGTAACAGTGGCTAGGTTGTACCTTTCTCAATCCTGCAAACTCCTCCAAAACCTCCTGGTGGCTTTTGATGAGCAATCTCTGAGTGGGTCAGGGACATTTATGAAAGGTACAAGCAAGTAATCAACAAGTAAAAAGGAACTGTATCTCTACTGAATTCATGCTTTTATTATGAAGGGGCGTCAACTTGTCAGTGGTTAGCTTTCACATTAGACAGTATACAGTCAACACAATAAATATGATTGCTTAGTAAAGTCAATTGTAAAATGCAAAAAAAAAAATCAATTTAGAAATGGTTCTGCATGAACAATTTCAAATAATTGAAGTTCCTTCCATCCACTGTACACTGGCACACATTTCTAGCCATTATCATAAACAAGTGAAAGGATTTGTAAAGGATTTAAATTTACTTTCAAGGACTTTATTCTGCATTTGCAATTAGCATTTCTGAGTAGTTTATACAGGACTCTACTTTCTGGATATATTTGATTTCTTAACTTCTGTCTTAGCACTTGTGTGTATCTGTTGTCATTGTGTGGTTGGTTACTTAAAATGCAGGAAAGATACATACAGCCATTTAATTTCCATTTTTTCTACTGTGTTTTGAAAGTTTTCTTCTTTTTCATTTCTTCACTTAAAAATGGACTTCAAAGGCAGGATCATAATTGGCACAAATGTGTACATGGAAGGGAATTTCAGATGTTTTGTGACGTCGAATTTGTTTTGCTGTTGTATTGACCTGGAATTAGAGCCAGCCTTCATTTGTAGATGATATACCCTTCTTGTGAAACATTGTCTTCATATGAACTGTTCGGAAAATAAGTTTTCGAAATTGGGAAATATGCCTTGATTGCCGCTTTCAATCAAATGGGAAAGATTTAAGGATTTTGTCCCTGACTGAGATGAGCGTGCAACTTAAAATGCATGTTAGTACATGTATATGTTATTATATTCAAAAGATTATTGTAGCAGGTTTGTGAAGTAAGTTTTGATAAGTTAATGTGCAAAATTAATTTTAAAAACTGTGTTTTCAAACTGACATTTGGACAATCTGATATTTACAAGTCGTATAGACATTCATTACGTCATTGGTGGCATGTAGTGATATTGAGGTCAGTAGTATGGTGCTGTTCACTGCCAAAGGGTTACAACTAAGGGAATAAATTTGTGTTTGGCCTAAAATGTGTGTTGAAGACCAGCTCAGGAGAACGGACGTGACTAATGCCCTCATCCTGCAGCTCGGACGTTATCAGCATTCAGTCTCCTGAACTGGTCTTAAGTAAGACCGACCAAGCAAATATTTATTCCCTTTCATAAATATCTTTATAGTAAGAGAGTCAAAAGAAGTCAATATATAACAGATTTCCAGCCATTTTGTTCTTTAATTTTACTTTCATTTTCCCAAACATCCCCGTCCATTTTATTTCATAGTTGTCAAAAAGAATGTGCTTATATGGACTTGGCACGCACGTAGTGAGCTGCATGCATACAGATTCTTGACCTGGTATACCGTCTCATATCCAGGTACCAGTGTGTGATTTATGCAGCAGGAGTTGTCACTTCTCAGCGGGTATTATCAGGTTAATACACCGTCAAGATGCATGTTGTTAAATAGGGTGACTGAGGCATTTATGAATGGTATATAAAAGGCCAAATTTAGCAGAACGGTAAGATGAAATCATTTGAACAGTAGATTTAACTTCAGATTGATTACTGCATGCAAGGCTTCTAGTAAAAGTTATTGAGCTAATGAAATTTACCTTCATTTTGTGATATAAAATGGAGTTTGCAAATGTGACTGCGAGTTTGCAAATGTGAATGTGAGTTTGCAAATGTGAATGCACATTTATGAATTAGTGATTGCTTTTCATTTCTGGTATAGCATGGGCCCATCCTAGCAGTCTATTTAAATTTGGCCCCAAAATTGTTGTCTCCAAATAACTTCATTTCATAATTTTAAATAATTTTATGAATTGAATGGAAAATGATGATTTTTTAAAAATTGGGGAAAATGCATGAAAATTACAACATTTTGCAAGGGGTTAACCTTGCAATTTTATTGAAATTTTGCCTCAAAAATGACATCTCCAAATCCTATCTAAGGGCTCAATCAGGTTAAATTGAAGAAATTTTAGTTTTAGGGGCTTATTATGTGGTTTGAGTGGGAAAATGAAGATTTTTAAATTGGGGGAAATAAATGAAAAAAATTCTACAATTTACACCTTGCACTCCTTATTTACATTTTGTAAAAAAAATACCCTTATTCTGTATGACTCAAAGGGGAAACAAAAAGAGATTCTATAATCTGAGTGATCAGTTAATGAGTTCAATTAAGTAAATTTAAACTGGAAAAATTGGGTGAAATTCTAAAATTTTGAAAGGGATAAACTTGTAGTGTGATTAAACTTTTGCTCTCAAAAGACTGCGGGCATTTTCAATTTTAGTTAATTATTTATGAAGTTGTATGGACGAATGAGGATTTTTAAATTGGGGGAAAATGGATGAAATTTTATAAAACTTCAAGGGGTTAATCTTGTAATTTAAAAAAAATCTGGCCTCAAAATGACATCTCAAATTCCTTTTCAATGGCTAAGTAACAGAAAGCTGAAGAGATATAACAGTTTTAGGGTATTACTTTATGCAAAAATGAGGATATTAAAATTGGAATATTTTTAATGCAAGGGTTAACCTCGTAAGTTTAAAATTTGGTCCCAGAAATGACCTATCTTCATTTTTGTTTCCGGAGGCTCAGGCTCAAAAGGCTCAAAATTTTCTTAGAATTCGAACCCAACATGGCTTGTTTCCAAATCTTTCCAAACAGCTCATACTCATACCTTGTACTTTCCAATTTGATGTTGCTATGGGAACAACACTCATTTTGGGTACAAATTAAGAAAGGAGTGAAAACAAACAGGCAGAATTAGAGGCCAGACTGAAATTACACATTCACTGAGCAGGAATCTTTCTCCAGAGTGTGTGTGATTGCCGGCACCCCCACACATTTATTTATTTTGTATTACATTTAAAATTCCATTTTTTACTTCAAATACAAGGCCATATTGGCATTTTCAGCCAAATGCATTCCACAATTAATGTACAAAGTAGAAAGTGACCGTTTGCAATTAAAATAAATAGCAATGATGTAAAATTAAAAACAATGACAGCAGACTAACCTCTCTGATAGATATTTTGCTGTTTTCTTGATTGGCTGGCTCATTTTTCAGTATTCCTGATTTAAAGGGTCAGCCTCCACTGCATTAAAGGGACAATTTCTTTAATAGGAAAGTTGGGAATGAGTCATTGGGACAAACATTTGTCCTGATCAGGTCTATGCCCCCTCCCCACACGTCTATATGTCAATATGTGTCCTCCCCAGTGACAAGTGTGGATGTTCACAAATATGTATACAGAATACAGGTACTTTTTTCCCCTGAAATTACACAATTTCTATCAACGAACCTTTGTATAACTGGCTGCGCTAGGCTGCGATCTCCTTGAGGTGCTTCAGTAACCACAGTTAAGGCTAATGTTTGTCAGTAATGTTCACTTGGTCTTGACAAACTGATTAAACATAAGAAAAATTCAAGCAAAATTCACCAAAGTATTATTCCACTTAATTATTCTACTGAATGTTGAGTGTTCTTTTGCCAGTGTTTCAGGAAGGCTGAAGTTGGATCTGACAAGAAATCTTGAGGAAAAAGAACAGCACCCAGAAACGAATTAAAAATGAAGAATTTGAACGCTCTCCCCCCCTTTTTTTAAAGTGATTTTACTGTCCATACCTGGAACAACTGAGCCAGGCTTCAAGAAATTATGGTTTAATAAATAATGATATATACATAAAAATGACTACAATTGTATATGACGGATGCAAATCTTCTGTTAATATGCTGCAACATCTCCTTTACGTCTTCACCAATTTGCATACTTTTTTCTTCATTCTTTTGATCTCAAAAACTGCTTATTTCAAATGATTTGTCATGTTCTTCTACTGCTGTGGACGATCTGCAGCAAAACAAACAGAGAAATCCTCTGAAAGGAGCAAGTTTTTCATTGATCCAAAAGTGTGATTTGTTTTTTCTACAAAATAAATCGTGCAATTCCATTTCCCCCAATGCAGGAAAAGTCTTTTCAATTTTACCCAGCACTTGCTGGCAGTTTTGGGACTTCATTACAGGAATTGGACAAAGACAATGTTTGCGTGGTTCTAGACTTGTCCAATATCAGTCCAGGCAATTTCAACTCAAAGAGTTTATTGAGTAATTGAAGTGCACAGTGATCATATTTTCAAGTTATTATTTTTTTACCTCATACAGCGATTTAAGATACGCTCTATCATTCTTTGGAAAAAAAATCACTGAAAGCAAGATGTTACTGGTTATGCATCAAAAATGATCAAATCATTACCATAAATTTAACCTCCAGGCATTACACAAAGTGCCAGTTGGAGTTTACCTAATTAGTTTCTGACCAAAAATATCAGTAAAAAAAAAAACAATTTTGCAGCCTCTGACGATATACAACAACAAAAAAACCTGACAAAAAAACCTGACTCTGACAGGCTCTACAGCTTAAGAGAGAAGATTTGATGACAAATATTAAAAGCCTGGCGAGAGGGGAATTTTTCAATAGTGTAGCAATTGAAATCAGAAGGGTGTGTCTGGACTGTAGAAATCTTTAGAACCAAAAAACTTGGCAATTAGAGTGATGGTCATGATACCTTAACAAGTAATTTATGCATATATTCACGGTCAAGGTATAAGTATTCCAAACATGCCAGCAAATTGCATGAGTATCGGCAGTGATGGCTCCGCCCACAAACCAGGCCATAATCAGGTGACTAATTTACATCTTTATTAAAGGTGCACAACCCTTCGAAGCTCGGACAAGATGACTTAGTATGACTGCCATCGACATGAGACACACACACAAAAATCTGAAAGTGTGCACACACTTATTTAAGGCTTGTGGATAGTTATATGAAACAATATTTACACTCATGTACAGTGTCATTTTTTTGTACAATCACGGGCAGAAGAATAAACCGAACAGAGACAATCCTGTGCATATGTTATATCTACACCATTATAAGAAAAGGGTAATAACCGAGGCATATACACCTATAAATAAGTAGCAACAGCAGCTATAAACAAAAAACAAAACCCAAATATTCTCATGCTACATGGAACAAGGTCTGAGCAATATGTACACTTTACAGATAAGAACCTTGAATTTTCAGAGAAATTAAAAAAAAAAAGTCCATTTAAAGTTTTTGATCCAGTCAAATTAAGATCAACATAAATAAGTTCAGACATTGATTGCGATTGAGAAGTGGTATACTGGACCTTGGCTTTGTCTGAAGATGATTCCTCCCGGTACATCTGGACCTTTGCTGTTATCATCAATTAAACCAGTTCACAAACAACCCCAAATCCCGTAAATATATGCAAATTAGACATTCAAGTAAAACTTTCGCTCCAAATATTTCCACATTTCTAAAATGACACTCAATTTGAAAGATTTCCTTGTCAGGTCTGTCCATTGTGTATATGTGTTAGGGAAAATAACAAATAGATTCTTGAGAGGACAGAACAAAATGAAAAAAGGTGGACAATGTTGTAAGGATACTGGTCCCAAAGTCATAACTTAAAATGTGTAAAAGAAAAAAATGAATTGGCGTACAGTAGATTTCAGAGCATTATGGTTTGCAAGCTTAAAGATTTACCAAAATGACTGGCAATGGAATTCCCACATTTCTCTTAAATTACCAACTATACAGCAAGAAGCTTTAGAATTACTCTTAAAATGCAGACTTTGACAAAATAACGCTTACCGTCTGTATGTGCCGAATGTCTGACATCTACAGAAACAAATGGCATTTGGGTTTCTCAAGACCAACCCCCCATCCACACCACTGTTTTGCAAGTGCAGCTGGGCTTGAAGTAAGGAAGAGAAATGTTGGAAATGACATTTGGCACGACTACAGACACTTAAAAATGACGCAAACAACACTACTGTGCCTTGTGTATAATCATACCGCCGATGATAGTTTGTGATGTGATGGGGTATTAGCTAGCAAGGATTGAACGGTTGCCGCCACCTTCACAAGTCCTTTGCCCTCTAGGATATCAGCTGACGTGCAGAGCTTTTCCTGTAGGATGAGAAGGAACAAGGATACTGAACTCAAGGTTCTCCATAGACACAAGACCCTCCACAAAGCTTCAGAAACAGTGAGTGTAGAAAACGACTGCTGAATGCAAGGCTACATCCCAACATTTTGGGGTGTGGTTAGTTAGTCTGGATTCAAGATATCACTGGTCGCAACAACTGACACTGCAGTGTGTGAAGGGGGAGCCACTGTTGTGACAAATACTTGCTTCCAGTCTTGACAAAACTGGTGCGTCTCTCAAGGCAACTTTTGCACATACTTCATGCACATGCATTTTGCACCTCAGGTTTTGCGCAGACAGTCCAGCAAATTTCTCTAATAGAGTCCCATCAACAAGTTCCTCTCAAAGTGGCAAAGTGAGCTGCCAGGAAGTGGGAAGAGGGAGCATAACCTAAAAGTGGCTGTCTTGACTGAAGACTACTCACAGCCAGCATGGTTAATGTCCACACTCGGCACAAACATGAAAACTCTATCAAAAGTCACTATTCTCTACCATGCTGTCTATCACCAGGAACTTTTGTCTACTCACCCCAGGCACACCTGCATTGCTACAAGCCTTCAGGAAATTCTCAACATTTCTCCGACATTTCGCTGATGACAGTTTAGGCTGTGGAATGCACAACATTTGAATGTATTCCAGATTAGATCATGAACAAAGTAACTTAAACCTATAAAAACTACCATTTGATTCCTGTCTTCTTTTTTAGGGAGGGGGGGATGAATCTACAAATCAGTCTTGCAAGAACCCGTTTGTAACGACCTGTCTTTCTTTTGCCAATTGATGGTGCACTTCAGCTCAGAGCAGATTATATTGTTAAAATGTGTCCAACAATTACAATCTCTAGGGCAAATATGCCATTGTGGTGTCTAGGTTTTTTCTTTCTTTTCAGCATGATTTTTTACAGCAGCATTTTGGCTTCGGGACTACGTACCACTGCAGGTGATGGTACGTGGATGGTAGGCACAGCGTGGGGGAACACGTTATTCATGAAATGGCACAACACCACCCCGTCCTCCAAAGCACCTGGTATATCATCGGGCAGGGTGACCTTTAACCTTGCCTCAATGCACTGTGGGATACAGAGAAAAGAAACAAGATATGCTCCATAGGGTTGCTAAAATTCTGAAGAGTTAAAAACAGGACCATGACTATCAACGATACGGTTAGATGAACAAACATACTAATGTGCAATGTAATTCAACCTAAACCCTTTTGACAAAATCCAAAACTCTGATGTGTTCTGTAACCAGCAGGTAAAACCGTTTGGATTAGAGAAAAACTAAGCACAAAGTCCCATGTAATGTGCCAACAACTGGGTGCAAACAGTCCTCAATCCATCAAGATCTTATAGAAACACAGAGTTTAGACTTTGGTAGACATAAGGAACTTTGGTTTTAAACAATAAATACATGGTTTGATATCTCAATTTCTAAGGCATCAGGTGAAATGAGTTAAGTTGATCTATCTTCCCAACTACATTCCATTGAGTTCTACAGGTACGTCAACCTTCCCACTGCAAAGCTTATTAAAAAGCAACACAGACGCTTTCAACAACTGTTCAATCTTGATAAAGCAGTTACTTTCTCTGGCAAAAACAAAAACATGCATCAACCATTCTAGACAAAGCCATACCCCTTACATATTATTTGTGAACAAAAACAAGTAAAAGGCAGAAAGAAATAAAAGACATGTAATTTATCTGTTTCATGTAAAGGAGCATTCTCTTTCTAAGTTATAACATACATGTAATTACCAAACAATCCATAAACTTTCAACATTGAATACAGACACTTTGACAGCCAAGTTAGTTTACGGGAATGAAAGCATGGCTTATCAATAAAAAACTTTGCAAAGATACAATGGCAAAAGATGCAAAGAAAGATAACAGACCACAATATGACAACAATGTAGGGTTACGCGAGCAATGCATTAGAAGATGTCAGCTACATTGTACACAAAACAATACATTAACGGAACACGGTAACTACAGTTGCCTCTGTTACAAAAAGTTGTACTGAAATTATGAAACAAGCTTCACAAGGGAAATCTGCCTCAAGTCCTGTCCTTAGTTCCAACTACACCAACTTATCATGAATCCTTTTCACATGCTTGGAACCCACGACTAGCTCTTTGTCACTGACTCTCATGCAAGTCCTGACCAAAAAAAAAAGAAAAAAAGTGCACCACAGTCTGGCTCAAAACTCACCTTCCTCATCTGATCTATTGTGTTTATATCCGACACGGATTGGTAACTGCTCATCCAATTAGGTTTCAACTGAACATTTAACCACAACGACAAATGACCAACCCCACCGAGAACACAAATTCCATCCATGGACATAGGGAAAGATACAAAAGGAAAGATGAATGGGGAAAAGAGTAGGGTGATTTACAAATGAAGAAATCTCCATGAAAATTTTACTATTTCAAAAGTATCCAGTTCAACTTAAAAATTGGAGCTAAAGGAGCCATAAAATAGCTGATTAAGTTTGTCTGCTAGAAAGAGGTGTTTTAAGACCTGAAAATACTACCTTCAAAACAGATCTGACAAAAATATAATAATCTTTCGCATTTTAAAAAATGTGGACAGAAACAACACTGATTTCCGTTTCTTTTTGACAGAGAGAACCAGAGAAATAGAGTATTAAAAAGAAAATTTAAAAAAATTACATCTAAGGTATAGGTATCGAGTTGTTTAATTTTACTGCATTTTTAGAGACTGACCTTTCTGAGTTGCTCAATACGGTCCATCTCCTCCCGGTACTTGTTCATCTCTCGTTTCACTGTGAAGTTAGGCTGCACATCTCCTTGGGGTTTACCACTGCCTATGTTGAAGGCTGAGGGGGGGTCAAGGTGATTGTGGGATGGGGGAACAAATGAATAACTTGTCAGGAAGGCAGGCAGTAGTAAGTTTCAGTCCAAACCCACGATGAGAGTACAATCTAAATTTTATCGTTAAAGTCAATATAACCAGCCCTAAAAGATGCCTACCCTCAACTGGAAAAGAGACAAGAAGATGAAAAAGTAACCCTTCAAATTGAAAATGGTATGATCCAGAGGGCTTACCAGATCGTGGCTTGATGCTGCCAAAGGCTGATCCACTGTATGTTGTAGGGGGTGGAGGTGGGGGTGACTTTGCACTGGCAGGGCTTCGTTCCCTTACAAGATCCTGTTCTTCATGTCCAGGTGAGCCCAAAGACGATGTAGAATTCCGGCTCTGGAGGTCATCAATGTATTTACCATACATTAAAGTGTGAAACTGACAGAAAATGAGCACAAATGCTCAAGCTGGATTTGTATACAAAGCCTCTGCCAGAACTTGAAATGATTTTTACACTTCTTCACCAATTTTCATAGAGATTTTTGAAATTAATGTCCCAGCTGCAGAAAATACTGTGAAGTACCACACAACAGCATTGGTTTGGTTGCTTGCTAACCAGTAATCTCTCATCTCTCACCTGCACAAAGTTCCTGACGGCCTCCTTCTGAATCTGCTTGTTCCTAGCCTTCTCCTCTTCCTGTCTCCGTCTGGCCAGCTGGGCCTCGTGGCGGCTCTGCGATATCCCGCTGTCTCGCGATGGGGCCAGTGACGATGACGAGGATGTTGTCATCTTGTCAGCTCGCTTTAGTTGCCGGTGGCTGTCACTGGTGGCTGATGGTAGCCGACCGTTGGGGAGGTTACTGGAGTGGCCTGATGACATCCTACTAACGAGGTCAACGTGAGGTAAAGGAGAGAAATGATTTTGTACCCCCAAAAAAGGCAATTCAGGATTGGATCATTTAAGATTGTCTTGCAGAAGTAATGCTTTGGCCATAAAAATTCACTGGCTAAATTCAACAGTACACATGTGAATATGCTGCTTATCACAGGGATATTTTAGTTATCAGAGTTGAGATTTTTGCTGGGACGTTAATTTGAAAGTCTTGAAGCTTTATTTATAGCAATTCATTCTTTCAAAATCTTGCCATGCAAGCAGGCATCGAATGCACAAGATTCCATTCCGGATCTTAGGAATACATGGTCAGGAAATGGACCTTTAGTATGATCCAGCAGTTTTTCTTCTTTTCAAACACATAAAAAAACAAACCACACAGATATTAATGAGAACTGCCAACACAATAGTGTAAAAAAAGCCCCAAATCTTTGCTTTCTCATATAATCTGCCTAACAAGGTAGGCTGATGTGTTTCATCTCTAGTCATATTCAGTTCATGAACATTGATATTCAATATTTTTCCAACTAATTCCAACTTTGTTGCCAATCTGTGACATCAAAGAGGAGATACTTCCAGGCTGAAAATCCCTTCAGGGACATTCCACCCAAATCATATTGTCAACATCAGACCCATGCCACCAGAGAGTTACAAGCTGAGAAGAGTGGGCGGAAAAAGAGTGTTAAGAGAGGGGAGGAAGACGAGGGGGGGGAAGGAGGAAGCGTGCTTACTTGTAGGAATTTCTGTCTACACTGCTGGACCTGATATTGTCCGCTACGTTAACTGTGGCTCTTCTTTGCTGTCTCTTTTGCCGGTTGCTGAAAGACGATGGGACAAGTTCCTTTTACAGAATTTACACTTGGATTTCTCAAATCCAAAACTCCACCACGGCACAGTCAAACCAGCAAGACAACGATTGTTGATAGCCTTAAGGGATTGCTGACTTAAACCTGCTGACAACATGTTTCACCCCAGCAGGCTTCATTTCAAAACAGATTTTTTTTCAAAGGACTTGAAATATTCAGGGGTTACTATAATCAATCCACTTAAAGTTTCTGAACACTTTTTGGCCAAAAACTACAACATGTATCAAATTAATTATTTTTTGTTCAAATGAAATCCAAATGTTGTCCAATCCTTTCGTAGACGATGTCTTCCGCTACACTACATCTACAGTACTGGAATCAGAGGAAGTCTACTCAAGCAGATTAAGTCAATGCAGCTACAATAGTCAGTCTCCAGTGGGGGTAAGATAATATCATAATCTATAATTGCACCATTAGAAACAGAACGCAAATGTGCACAAAATGCAGCCCATACCCGGGCGGTCATACTTGGTTCCCATTCTCTAATGGTCATGTTCATCAAGAGAATGGTTTTGAAAACAAGGGGGTTTGGAATCAAATTGAAAAACAGGTTGAAACGTGACCAAAATACATCTATGGTCACTACCTTTTGGGGGGGTAGGCAGAGAGATTAAATACCAAGGCATGCAAAGACTGGGGATGAAGGGGCAGGGAGGTGAGATGGGGGCAGGGTGGTGAGATGGGGGCAGGG